ATTCAATTCTTCAGGTTTGGGGAGCGGACCCTGGACATGTGAACAGGTGTTCGCAGCTAGGGATGGCTGCTGCTGTTGGATGCTTTTTCTGGTCTGATTTGGATGATCATCACCGTGTGCTTCGTGCAGAGCGGCTTCGATGGTTTGCCCGGGAACAGGTGTTCGGCGGAATGTTTATGCATGCAATGACTTTCTTTACTCGCAACTGGGATCCAAACTCAAGCCCATACAGGAACTCTGGAAGACACTTCAGCCAGGAATTTGGTATGGGCCTTTCTGGACATGAATAAGGTGATGTTTGGCAAGACTGTTTAAAATAGTTATCTTGCTATCCGGGTTCTTTCCGGCAGGCCGCTTTTCTTGTGTGAAACAGGCTGACGTCACACGCGCACTTTCATGCTCGAGGCTGTAGCTTTGTTCCGCCAACAGGGACACACTCTGCACGTACATGTAGGCTGTGTAAACGCCTGACCACTGCAAGAAAATTGAACCTGCGACATGCTACATAGAATGAGAAGCCAGGCATGTAGACGAGCATTAGCGAACGGCTTCAAACTCGCGAGAGTTCTGTGTTTTGGCAGCCGAAAAAAGGACATATCGTCCAGACCAACTGCTTCAAAAGGTAGGGAGATTTCGCTGCATGCGCTGCAGCCCTGCTGGCCTGGTCGCTGATACTTCCGGGTGTCGCTGAGCAGATCCTCGGGCCGTTACCCTACTCAGGAGGTGCCCGCAACCCGGACACACATCAGCTCAGGCCCTACTCGAATCGCCCTGTGAGTTCTTTGGCCCAGATGTCCTGAAGCCCTGAAAGGCCCTAAGGCCAACTCCCCTGCGTGTGAGTGTTGCTCGGCAGACTACGCAGACGCTGCCGAGCTCTGGCTGACCGGCTGCAAGCTGCCACTCAATCCAACTCACACCTAAGGAATCCCCCGGTGTTTTTTTGGAACCCATTGCAGAAACGATTCCAATCACAAGATGCGGCTTTATCGTCATCGTTTGGCCATATGGATTCGGTGAGTAGACTGTGATGGCAGCGATGCCGTCAGCCACACAGCACTACAGACGTACTCTCGCGCCGAGTGTCCTTGGGATAGCCTGCGTCAGCCACGGACATGTGAGATGCAGAAGTCTGCTGTGGCGTGGGCCTGTCAGGACAACAGTCTCGGGAGGGAAGCTCGAGGAGAGGCTCCAAAGTTTAGCATTTTTTAGACCGGCAGAATGTAAGAAAAGATCCGAAGCATCGACAACTTTGACTTGCGAAGTCTAGTCTGCGGGTAGGTTTGTTAATATGTTCAAGGTGCACCACGGGAAGCCTTCACCGCAGCGGTGTCGTTTGTCCTGCTGGCAAGGTCGCCCCCGGCAAAAATTATACTTTTAGCTGCTTGATAGGGATAATAGGACCTAAGAACCAAAACATATTTCTAAGTACCCTCAGTTCTTGCAGACTTGCAAAACATGTGGCTCCGAAAGGAGGCCCAACTTGCGGCGGCAATACTAACAACCCTCCCCCATGTAGCGAGCAAGCCGAACTCTTGAGAATCTCTCGTTACGTCAGTCGATCCCCGCCATCAGGACCCAACCGCTCCTGCAGGCAGCTGCTGCGCAGCAGCTAGGCTTTGTCGGAGCGTGGAGATGACAATCGGTCTACACTATCAAATCGAAATGAAACTTAAAGTCTTGGGCCAAGAATTTCGGAATCTTGTAGGTGGCAGACAGAGTTGTGGAGCTCCTCCAAATACATGTGACAGCTACCAAGCAATCGGAAGCATCGGTTCAAGCTGCTGTGGACGATCGTGAACACTGGAGAAAGGTCACGGCCGAGAGCAGTGTCAAAACATGTCCCGACGCGCACTGGCTCCATCACTGTCATCAGCATCTCGAGATCTTCGGCTTTTACAAGAACCATCGACGAAGGCTTTGAAGCGGTTGTCGATTATTCAGGCTTTCCTGTTGTACAGTGTTTTGCAGCCTGACACAGAGCGACGGCAACGTCAATAGTCTGGCAAAAAGTCGCATCAAGGGTTTACGCTCTCGCAACTCGGACACAGCCTGGCTAGGTCTCTCGGTTATCGTTTGTGCTACTACCAGGTGTGGTCAGGCAGCCCTGCTGGGTAGCAAGGGAGGAGGGTAAGCAACACTGTGTGTATGGCATGTATGAACAGAATTGTTGTTTGCCTGAGACACACACGCAGGCATGCATTGATGTCTGCTATCCTGGACCCTCCGTTAGGGAAGCAATCAACGCGAGTAAAAAACAAATGCAAACGCACACTCACAAACCCAAGACCCGATCCCTTCCCAGCGCAGGAAACTTCATGAACAAGACCTAATGTGGCAATTGCAGACTAAGAGACGACCCGCTATGCGATCAAGTCTGCGAGGTGAAACTGGCGAATCCTGACCCCTCAGCCCGAGCTGTAAGCCCGCAACTGTTACACCCCCCGAGGAGAAGTAGCCGCCGACATTGACAGCAGCCCAGATCGAGCAGTCCCATACGGTAGCAATTTCTTAACCAAGGCATCTGGGTCGGTAAATGGAATCCCGGAGAGCCTGGAACACTTCGCCTGAGGCGTGAGGTAGTCCGGGCAGCATTCAGAAAAGTTGTGCACGTGCACAATTGGCGAGTGTGCCCCAACCATTTTGCAAACCCTCTCCTCGGCACCTTCGACCCACGTGAACCTCCTCGATCGAAGCACATTCGCGATGGCGCAAGTAAAGTGCTTCTCGGCGCCATACTTATCTGAGCACTCATCCACCAACTGGTAGTTCACAGCTTTAGGGCGGAGAGCAACAAAAATCTGTGTGGATTTGGTCCCCCATGCATGCTCCGAAGATTCCATCGATGGAGGCGTTCTCCATTGTCTTCTGCAGCCACATGTCATCCATGATCAGGACGTCTGCATTGAGCCTGATGACCCAGTCATAGCCCTCGAACCACTTTTCCTGATATCCCTTTGCCCCGAAAGCATCTGTGACCGCTTTTGTGGCGCCCTGTTGCCAACCGTCGTTGACATACTTCTTGACAGTAACATTGCGGAAGTGAAACTGCTCAATCTCCGAACTGCTGATATTCGCGGATGTATACAGAATCAGGTCTGCATGCTGCAACAGTGGTAGCTGCTGTGCCGCTCGACCCCAACACGGTAGGAACTTTTGGTGCGCATCACTCCAATGTGTAGTCATGAAGACAGCGACTCGAAGTGGAGCCTTGGTGCTGAGTTGCAGAGCACACTGGCTATCCAGGTCATGCTCCTCAGCCATACCTCCAACAGCTGCCAAAACAGCAGCCAACGCATAGGCGAACTTGTGGCGAAGCACACCGAGCAATGGAAACATCGCAACTATGTATATATCGGTTCGGTGTCTCACAAGCCGTAGAGAGGCTGCAGAAGGCTCGAGAATACACATCCTTGCGCTAGGTTCCCCTGATTCACCGAACTTTGCATCAGTTGCCATGCCCCCGAGCTTATCACAAGAAAATCATCCTGCTGGTTCTTCGTAGTGGCAGGTGGCAATTCCTTGTGGTTACGCGTATGCCTGATGGTTCAAAAGCAAACTAAGCACCAGACTGTGGGCTCGGCCACCAGAAGAGGAGCATGGCCTTGCAGGGCAGCAGAAACCGCGTTGGCCGGGCCGGAGTTACCGTCGCATCGGAGCGCTTCGGACATGGCAAGGGGTTGTTGGGGTCACGAGCTTGCAGGGGGCCCCTTGGAAGGGAGGTTCTGGATAACTCCGGCACCAGGCCACAAATGGAAGAACACAAACGCCAAACCTTGCACTTGCTCACTAACATTCACCAACCGAGCTGTGCCAAGGGCAACTCGCTAACACCTCAGAAGCTGGGCTATTAATTTAACCCGAGACCTGAGTCTTCAAAATATTTTGGAGCTCATCGTGCCAAGACTCTGGTTCATTCTGCTAAGTCTCTCGTGGCCTTGCCATCACTCTTGGTACGTACGTTTTGCCAATTCTGCCGATTGGTGGCTCTACTGATGAGTACCGCCAAATCCGCCTTAGGCTGGCACTCCCGCGGTGCATATTGACGCTGCGCATTTTTGCACCCTTCTCGCTCTGGATGTTGCGATCTCAGCCCAAACGGCCCAAGCCTCCGTTTCCGGAAATGAGGACTAAGTGTCTAACTGGGCTCTCACGCACTATCAGATGCATGGGAACTGATCGAGGCATTTGCGGATCGGGGTGCTTTTGCGCTGCAGCTGTCTTAGCACGTGCACGTGCGATGTGCATCAGCCACATGAGGCCCCCTAAGTTGCAGGTTCAAGGATTTTGGATTGGTTCCGCACGTGAGGCTTGAGGCAGCCAGGTCCGTCCACGCTGCACAGCTTTGGCCTTAACGCGGTCGTCCGACCGCAGGAAGCCACCCGGTTTTGTGCTCAGTGCTCTGACAACCGGGGGCAGTCTTGGGGTTAGGCAGGAAGCAGGCGAGCTTCGTGCAGTCGGGCTGGCATCCTGCCTTGAGATCCTGGCGTGCCGCCCGAACAATCTAGAGCTGTACGATCTTCGAAGGTAGCAGTGGTACAAATCCAGTGTCAAAAGAAAATCTGGACATGAATCGCGCATCTTTGATGGGGTCAACCTTCGACTGTTCAGGCCGAATTGTGCAGACTCATTGGTCTTGTGTCTGGCACCTCTGAGAGCTTGTCTCAGGAGAGTAGGCTCCGCTACAAAATCCGCTTGCATCGTCTTCACGCGAGAAGTCTCTAGAGCTGTGGCAACATGTAGCAAGCATCACTGTCTGCCATGGCAACAACTCGTGCAAGTATCGTAAATCGCATCTGGCGAACTGAGTGACCCTATCTGCTCTGCTGAATGTAGTCGCTCTCATTGCATACCTTTGTACCGCCTCAGACGAGGTCCGCAGGAACTATTCCTTGGATAGCAAGGCATGGGTTCAAACTTGCTGAACTACCAACCACCCACACCTTCAGCTCCGGCGAAGCTGCAGAATTTTTTGTCTAAGTCTCGACACCCATTCGAAGGAGTCAGAACCGGACTCCACATTTCGGAGCTGCAGGCTGGACGCTCGGATGCTCCTTGAGATGCTGGTCTTCCACGGGATCTTCCGCCTTGAGGTTAGGAGAGAAGTGTATGATTGCATGTAGCGCAGGCTTTCATTTCTTCATTTCGGCTCTTTGGAGCCCTACAGCCAGTTTTGTCATCTACGGTAATTCTTGCCTGTTATATCCTTTGCTTTGTGTTCCATTGGTGCCTTTGTAATGTAAGCACGAAAGGCCCAATTAAAAGCAAAACCATGAACGAAACACCACACTTTTAATTCTGCAGTTTCCCCACTGCCAAGTAATGCTTCGTTTTCTACCTTCAGGGCTTCTTACTAATGGAACGTGAGCGAAGCGAAACACAAAAAGTTAAATGATAGACTATACACAAACGAAGTCAACGAACACTGTGCGTGGGTATAATTAGTTTCATTAAGCTTTTTGAAGCCACACCCACAAGCTTTCTTCACAGACTTTCCTCACTTGTCGGTTCCTTCCTTTTTCGACTCACTCACGTAGTTCCTCCTTTCGTTCCTACTTCGTTTCGTGCTTTCCTCCTTTCGTTCCTAAGCTTCGCATTTTACAATGGTTTGCAATCTATAGAAGTGCAAGCGTTAAAATCTGAAGCGAACGAGAATAGTGAAGTGCCCCCTTGCATCAAGCCAGACCGTGGATACTGCTGCGACTTGCAGCGCAACCAGCCCCAGCCCAGCTCTTCGCATGCTCAGACGGACAACAAGGCGCGCAAGGCTTGAGGGCAGGCTGGAAGGGTTGAAGTTGATTCGGGTTGATGCTCAAGGCTGGGATGGAAGCCTTCGAAGTCTGAGTGAGCCTGGCAGGCAGTGGCGAGAACCAAATTTAGAAGCTCTTTGACTACTAAGCTCTGAACTCTGACCCTTCGTTTTGGTATACATCACTCCTGTGAACTCCCCCTCGCCACCACTGATCCCGACCCTCCATGCTTCTTGCCTCGAAGCGAACCTGCGAGTCGTCCTCGCCCAGGCTGCGCGCTGCAGCTGTACTTTGCCCGGCATCCTGCGGGGGTACAATAGCACGTACTGTACATGGCAAAAATCATCGTAATGCCAAGGTTTTCACAGTGTCCGTAGCAGGCGTGCATCAGTGTCACTAGTCGTTCCACTTCGTCGTCTTCTTCTTCTTAGTCGTGGGATGGTCGTCGTCGTCCTCCCAGGACTACAAGTAGTAAGTAGTTGCGGTTTGAAGTGGGTTAATCGGGATTAGTGTTGCCAGGATCTCAACATGTTGTCACTTGTGCGGTTGAACATATGCATGTTCCTAGCCGAATGGTCTCTGCGGGGTTGTTTTTCTACCTTCAACAACAGGAAGGGGGCATCAGGCAGCCGGTCCCTTCCCACGAGAGATGCTACAGCCTTCCGCTCCTTTTATGCCAGGTTCGGGCATTGACGACACCGGTCGCATGACGCTTCGTCGTACAGCACCTTTGGCTGTAGCTGTGTACGTGCCGGTCGTGAAACTCACTGTACATGCCCAAAAAGCACCTTGAGTTTATGCTACGGAGCGTCGGGAAGCCAAGTGCCGCCAGGGCTACTGGTACAGGAACTCTCCCGAATCGGTCGGCTCTTCCCATTGTAACTCTTGGGGCTTTTCGAAAGCATCTATGGCGGCCAGCGCCTCGGTTTCCGATACGCCTGCCGAGAAGAGGCTGACCTTGAGGGCGACTTGAGGCCACTTTCTGATCAGCTCAGCGTAGGAAGGCATCATGAGTACTTGGCTCATGTGGTGCTTGATGAAGGTGAGGCACGCCATTTCCAGCTGCTTCGCCTGTAGGAGATGCGCCTGGCAAAGGATGCCGCAAACCTGTGACTTGACGATTTCTTCTGAAAGCCTCGCTTCACACCAGAGCTGAAGACGCTTCACTTGATATTTGTGGCTTACGGCCAGAAGCGCCTGAAGTCGCGACAGAGGGCTGCCGCTGTCCGTCTCGTCGCTTGAGGCCCCCTTCGGAAGGAGCTCCCGCGAATCCGGCAGTTGGTCGGTGTAGAGGAACTGCAAGAAGGCCTTGAAGGTGGCAGCTTCGCAGTCCTCGATCACGATGACTTTCGAAACGCTCTCCTGCATCCCCGCAGTCAGCTGTTTGCTGAACACCTCGGATCGTGCACAAAGAACCTGCGAGTGTGCATGGATGACCTCGTCCTGCACCATGAACTGGACGTCGCTGCAGTTGCCTTCCTCCAGCAGCGCGTGCGCGTCTTCACTCATAGTTGGGGCAGGGACCTCCGCTGCAAGGGTCAAGGGCCGTGAGCTCGCGTATTCGTAAGGACGCACTTCGAGCTCGAATTTCACAGTGAGAGTGTCGTTTTGCACCCACTCGGACTGCAACAGCTCCTCATGACTTAGGCCGAAGATCCCCAGAGAAGCAGGAGCATGATCTGGCCAATGCACATCTGGACCATATGCAGCCGACCTGTTTCTGTCGCCGCGGTGGACGACATCGCGCTTCTCGCCCCACTGTACAAACTCACCATTCCATGCCTTGACGCACATGCGATACCTGATCGCAACACACTCCTTCGTGTCAGGTAGGATAGCGAGAGATCCATGATGCTGATCACACAGATAGTCTGCCCACGGGCTGTAGGAGAAAAATAACGTTTCGTTTCCGACTTGGAATGGCATTGAGGCGACAACATAGTCCTCCTCTTCCTGCATCAGCATGCACTTCAACCAGGAGAAGCCTTCGATTTTCCAGACATACTCGCCTGTGGCCACCGTCTCTGCGCAATTGATGCTGTTTCCGCCACTTGCTCGCATCACAGGTTGCTTGGTACTGAGGATGGAACCTCCAGCATCGGAGGCATGCTGCCACCAGGTCCGGTCCTCATCAAGTGACCGTCGACGCTCAGCTTCCAGCGCATTTTCCTGCTGCTCCTCTGCAAGGCAATATCTCATCTCCTCCAACTGTCTGCGCAGCCTGTTCCGTTCTGCCGCCTGGCCGGTCTCGGCAATGAGCTCCTGGCGCCTGGCCCTCTCTGCTTCCACCCGTCGCCGGGTGGCCTCGATCTCAGCTCGCAGCTCTTCGGCCGATGCCATGGCGGATGGCGGATGGCGGAGGGTGAGGTACGTGCAGTGCGTACCTGCGCAGCTTGAGATGAAACCGCCAGACTGGACATCCGACCTTGAGTGCTTAGCGCACTCCTGCAAACCGTCCCTTGTCATATATGTCCGTAGCTAGAGAGATGCGGCCACAAAACGATTGGCCATTGATCAGTAGGGCTGCGGGGTTCCCCTGCCAGGGTCTCGTGGGAGCAGCTTCGGACGGTGCCTCACAAGCAATGCCTGGTTTCGTCGAAACCGTTTTGGCTTGGTCCGGGGGCCTAAACTCCTTTTGTTTGCTTCGGGGCTCCGTTGGATTTGCCCGGCCCACAGCCGCTATGCGGCCATGCATGTGGCACTCTTAGAGACTCAGCGGCTCAACGAGACTGATTGAAGTCAACTCCTCGGATGCTCCGATGTACACTCCCCATTCCTCCCGAAACTTACCTTTGGTTAGTAGGGAATGGAGGAATGAGGGACAATTATAACTACTATTACTACCATTCTTCCATTCCCTAAGGTAAGGAAAGTCTGCGGCTCAACCCGAGCGAGACCCCCAGGCCTCAGGGACTTCTTCGAGATCGACCTTGTCGGCTACTCTCGTGATTCGGGAGCTTTCGAGAATAGGGGAGTATCCTAAATGGTGGGATCCTTACTAAACCCAAAATTAAGGTACCCTTTCGGAAATTCCCGTTTCACTGCAATGGACTCTACGAGGACCTTCAGCACGCGATTTTGGATGCCGGCCTGGCGCAGTCCGAAAATTCTTTTAGCAGCAGGGCATTTAAACCACACCACACCCCATGAAACCTTCTTGAACGAAACGCCGCATCAACAACGCCGGAAAGATGCCAACAAAGAGTTTTAAAATTTTAAAACTCTGGAGCCTGGTGGCCCCTACCCACTTTATGATCCTACTTGCTTGGGTCTACTGCTCGTCAACCCGCAGGCACCTAACCAAGCCCCCTGAGGCACTCTATAAGGGTCCGCCTGGACCCTATGGAACCTATACCTCTCCTTGTACACATGCCTTTCGAGTGTACGACCCTCCCAAAAAATCATGGGCCAGCGTCAATCTTCTGATTGGCAGAGACAGTGACACACATGCAGCAATGTCCCGCCAGAGTTCTACCGAAATGAGACGATGTCGGGTAGCCTCCGCCAGCTCTGCGAGTTTCGACTCCTTCCCTTCGCTTCCGGAGAGCTCGCCCACTGCCTCGGCCTCCTGCATTTTAGGGCCGAGGATTCTTAGGGTTACTACCAGTGTAAGGGTTGCCTTTGAGGGTTCTGTAACTGGTGCCTTTGAGATCTGCGAGGGTTCGATTTCGGCCACTACGAGCGTTGCTTTCAAGGACTATAAGGTGATATTGTTCCTGAATATGCTCTAGCAATTCGGACAGAACCAAACGAGGTCTCACGGTTCATAGTCGGTGTTGAGAGGGCTCGAATTCGAGCTTATACTCGAAATTTAGGCTTAGCGTTTTTTGTCTCGTACCTAGATAGGACGAGGTCGCATTGTAAGGTGGCGTTCAGGGTTTCTAGAGTCAATCTAAGCTGTGAGCTTCAGGAAACACATCCTTGAGGGGCTAAGATTGCCGCAACATAGTTTGGGGCTTTGGGTAGTTATGGGTTAAGGGGCATGCTTTGAGCATGCGCTTCAGGGAGCCACTAATTCTCGGTGGAGCTTCCTTGTGACGGCATCCTCTGCAGACTTTCGGATCTTTCAGCTCGATTTGGACACTTAAGACAGAGCGCAAAAGGCATTTGGGCTGAAGGCTTGGATCTACCCAGTGTCTGCCGAGAAGGTGCCAGGGCCAGGGTTTCTCCAATCTCCGTCAGCCCCGTCTTCTCCGCACTCGATCGTCATTCTATTGCCCCCGTCTCTGTGCACGATCCTACAGCAACTCCTGCGGAAGCTTCTCACGAATCCCAGAAACAGGCAAACACAGCTTGCAAGCATCCTCGTGTACTGGCGCCAGCGGCTCAAGATCGGGGATATGGCTTATTCTTGATGAGGACGCTCCTCCTGCAGCCGAGCCCGACTAGCATGGCATGGCTTGGGCCGCGGATCGGACATCACCACATGGAACAAGGTGTGACACGGTCGATGCATGAAGCTACCATACATTACTAGATTCTGGGTCGCAGCTTGACCGAACTTCCAAATTTGGAGGAACGGATATCTGCTGAGAACGCCACGAACTCGTCCTCGTAATCTTGGATTGACCCCGGTGGCATCTTCGGGATTTTTCAAGTGCCCGATGTCGTCTGAGAGCTGCGCATGGTGGCGAAGGGCATCCTTGCAGAGGTGTCTGAGACGAATCGTCGGAGCACACGATCGCTCCAGCGAAAAGGGCCCCATCAACTTCTGAAGAGTCACTTAAGGCATATGCACCGTGTTTGGCTGTAGACTGAAGTCCCTGTCCAGACGAAGCCGCTGCATATCCTAATGATAGTCGTCCCGACAAGTGGCATCGCTTGGGCAGTGGTCTGGAACGCGCCATAGATCTGTTGAGCCTGAACTTGCCAACACACGATTCGTTTTGTACATTGGTCAACATTATGTATACATACTATTGTGGTTGAGCTGGCTGTCCTCGTTAGCCAACATACAATATACAACCTGTCCTTGTTGGCCAAAGTGCCAAGATCATACTGCGTAGACTGAGGATACAAGATATGGCCTCAGGAAGACTTGCTAATCAATGCATTGCGTGTTGGAATACCTGCAGTTACCAGCACTCGTTCCAGCACTGAAACCGCTTTCTGGTGTTGGCACAGCTGATGCGATGCCACCTTCTCTTTGTGCTGCTATCTTTTGTCCTCCTTTCCTCCGCTAGTAACCGCTACTAGATTGTCTCACGCTCGTGCTACTCATCATTCTGTGACCAATACTCCCACTCGCTGCTACAAATGCCCATGCGCCGTTTGATGATTCACAGGATGTGCTTGCGGCTGAGTGGCCGCACGCCAGCGAACGAAGATTCGAGTCTGCGTGCCTTTCCTGTCAAGCATTGGGTTGCAACTCCATGGTTTCAATCATGCAACAAGCTGGCGGATGGCTCCTGCTGGCTTTTGCCTGCAAGGTCGCAGGGTGGGGCTGAGTGTTGCAGAGGGTCTCGAAACATGGCTTCAAGCCGTGTAGAGTGTAGCAGCGAGTCTTGGGATCTGTCTGCGCAGTGCTTTCAGCCTTGGGGGGACCGCCTTCGACAGGCTATGGAGCCGTCTCAACAAGATCTTGCACAAACAGATGAAGGCAACAATCAAATGTCGCTTTGTTGTGCTTCTCATCACAACAAGCTTCCCGTGGAGGACATGCACATTTTGGACTACGAGCATTGTCATAATCAGAATGCATGAAGCGAACTACGGAGCCATCCTGCAGCAACGGAATTCGGCAGGAGTGCTTGCTACATTGACGTCGCTGAAGGCAGTGCTTGGGCTTCCTTGCGTCTCGCTCTATCTCTCTATGAAATGCCCGCTTCGTGGTCATTGCCTTAATATCTACAACCTACTACCCAATACCCAGCCTGAAACGTAGCTTCTGAAGCTTAGTTTAGTCCGTCGGTCTCGCCACCTCGCCCTGATCAAGAGCTCCGATGGCCCCATCGCGGGGTACCAGCCTGTGGAAAGGGTTGGCTTTCGTCAAGGCTTTAAGGCAGCTGACAGCTCGGACCTGATCTGAGGGCACACCACTCTTGGACAGCCCACGCCCCGTTCCGCACCTCCAATGGATCACTGGCGCCTCACTTGGAACGAGCAATGGGCTTGAAAGGTGCTAGGCTTAAACAAAAGGCTTCGGACTTAGGACTCGTAGCTTTCTGAACTAACTATGTCGCCTGTTCCAGCGAGGCACTATATCGAGGCTAGTCTTTTGCCATGCCCTGTTAACATATGAGCACACGCGAAGATGCAATCGAATCCCTGATGACCTTGCCTTGCACCTTCCAATCAGAGAGTAGCTATGGGCTCAATCCGGGTCGATACGAAACCCTTTTGAACGAAGTCTTTGTATACCAATTTCTTGGCACTGGTCTTTGTATACCCCATTCAAACCCAAACCCTTTCATGTGGCAACAATTTTTCACATTTGCAAGCTTCAGGGATAAAGATGCTCGCCCGGGTTGACGCCGGCGTGGCATTTAAGCGGACCCGTCGCAGCTTTGAAACCGAGCCTCCAGTCGTAGTATGTTTCAGGGTGATCCCCTGAAAAGTGGACATTGCTCCCAACAACATCTTAGAGCTCGTAGAGGAAGGACAGTGACTCCGAATCAAGTCCCAGGCCTTCAATTGGAAACCTGAAAACCATGAAAATGAACCACAGCCCCTTCCACTAACTATCGAAGCACCATAGCCGCAATAACAACCAGTGGTTGCCGTAGTGGTGGTGCTTTGGTAGTGACTGTGGGCATCAGTAGTAGTAGTAGTAGTAGTAGTAGTAGTAGTAGTAGTAGTAGTAGTAGTAGTAGTAGTAGTAGTAGTAGTAGTAGTAGCAGTAGCAGTAGCAGTAGCAGTAGCAGCAGCAGTAGCAGTAGCAGTAGCAGTAGCAGTAGTAGTCGTCGTCGTAGTAGTAGTAGTAGTAGTAGTACGTAGTACGTAGTACGTAGTACGTAGTAATGTGGGTGTCGGTTTTGGAACATAGGCCCCTTTAATGCGTCGGCTCCGGGGCTAATTCCGAATCTTACCAAAAATTTGGGTGTTCTAATTAATGCGTTTTTTTTTGGCTGGGGCGATTTTTTGGTGGCGGGGCTGTGCTATTTGCTGATGGTCAATCTTAAGGCAGCCACGACCTAAACCCCCACCCAAACCCCCACCCAAACCTAAAACCCTGGCCCTGAAGCCCGAAAATCTCTTGCAGAATTGTTTCGCTTATTGGGGCGTCAGGAATGAAAATCTGTACTACTACTGTACTACTATTATACTATTGTACTGCTACACTATACCTTGATTATTGGGGGGGGGGGCTGCTAGGGTGAACCGCCGAATCGGGGATTGGACCCTAGCTCAAAAGAGGCCTCTCCAGTACTAAAGTTTGTATAAAAATTAAGTTTTGGGTCGAATCTGGACCGACCCCCTTTGGGAAGGGTTTGGGGCTTAGGGTTTAGGGTTTGTTATAGGGTTTAGGAGTTTAGGATGCGTTAGGGTTTAGGGTTTGTTAAGGTTCAGGGTTCAGGGTTTAGGGTTTCAGGCGCTGGCTTTATGCTTTGCTTATTGGGGGAATGTGCTCACTGGCTTTTGCTTTGCTTATTGGTACTATTTCTGTACTATTACTGTATTACTACTACTGTACTACTAGTGTACTACTGTACTACTATTGTACTACTACTGTACTATTACTGTACTACTATTGTACTACTGTACTTTTTTCGTACTACTACTGTACTACTATTGTACTACCACTGTACTACTGTTGTATTGCTATTGTACTACTGCACTATTATTGTACTACTACTGTACTACTATTGTACTACGGTACTATAATCGTACTACTACTGTACTACTATTGTGCTACTATTGTACTACTGTACTATTATTGTACTACTACTGTACTACTATTGTACTACCACTGTACTACTATTGTACTACTGTACTACTATTGTACTACTGCTGTACTACTATTGTACTACCACTGTGCTACTGTTGTATTACTATTGTACTACTGCACTATTATTGTACTACTATTGTACTACTACTGTATTATTTCTACTGTGATACTATTGTACTGCTGTACTATTATTGTACCGCACCAAGCTTCAGACGTGGTCGATTGTGGGTGGGAGTGTGGGAGTGTAGGTTACGGAGGCAAAAGTGTTCAAAATGAAGGGTTTTTAGTTTTGGTAGTAATCTTGGAGTGTCGGGGCTTGGTTTCCAGCATTTGGTGACCCCAGACCCCCCCGACCCCCGACCGCGCAGAACCGCAGACCCTGCACCCAAGCCAGCCCCCAAACCTCGGCACCTCCCAATTCCCATGTATTTTTTTGGTCGGGGGGGTTACCCTACTAGTAAACCGACACCCACATTACGTAGTACGTCGTCGTCGCAAGACTGCTGCTTTTGGTACTCGGATCGACCCCCAATCCCAAACACGGTTGATACCCATCGCCATTAAACTTCAGACTATGGCCAGGGGACGCCGCTGCGCACGCGGTGAGGAGTCAGGCAGTGGCTTGCCGGCCAGTCGGCAGCTTCAAGAAGAGACTGGACGCAGGGCCAACGGCTTCAGCAGTTGTTCATTTGCTCCTTTCTGGTTTGATTGCCTCGTGTAACTTAACGAAGCTTAAGAAAGAGAAAACGCAAGGTACGAGTAGGACCAACATGACCTTCCTTGCAAGCCCTTGCTCCTACTTCAGAGTCGAGGTGGCCGATGGGCCACGGCAAGGAGCGTTAAGCGAATCAAGGCTCGACGGGGTTCGGTTTGAAAGCAATCGTTGGACGCTGAGTGTGTGTGTGTGTGGGGCTCACATAAGAGGGCCACGACTGATTGCTGCCGTTAGTGTGTCAAGCAGCAGCTGATCTCCTAGGAAAGCTTGCAAAGCCAAAAGTTCTGTAGTGTGCTTCTTCTGCTGGCTTTGCAAATGAATGAGGTTTTAATTGCTTGGACTAAAGGATGAAATCTCTGACAGGAGAAGGACCTGGCCCCGATGCTGCATGCTCTACCAGAATGATAAAGCAACTACTCCCTCAACTCCACATCTACAGGACGACCACAGGAGCGTGAACAGTGCTGTTCTTGCCTGAAGCGCTTCTGTCGTGAGGCCCTTTAGCCACAACATACTGTCTGACTTTAGCCGCAGTCGTGGGAACCCTCGAGTTCCAGAACTGCAACAGTGTTGTGCTTCGCACCTGCACGACGCCAGCGCAAAGGCTGTCGCTGCCTTGGCCGAGCTTTAAGACGACTTCGAGAGGGATGTTGAACGAAGCTTGAAAGTGTGAGCTCATGGCACATGGGATACAGGCTCTTGTGAGCCACCTGCCTAGCTGAGGCACATCAAAGCAAGGTTAACAGCTAATTTTAAGTCCGCGTGTGGGTCGGCTCTATCCCAGCTATGGGAGATTCCTGAGATCACAGAGTTTCGTTAAGCGTCTGCGGCGTGAACCATCACAGCAGGCCAGAATAAACAGCAATCTGAAGTTGCCCACAACGATTTTAAAGGCTTCCTCAAAGATACTGTTCGGGGCGGGCGTCATCGCATCTTGTAATGCCTCAAGAAGCACACCTAGTGCTCAGTCAACTGAAGCTAAAGTTAACTTCCGAGACGCTGAAGCGCTTGAACCCTGAAAAATGAAGTCTTTCTGGCATGTGGGTCTTTGAAGAAAGGTTTTGAGGACACTGTGTGCAATCGCCGGCCTGACACACACAAACACAAACATCTCCGAGAACATCAGAACCAGGACCAGGCCCAGCGACTGCCTTCCGATGCTCCTTCCAGGGCTCCTTCCAAAGCCTTGCTGAGCAAGTATGGGAAGGGAGGGCTGAGCCTACAACTTGACCCATCGGTCAGTCGTCAAGACAAGAAATCCCAACATGTGGTCCACTGAACTTGCGCTATTGACCGCTATTGGGGCTTGCAGGATTTCGGTTCAGGCACATCTGACGGTTATGTGTTGCTTCGGCAAAACACGTTGCACAATGTGATGCCGGATGCTGCTCGCAGCATCTACTACATTTTGGCGACACTTCCAGAGAACGGTTGCCAGCTTGCGGGTGAAGTCACGCATTGGGAGGGCGGTCTGTTGAAATGCCGGGCTTCCAAATCCGTGAAAGAAACTCACGCAAGCGAAGATCGGGCTTGGCACAGCTTCTGGAAACTCATTAGGGTGTAAAGCACGCAGTCTTGAAGACCCGGCTCTTACATCTCAAACTTCGACATAGGCCGCCGCTGCTTTTGATTGCGGCTTTTCGTCCCCATGCCCCATGCTGCTTCCGGTTGAAAGTGAAACACCCCTTCCTGACCTGCGGCTCTTTGATGATAATGGTTGGGGTCTCTGCGAAAGCTCAGGGCTGTTTGTTCTACCCACCTAGCTGGACCGGCATGTCTCAACTTAGTGTAGGTCGAGGCACCCTGAACCCAACCCCGAAACCACTTCGATCCACTTCGGTTTCGTGTTGCGCACGCCGCACGTCAGGAATAACCACAGCTCGAGTTCATGCTCGGCTGTGCTATGGCACCCACACTTAATGGCAGCAAACGAGTGGTAAACAAGATACGAGTAGCACGATACTGGTGCTGACCATGGTGGCGAGGTGAAGCTCGCAGCGTCGATGAAACAAACAGGTAATGAGACTCACGATTTTTATACAACGAACACCGGTTGACTGGTTGAACAAATGGAGGCCGGCTTTCCACATCATCTGCTACATGGTCACGCGAGAGCTCTGGCGGGAAATCCGAAAAGGCCAGGCTTCTTGCCTCACTTCAAGACCCGGGTAGTCATGTTCCAAAACCTCCCAGGGATTTCTTTGAGGGCTTGGACATGGGAGATATCGCGTGTCAGGAGCAAACACCTCCACCAAGAGCTTGACGCCAGGCGTCCTTCGCTCCTGAGCCTGCGCGGAGGACAAGACACAGAGCCAGCACCGATCACATCAATCATGGCATCAACTGTCCGTGTCAAAAGCCACTTGCTGCAACCAATCGCCAACTGAAAGCCCGCGAACATCCGCCTTCATGACAACTTCGAAGTTCTCCTGCTCGCAGAAGTGGGGATACTGGCTGGACCACCTGCAGTGGGCGTCCCAGATCCGCTGGCGTGCCACGTCGTTGTCGTGGTACTTGTCCAGCATGGTACTTGTTACGCCGGAGACGCCTAGGTTTGGAGTTCAAGCCGCTTCAGGCCGGGGATGCTTGACACGGCTTCCGGGCTGCTTAACTGCGGTTCGCAACAACGGCCCTGACTTGAGGGTCTTGGAGTCTTGGTGCAATTTGATGTTGAGGGCAAAGACATGCAAAACTTGTGCAAACATCCGAGACCACTTGCCAAGGGACGAAACCAGCTCCACCAATCGCATGCCCGCTCAGGCTGGAGCAGCTCCATACAGGTCTCATACCTGACCCAGGAACCCCCAGCAACCGCTCTGCGAACACCCGGAATCCAAATGCCGAACAAAATCCAAGGCCCGAAATCTTTCAGCGCCTTGACCCTCCCCCCCATCATTCAACCTCTCCCACTCCTTCTCTGGGGACCCGAACCCGCCTTTCGAGTTGGGTGAGGCCCGCCAAATCCAAGAACTTCGGCCCTGACTGCGTCTGAAAGTCCGGGCTGAAAATACTGGTGTCCTTCCGGATCTGGGGCTGGGAGAGCAGAAAGTTCGTCACATTACGGACATGCGGTGCTACTGCTGGAACTGCGTAGCGTACTGCCACCGCTGCCACTACTCAATACTGCCACAGTTGCAGCTACTACCGCAGCCACTGCGATTTCCACTAGCGGCGAAAGCGACGATGTACTGTTACCAGTACATACCGGTACTACTGCCACTGTTGCCACTGCTACTGCTTCTGTACGGCGACGACAACCGCGGCGAATCTTCGACGGGGACTGCTACGACGCCTACTGCAGCAAATGACTTCTACTGCCGAGGGCTTGGCTGCTACTGACAGTCTTACTATTGTGCTACTGCTCTTGCCTAAAATACTCGCAGCATGTGACTGAAGTGCATAGGAAATAGCCACAAAACCAGTCACACTGGAACCCATTGGCTGCGGAGTATGAAAGACTGCGATGATCTCGATATCACGAAAATGCCCGTCCTCTCTTCTGAGAAAGGAAGAAGCGGCTGAGTCCTTCGACTTATTTGCATATGAGGCATCTCGCTGCCGCTACATGCTGCCCCACAAGCCTTTCAAGTACCGAGGGCATCGAACTCAACTGCCTGGACACAGGCCCCGCTAACAACGTACCCAGATCCTCCAGAATCCGTCCGACAAGTGGGTTCCGCTCCACAATTTCATCCATGCTGGGCAGCTCAAGAGCATAATCGGGTTGCACATAACCTCGGCAGATGCCGCATCAAGTCCGGCCGGCAAACAGACTGCGGATGATGTGTGAACTCAAATCGAGATGATGGCCCACGCCTAGCGGGCCATCATTTGCAGCCGTGGCGGCAGTTCTAGCCAACCCCTCGCATTGCTGGCCAAAGAGCTCGCAAAGCACGTGAGGTCATCACCCCCGTATGGCTCCTACAGGAAAAAGCTTAAGGATCTGCAGAGAACTTCCACTTCTCTCTTCTTCTGCCATTGCTTAACATTGACCGATGTAACACTGTCATGCTACAAACGCTAAGCCTGAGGTGTTATCAACGTAGATGCAACTGCATCCAATGTCGAAGCGGCCGATCCATGCGAGGCCTAGTCTCATTGCGAGCTTGCAGCGGCGCGTCCTCCGGCTCCAGTCTCGTTGCCGTGTCGATGTTCCCGCCTCTGACTTCAACGAGAAACAGCATGAGAGAAGGCATCGTTGAACAGCATCGCTCTGGGCGACAGGAAGTCCAACAAAAAGGAAAGCAAACTCGCGTCCGCCCTGAATCCCAGAATCTCACATGCCAGAAAAGCTGAAGCAGCGCCAAGAGCCAAAGCATATCTGCATCGCACCGCGCACAGACACACACACACACACAGATCTATCTATCTATCTATCTATATCTATATCTATATCTATATCTATATCTATATATATATATACACCTGCAAACTCCTGACGGCTGAAAATTATGCCCCCGACACCAAAAGACTCCTTTTTGGATTGATGGCTGCTTTGGGGTTCTGGGCGGCGGAATGTGTCTGCTGGCGGCGGATTTGCTTCGCCATGCTTCGCAATCCTTTGGGCTCTCTTGCCGCGGGGTCTGATCTGTCTGTTGCTGTTAGGTGAACAGTCTGCTAGTCGTAAAAAGCAACCTAAACATCGAACTGTGGACACGAATCTTAAATGACGTGACCGCGCCACGCCGATGGCTGCGGGGTGCAAATACCACCCCAGGGTGCAGCAAAATGCATGCAAAGCTGTTTGAACCGGCACTGCAGGGTTGCTGCACGCTTTCGCTTGAAAGTCCTGCTCAACAAGCCATCGATCTTGATCTTGCTGGTAGTGTCTCGGAATGGCGGAGTGTGCTGCCAGATGCTATCTAACTCTTATTTGTTGGTTTTCGACACGATTGTTACAGAATTCCGAAAGGTTGTCGAAATCGGCGTCAGAATTTTCCCAAACCGGCGGCGGAAACAGGCGGAATACGGCGGAAAAGCGCGGAGAGCCATTTTTCATGTCCCTACATGCTCAGGGTGATTTGACTTGAAAGTCCGATTGCTGTTCGTTCGAAACCTTCAACAGCAAACACCACACACCCCTGCCAACAGCGAGACTATTGTGATGGGACAAGTTATAGGTACACCACCACAGCCCCGGGCCAACTGTCCTAACAAGTTGCTAGACCCCTACTCAGGTATCGTTTCATGATGCTAAGGGGCAACTCAACACTTTCTCTAGCTTTTTGGCACCTGTCGAGACATCAACCCTGAAGGGATGTTTTATCTCCCCCCGAATGCGTGCCTGCTGCACCTATGGATACATCCCTGAAGGAGATGGTTCCTGCTTTGTATGCCCCGCCCAAACGTTTAAGCATGTCTTTGGGGTCCTTCGTTGTCGGCGGTTTTCAGTTGGCTCCGGCGGAACTGTACATGTGGCGGCATTTGTTTCTGAACTACCCTACAAAAACGCCTCCAGGACCAGCGGCGGAAAATTCTGCCGCCGGATCTTGCAGGTATATATATATATATATATATATATACACATGTGTGTGTGTCACAGACGCAGCCATTGCATAGCCGGCCTTTGAGCTTGCAAGCCCACGGCCCGCGCAAGAGCTGCAGCTTCTTGTAAACCGCTGCGTCCAGGACGTCTGTGGCTCGGAAGCTTTGTTTTAGGCTCCATGGATTTGCCCGGGCACAGTCGCTATGCTTTTGGCAGCCATTCAGGAAAACAACCAAGTTTAGGGGATAACCGGATCTCCAGCCGCATCCGCCCCTGCTGTCGCTGGGGGGGACGATACAGGCTCTCGCTACTGGGTCATGGCTTCTTCTTGGAGCTGCACACTGCCCATGAATCTACTCCATTTGGGCTGACAGGCCCAGCCGAAGAAACGCGAAAAGCAGGCCAAATGGTGCAATCGAGAGAACATGTTCTGCACGAGGAACGGTGCTTGCTGTTTGGGACGGAACCTTGCCTTGTCACAACTTTTTAGATCTTCAACAGGCTCAGCTGGAGAAGCTCTGCCCAGGTTTTTGCCATAAGCAGAGGTTGCAGGATGTATGCACAACGCACCATGCTTCCAGCCTAGACTCCACCTGCCACAATTAGTTGTACGACCATCAAGGAAGACAGCTTCGGTCCAGTCCACCTTTCAAGATGTGCCGTGTGCCCTGGCCCTCCAAGTCGACCGTCGCCTCCTCCGAAGTTCAAGCAAAAACATCTATTATTACTATTATTACTACTATTACTATTATTGCTATTACTATTCTCATTATGGGAGCTGACATTCGGTTGACTGTTGAGCATACGGCAACAGGCATCTTCATGCCCTCAACAAGACGCACGCTTCCGACCAAGTGCTGGCCACCCAATGTACTCTTGCAGAACCCTTGCCCATACTGCCCCACTGGTTAACCTTGCATAAGCAACTACAAACTACTAGCATCTGCAAGCTAATGATCAAAACCTTTGCTTCAAACGAACAAGGTCGGACTTTAACCCTTAGCCTGACTTCCGGGAATGGAGACGAAACCTGAAAGTAAGCACAGTTCTTCCGGGAGCCTGTGCTAATCGCAGCAGGCCGGGGAGGTACCTAGGAGAGCAGGCAACAGGGAGATGCAAACGATAGAACAATTAAGTGCAGGATGGCCTGTGAAACTCGCACCAGAGAAACATGGCCACCCACTAGCATTGCAGAAGCACTCGGCAGGCTACCAGTAGCTGCTAGCCTTCCCTCCCACGTCGAAGCCAAGAAGCTGATTCTGATGCGCATAGTTGGCGAATTGGATCTGCGGAAACCTGATCTTGCGCGACTTTGCACCAGGGCTATTGAGCAAGTAAGCGAAATCAGCTGGCTGCACTTTCAGTATGATGTAGCAAATAATGCCAGCGCCAAGTGGTAAACTTCCTGCTTCACAGAAATCTAGTGTCCCGTTTTGAGGACATTGCCAGGTATCAATGTGCAATTAGGGCAACAGAAGAAACGGTAATGCAGCTGAAGCAACCCGCACGCGGCAACCACCCCACCTCCCGCACCCTGGATGCTTTGTGAAGATGCCCCCTGATTTACGCATCTTGTGTTACACTCAGACAGCGACCATGCTGGATGCGTTAGGTCAAGGAAAGCACGACTGGAACAGTGATCCAGCCAGCTGCTTTTCGACAAAGATCGCCAGATCACGTGCAACTGTCAAGGGTGACTGCGAAAGCGCGCGGATTTGAAAATGAGTGGAGCATGACTCCGCGGGAATTGCTGACAATGCATCCCGATCTGGACCCAGACGTTTCGCGAGCTCTAAAAACAAGGCCACAATGATGCGGCCCAGCCACAGCACGTGGCAGGAGTACTTATCGGGGCGGCATGATGTCAGCACCACTGGCTCCGGCTCCTGTGGCCGGCTCTACAGATTCACACAGAGGCTGGAAACCTCAGGAGCACGTATCCAGTGCTGAGAGCCATGCAGCACGTTGCACTCTCTACGGCATCAATATCGCGGGACCGCTGGCATGAACCATATGGGTGGTTGTAAAAATTATGGTCCCTTTTTGGGTCCCTATTATAATATGGCACCGATTATCTAGGGTACCCAAAAAGGGGCCATCATTTTTGACAACTACCCATGTGAACCTTATCCTGAAGTCGTAGGTAGGCTAGAAATTACTTGTGTGGATCGGCCTCTTGCCCGGATCGTCAGAGCATGGTCGGGTAACTTTGAAAAACGACGACTCTCCAAACATGCACAGGCTGCGCCTCGATGTTCCATCCAAGCTCGTCTCCGCGGAAGTAGAGCCGCACGAAGAGATGCAGCAATTTCTTGGAACGGCATGTGTTGGTGCAAGTCTTGGAATATGTGCAAGGTTCTCTTGGTTGTGGCTGCTGGAGCATGCGTCAGGTTAGTTTATGTTCTTCACGGACTAGCTTTCGTAGCAGACTAAGTGTCTCCCTTGTCTCTCTGGGTCTAAGTGCCCCGTCGTCTGCTGCAGCACAGTGTGAGGCTGCTTCTCGTGCGCTTGGGCCAGAAGCGCCCTAAGGGGGTTGCTCCCACTTCAGCTCATTCCCATTGCCATGTGTCCATGCTTGATTCTACTTCCCTCGGTCTGGCGTGCAGAACTTCCGTTTCCATAGCGGCCTAGTGTCGATAAGGCTCGCATGAGAACCGTTGTATGCCGCATCACCGTCGAGGTCAAAGTACAAGCAACGAGGTCTGCTCTCCTCCAGCACCTGCATGGCATGGAAGAAGCACCCTCTTGAACTATGCTTTTCCGAAAGCTTCTCGCAGAATCGTGTGACAGTGTGTATCTTGGGACTGTCTTTGGCGGAAACCGTGCTCCCGCCACGGTCCCATAATACTTTTGGCGCAAGTGCTAGCAGGGTTACGCTATGAGGCTTCTATGGTCTTCAGGTTCCGCCGTTCTGGGGGCTTCGCGTAAAATGGCCGCGGCTGTTGGAGCCGCTCGGCCAACTTTACTCCAGGAATGGTTCAGCGTTTGGGTTCTGCGCTGGGGATATGTATTGTTCCCAGTGTGCACACCTAGGCATGCCGGTGCCGGGCACAGTCCGTGCTTCCCACAACCTCTTGCCGAACTCAGGTTGTGGTCATCAGGGCTTGGGAACATTGATATTGCTGAAGCTTCTTCGAGGGAGGGGCATTCATATGCACACACAGCCATGGCAACACACGCGTGTGTGTCCTTCTGTCTGCCTGCCAGTCTATATGAACATGTCATTTGCACAAAGCATGCATCGAACCATGCTCTACTACGTCATGAACTGCAAAACCGGAAAACGGGTATAATGAGACGTGCTGCAAAACTCCGTCGCCCAACACGACGTACATAGTCACATATACCAATATATGCGTACATGCATACATGTAAACATACACATGTAGATATGTATACATGTACATGTATATATCGATATATTCGTATCTTGTCATATATATATATATATATGTATGTATGCATGCTCAGCTGCCCTTGTGACAATGTACTCCTGGCAGGTGAAACCGGGGGGGGGGCGACCACATATATAAATTTGCATGTATACATACACATAACATCCCCCCACACACACACACACACAAATGAGCAGTCTGCGCGCCACACTCTTTATAGCCACAGGAGTGCTGAGGGAACCTCGTGTTATCTGCAAGATCTCTCGTGGCCTCGTTGAAGAGCTGGACCTGACCTCGATGGCGATGATTCTCAATCTCCTCCCAAAGCTCCTGGCTCAGGTTGCCTTAATGTTACCTTTTTATATGTATGTGTATATATATATACACACATTACAATATATATATATATATAGTAAATTTATTCACGTATTATATTATATTCTATTCTCGATTAGATACTGTCGTGCCTTGAAACAATGCCTCCCAATTCACCCGAAACCCCGAAGCTCCAAACCTCAGGCTCTTGATGCCCAACATCCGACTTGCGGCTTAAAGCTCACTAGGTCACTAGGGATCTTGCCGCTACGATCCGGCGTCATAAGGCGAGATGGTAACACCAACTACGAATTCAGATACAGTGAATGTAAAAAGCCGGACTTTGCATCGCTGGCAGCGCATCTCGGTAGAAGGTCACCCTCCAAGCTCGCCTTCCCCATTCCTAACACTCCCGTCAGTGTCTTCTGCAATTCGGATCTCCTCGTGGCTGTGGAACATGGAATACTTCCTGAGAATCTTTGGGGCTGCGTGGGGGCTCTGCTTGCTGGGTGCGCGGTCCCTGAGCTCTTGGCCTTGGGACATGCTCAACAAAAACATACAAGCATGACAGTATCTCCTCAATGCGGCCTCTGCGTCTGTATGTTTTTCTGAATCCCTCAACGTCACAGCCGGATTCTCTGAACCGTGGCGAGGCCTATGCTGTCTTCAACATGAACCCGTGGTTTCAGAGTGCATCGTTTGCAAAGTCGGGTGGCCCTGACCCCTTGGAGCAGCCAAGCTTCATTGCTTGGCCCACGAATCCTCGTCCTTCCTGGGGGTGATCTAATCACATTTCAGGTTCTCGAACCCGTGTATAAGACCCCATCCAATTACGGTATTAACACACATGAGAACGACACGCCGCGTCGTCGAACGAGCATAGCAGCCTTCAATCATGTAAGTTGAATCAATCCCTGTGCCTATGCTGCCTCAAGCTATGTGCTAGAGGCTAAAGTGCCAGCCCTCCCTGAAACAGGCGTCCTGAGGCTCAATGGCAACCCCAAGGCCTACACTCCATTGGCAATCGAGATGCCCGAAGAAAGGGGGTCTCCCGCGCGTCTGCCTCGTACTCGTACGGCGATGCTACAAGCACACTGTCATCGGACCTTGCTCTCGCAGTTTCTCGCTCCGGTTCATGCCCTTACGACTCAGATGTTGTCTGATTGTCTTGCAGCCTTGACTACTCTAGGCCGACAACGCCCCACTCCATTGTCCATTGATATACGATCCATGTTTATGCGTTTGTTGAAGGCTTCAGGCTTTCTGCCGGGTTACATGGTGTCGTCTTGCGTCCACAAGGTTCCCGGCTTTCCTAAACACAAGACTTCCGGCTTTGTTGCCAAGAACTGCACGCCGCCTCGAGCTCACAGCAGCTTCATGTCGCAACCCTGTGCTGCGCACGAAAAGGCAGGCTCCTGTCGCTCTGGAAACCAAGAAGGTACAGGACTAGCATGAGGGGAGGGACGTCACGAACGACATACCTGAGTACTGTCACCTTAGGCTTTCTGTAGTTGCTGTGCTGATTGAGATGCTCTTCGATTTCCATGCCCTGCGTATATTTTCTACACCGGCCCTTACTTTGTACAGTGCTTTAGTGCCTTAAACATACTCACCGTTTCTGAACATAGGCTCCAATCCAGTAATTAAGGCTACAAAGCATTGAACCGCTTCTGAGCTACACGGTGGTTCGCTCGTAGAGCTGCGCCAGGCTTTTGTGCCATTCCAGGTTGTGCTCATACTTGCGGAAGCCACGCCTGCAAACATGAGGGTTGTTTGGGCGTGGCATGTCAACGCGCACAACCTGGGATTGCAGCTTGTAAATCACAGCAGTATGGGTTGACTTTCGGCTGTCAATATGGGGCATGTGACTGTTGCGTGGGTCGCCTGCTTAGCACCAAACCGCCATTTTCCACAACCACTCCTGCTCAACAGCTTAGGCATTCGATTTCGGACAGGCAAGCTGCGATTCTAACTTGACTTTCTGTCGGAAGTCACTACTGCCAACTCTCGATGTAAGTGTTCTGTGGAGGCTTCTGTAATGAAACCAAGGCCCAGAGCCCGAAAGCATGCGCCTGACAGGCACGGTCACCGCATGACGTAGGCCGAGGCGGGATGGCGCAGCCAAGAGCCGGGAGAGCAGCGCCATGCCAGAAATTCAGCGACAAGTCTCAATCTCTAGATTGACACGATGAGAAGACAAAGTCATAACTGCAATAACTCTCTTTTCCAGGTTCTTGTCACGGACACGCTTCTGTTCATGCGGTCAGTATGACATGAAGCTCCTGCACTTTGTTTTCCTGCTTGAAGAACCTTGAAGACATTTGCCTAAGGGGTTCACTTTGCGTGAATGGGAAAGATGAGTGCCTGGCTAGCCTTATACCTTTTACCAAGACCAGGACTTGCGAACACATAAGGGTTCCTTGATGGCTCTATAAGGGATCCTTAAAGGATTCTATAAGGGATCCTTATCCTTAAAGCGTTCTATAAGGGATCCTTAAAGGGGTCTATGAGGGATCCTGAACGGGTTCCATAAGGGATCCTTAAAGGGGTCTATCACAGAAGCTATGGAGACCGCCACCAAGGCCTGACATGGGCCGTTTAGGCCCTTGTGGCCTCGTTGTGGCGCCGAAGGAAGTGAGGTCTGGACCCTACTATTTCTATTATTATGATCATTACTATTACTATTTTTATCCTTACTAAAATGATTATCACTATAGTTCTTACTATTAGTGTTATACTTAATATTACTATCATTGTTTTTACCATTATCATTCTTATTATGACGCCCTCTCTTTCTGGTGTGACGTCACGGCTCTATCTGCTGCAAGGAAGCTGTAGGCGACGGCTGCAGGTCATCCTGCCGGCAGGCTTCTGCATGCTTGTAGCAACTGTACATGTAGCGCGACAGGTCGCAAACGGAAGCCGCTCCTGAAGACGTCACCAAGTCTTCACCTCCCTACCACATCCCGAACCCTAGTCAAGCCCCGATGCCGCAAATCCGTTTACTCTTGCTGATGATTGCAGCTGGCACCTTCGTGCTATGGCTAGAAATGCAAACCCACAACATCACCAACCCGTTCGAGACCATTGCTCACCCTCGGCCTCCACAGCAGCGATGGCCTCGTCCGGCGACGGCTCCAAAGCACCTCGGCAAGGCTTCGGACCTCACTGAGCTCACTTCCAGCGAAGCTTCGACAGCTCAGCGGAGCTAACCTAAGCCAGATGATCAGGCAGCACAATGGACTTAAGATATAAAGCTTAACACGTCCAGGAGCTGCCAAAACCAGAGGATTGGAAGTTCGGCCTAGATCGGAACCTCAGAACCCCAAACCCCCATGCCTGCGAGGCTGTGTAGGCACAAGCTCGAAGATGAAGCCCTGAACCTAAATTCTAGCTGCAGGCACGTCCGGAACCGATGGGCAACGCCTTTCTCGCACGCCGGGGCTTGGGTGAGGTGGGCGGCTCCTCCTCACGTAGGGAAGTGTTCAAGCTTGGGCTTGGGGGCATCATGTATCATGAACGGCCAGCATCGAAGCCCCCTGGGGATGTCTAAGCAAATCCAGGCTAGGTTGCAAAGGAAGTGAGCATACTCCGACCATCCTGCACTCATGGCTTCTTCGTTTGCTCCTTCGAAGGGACCCATGAGACAAGTGAAAGCACTCCCGAACCCCTTAACCCTAAAACCCAATGATGCAAAGTCCCATCCTGCTCTGTCAGCGCCGGCTGTGTGCTTGATGAAGCGCGAGGCGTACCAGCAGACCTGAATATTAGAAACTTTCACGATGAGGGCATATAATTGTAACGTAACAACAATAACAGTAATAACAACAGTTGTAAGAACAATAATACCCTACAAACTTTAAAACGAATAGCAAAAACAAGAATACACATCATAATAGCGATAAATTTCCAACAAAGCAGTAAGTAGTAATAGGAGGAGCAGCAGCAGGAGGAGGAGCAGTAGTATGTCGTAGTGGAGCATCACAGTGGAGTCCGTGGCACTAGGAGAGAAACTTACTCTCACCAGATGTCGTCAGCTGGGCTTCATCTTTCATGCCTGCGACAACAGCCTAGGAGAGCATAAATGCTGGAGGTTTGCAGCTCACCGCCAGCAAGCAGAGGCGGCCCTTTTCGTAAAAGGCTAATAGTCTACATACTTTTGGGGTCCAGGTAACCGTTCAAGAGACTCAGGAGGGCTCTTCTCAACATGGAAGCACCGAATATGCACCAAGGTCGGTGCTGCAGCAAGGTCTTGGCGACGGCGGGTCTGCGAAGCCTCTGAGCATAGGGCCACCTGGCAATATGATGTCGTAGCCCACAACCATATCATATAACATGATACTGATACACTCAAAAATGATTCGCTGTTGTGACTTTGGAGCTATGCTGTAGGGTATGAGCTCATTGAAGACGTTTTCGATGATAGGGTTGCAATTTGTATAATATCTTTGCATCCTGGCGGAATAGGCTGCTCGCAACAACCTTCAGAAACACCCTCGTCGCGCAGTGTGTCTTCGATCGATATGCTACCCTCGGCGAAAACCGAAATCTAAACGACAATGCCCACTGTTGCATCAAAACAAGTAAACACAAACCCGTTCCAAATTCCTAGAGCCAAAGGCTATAGTGCCAGAACGTCGAGCAAGAACGTCCGTCTCGAAGCCAGCGACAACACGTTCTGTGAGATGGTGAGCGTGAGACTCGAGAATTTTATTTTCAGCCAAGTCCCCAGAAGGCCCCACCAAAATCCAGGCACACTGAATAACAGGCCTACTTTTCTGCCACTGTCAAGGCCACGCTTTCCAAGACCATAGACTCCTAGACCCCACAGCAGGGCGAGTCGCGAAGTTCGATCGAAAACCAACAAATGAGGAAACATGCCGAGCCACAAGGCGAGTCCTAGCATGGCACGGGTGAGGCTCAGAGTGCAAAGCAGCAGGAATGTGGCAAAGGAGGTTGCAGACCTTGGAGGCTGTCAGCTTTGGCCGGTATCAGACGATATGTCTTGACAGAGTTGGCATGGGATCTGTCCGGCGGCCGCTAGCCAAAACAAACACGCCGGCCCAAGAAATCAGGCCTGTGCAAGCCATGTGAAATCCGAAGACTTTCTATCAGCAAAGAGGCAAAACATCATCTGCTGGTTTGGCCCAGACATTCCACCACGATGATGGCTCTGACAAAGCCATGCGGCCATCCTTTGCGACATCTCCGCGGACAAACAGGCTTGGCGGGAGCTGAGGAAGCATGCAGTCTGGCACGAGTGGCCGCCTACATGTACATCTTCCCGCAGAGTCCATGGCACCCTCGACACCAGCGGAGAAACTGCATCCAACATCTGCCAAGCTGCCATTGCGTCATCCCCACGGGCCTTGGAGCATGCTGCGAAGGACACACAAGGATGCCGCGAACATTTGCATTCAAAATCACGGATGGGACTTCGGAGGAATTACTTGGAGGGTCACGTCACAATAAAATGCCCGAAAGCACTTCGGTATGCAACAGTTGCACATGCCTGATCTAGTGACTGTCTTCTCTGGTTTGGGTCCACAGTTGGCAAGTTGGTTTTCTGCGGAGTATGCTCTTTCCCTGCACAAAAAGCATCAAGTTCTCACACTACTTCATTAGAAACTAGAATCCTCGCCCGACGCCTAACAAACAATGAGGATGGGTCTTTCTATGAAAGTCGGAGAAGAGGTTTGGCAGAACGCAAGATGCGCCTGATTGCGCTTGCTTAGCAGAGCTGTGACGGCTTTGTCTCTCCTGTGGTCTACGGTCAGGGGCTCCCCCGTGCAGATAGCAAGTTCTTACAGGCCAAAACTTGAAACGTCGATCAAAACACAACCCGGAAACCTAAAAACCCTACACCCTTTTCAGCCTCGAGGAAAGCCAGCAGGGCCGCCAGGACACCTTGTCACTCAAAGCACCAACCGCAGTAGGGTAAAAGAGTACGCGCAGTAGCAGCAGCACTAGCTGTCAGAGTCGTCTACTTCGGTCTATTGGCAGAAGCCGTAGCAGTAGCAGTAGGAGCAGCAACAGTAGCAGGAGTAGTCGTCGTGGTCGTGTTGGTGGTGGTGCTGGCACTCGTAATGCTAGTACTAATAGAATTTAGTAGTAGTAGTAGTAGTAGTAGTAGTAGTAGTAGTAGTAGTAGTCGTCGTCGTCGTCGTCGTCGTCGTCGTGGTAGTAGTAGCAGCAGCAGAAGGGGCAGCAGCAGCAGCGGCAGCAGCAGCAATGCCAGCAAAAGTACTTTGTAGTTGCAGGTCGTAGTCGTCGTCTTAGAATTTGTAGACAACGGCAATATTCATTCTCTGATGCCCCTATCAGAATCTCCAAGCGTGCTATGTCGCAGTACTCTCCACACGAGAATCATCGAGGTACAGGAGGGAAACCTGTTGGGAGGAGAGTGTGTCGGTTCACCAGCGGACCCGGCACGAAAATGGGCGGCAGAGGAGGCCCGTCGTGCGGGAACAAGGCTGCAGCAGTTGCACTCCTACCACAGGATGGGGCACCATGCGTGCTGCCTCCAGCCGCTTTCATTATGCCATCGTGCATTTGCTTGCAGAAACAAACGTTTGCAAGCGGAGTGCTCTCGAAGCCCTTGAACCAAATCTCCAAAAGACTCCTCAACAATTCCATCCACATGAGGCCTGTCAGTGCCGAGCTGGAATGGGCCAAAAGGTAGCCCAAGCAGTCTGATTCGAACGCATGTCCTGGGCGCCCAGGAGATGGGGCAGAAGTCGGCGGAAGGGCACGAGGACGAATACGATGAAAACCGAGCTGGAATGCGTGCTTCTGTTGAAAACTCGTTTCGGCCAAGCTTTGTGGGTTTGTCTGTATTTGGGTTTGTCTGTATTTAAGCCTGTGATGTACAAAGGGAAGTTCATGCTGCAAAACAAGACAGGCAGGAGTTCAGCATTCTTGGATGACTGAGTGAATTGGGGAATGCGGCCATGCTGCCTGCCACTGCAGCCACGAATGCCACAAGCCCTCAGCTGACAGCATTCCTAGTGCTCCTTTTTGTCTCAGTTTAGGGTTGGTGCCTTGGGCCTTGGGCGATGCAGAGCAAGGGGGCAAAAGCCACAAGCAACTACCGCTTTCTGCAGCTCAGGCAGCCCACAGCTGCCCCGGCCCAGGGAGTCCAGGACCGCACTGAGATGCCAGGGTCGTCCTCCTAGTGGCAAAACAAAACACGCCTACGCAAGGAGCTGGTGATGACAATGATGCGAAACTGCGAGAGTTGCCGCCCCATGTCTCCGAAACGTTCCGAGACGTGAACTTGCAAGCTAGTCGCTTGTGGTCACAACGCCACGGAAAACTACCTGATTCCCTGTCCATGACGGCAGTTCGAGCACGTCTCCGCCTTTACTGCTACGTCCATGTGATTGCTACGGAGCTTGATGTGTGGCTGCGCGTTATCATACATTTGCATATAGTGTAAATACACATAAAGAGGATACAACGATGGATGAGTTGGGCGTGGGCGAGAAAGCAAACGGTTGGAGTCGGGATTCGATCAGCGTGGACCTGGGATTAACATGATCTTGTTTCGGCCTGGCAGTGCAGCGCCCCAGCAGTAGCCGCGGCCACGGCCGACAGAAACAGTGGCACGGCTGATGCAGAAAGGCGTGAAGCACGGAGACTCGGTGCGATACCTTGCGCTCGTGGCTGGATCACTTACATTGCGAATTTCATAACACGGTAATATCCGGGCTTTTCGCCAGCACTGAGCTTCAAGACAGGGCGAGACTTCAGAGTAACTGAGATGTGCACTCGTCACATTGTTGTTGCTGCATCTGACTCTTACCGCCAAGGAAGGCTGCAGACAGTCAAACCAATGGTTTTGGTTTGGACAACTCAATGTGCCCTGTATGAAATCTAGGATGCTGCGCTTAATGGGATCGATATGCTTTGTCCCTCATGGTCTACAATCCTTCCTAGTCTATTGGCACAGGTTTCGCACCATCGCTAACTCTTCGATTAGGAGATGCGGCAGCGGTAGGGTTCGGGGAGGCCTCGAAGCAGGTTGAGAGTCCGGTTTCGGCGAGGTTTCGTCTCTCAGCCGATCCGACCGATCCCACCGAACCTTACCGACACCGAGTGCCAAACATCTCAGCCTCGGGCGCAAACACCTGCTTACGAAGCAGTCTGAACTGTACGATCATGTGTATGTGTATATGAACACGCTCACGGACAAATGGACACACAGCATTTTACACTGCAGTGTGTCAGTGTATATTTACAATCAGTGCGTTCGGATGGTCCGTCGCAATCGCTTCGCGCTGAAAACCGAACAAAGGGCTTCTGACTTCTGAAGTGCTATGTGCGGCTGAGGCTGCGACTTGCAACTCACTAGGAACCCCCCGCCAAGTCACTGATTCCTTTCCCCAGCCCGAATGCCAACCCTGTAAGCCCATCCGCCGGCCCCTAAGGTGCAGTCCGGCCGCGCGCTGCGGTGCATAAGCCCAGGAGCCCAAAGGCCGGTGGCAAAAACCCGACGAGACCGACGCTCCAACTACCGAGGCCCAGGGATAAAGCCAGGAGCAACGCAGCGCCTGATGGTGCAATGGTCGTGTCATGCCGTGTCTGCTCTGTCTTTGGGGTTCGGGCTCAATGGCCTAGGCCTAGACTGTCTTTTGCTAGGAGTCTTTGTAGTTCGAGGCTCGGGCTATCTCCGGCTATTGGCTCTGGCTGACAGGTAGTGGCTGGCACCCTGTGCAAATCAAGGCGATCATCAACGGCAGCAAAACGGCAACGCGGCTGTCTGACAAGAAAATGCACCAGACTCGAGGACGCTTCAGGTCGACCCATGCCGGTCAAATGGTGGAACCAGGATTCCACACGGCTTACAAGTTCCCACTCCTAGCTGTAGCTTGATGACTCGGCTTGGACGGGCTGTGCGTCAACGAGTGCTCATCTGCTCTCGTTGCTCGTGCCTTGCAACAGCCGCGCAGTCAGTGGCCACCTGAGATGATCCTAGAGCTGAGCTCGATGTCAACATGGGGGCCGCACCAAGAGGAGCAAAAGGATTGGATAAACATCGTTGCGAGTGAGTCTCACGCGTCTTCGCTGTCAGGTTTCTGGATTTAGTTCCCGAAGTAAAAAAAAGTAGTGCAGTTCGGAGATCCGGCGGCATACTGAAGCTTTAGACTTCAGGCCTAGCGCGGCAAGTGGCATATCCAGCCGCAGCTCTACGCTGCCTGGACGTGGCGTGGCTGATGGTGTTATGTCCTGGGCCCAAAGCAATCAACTGCTTCCATCCTTTCTGGCTCCTGGGTACAGTATCAGATGGCACATGCAGTGACTCTAGCCTTCCCTGCGTTGTCATTATATCCAATACCGAATCTCGTGTCTCTACTTAGAAGGTACGCATTGGCAAACAGCCCGTTCACATGCTTGAATTAGACAACTGGATCCTGCTTGGCTTGAAACAACATTATGACATCATGTCCACTGCTGTGGCCAAACCTGGCCAAACTGCATATGTGGCATTGCAGGTCTCCACTTCGACTTCGACCGCATTGCAACCCTACATGTCTTCAAAACCTTGCTATCGGCGGGCATGCACTGAACAATCTGAACAAGCTCGTATAGTAAAGCCTGTCCCCGACCTCGATCCCAATTGCGCTCCGACCATCCCAAGTTGAGATCGGTTCCGGCAGGGGCCCCGAAACCAAGGTGGGCGAGAGGCAGTGAACTGTGGCGACTCGGGGCTTCCCAAACCTGCGCACCATGACAGGGCCAGTTCAGGGCCAGTTCTCTGGCTTGCGAGGTTCTGGGCCCTCATGGCCGGACCGTCAGAGTTTAGGGACAAAGCGTACTTCAAGCCAAAACAGGACTCCGGAGGAACCTCCGTGCGCAGGCCGACGGCGCATCACAAGCCTCGAAGGCTGTAGTGCAAAACTGGGGCTGAGGGGCGGCAGTAGCACCTCCAGTGCAAGCCTCATGAGCTCCAGGAGCCTTCTTCTATCACAAACAACAAACAGTACGCTTTGCACCCTAGCACGGAATCCGAACCTGCATCTCAATGTCAGACTCTTCAACGGACGTCTTGCGGTGCAGCGATGTCACCAGCTCATCAGCGACTGATATCTTGCTGACCCGCAACGAGCATCTCCCCTGCCACAAAGCGGCCGAGTCGGAGCCGCATAGCGCAATCGCAAAGCAGCGTCTGATTCCGCCTGCCACCTCGGCATTACTGAGGGTATGGGTAGATCCGGTAGATCCGGTTGGAACGAAAGCCCAACAAACACATCTCACCTTCCATGTGGACCAGAGTAAACGGTTGGATTTCTTTGTCATCTCGCTACCAAGACTTCTGGACAGGGAGGTCATACAGAGACATATGACATGGATCATTCGATATACAACCTAACATAATACAACATAACAATCATGAATGCTAACATGAGTATGAATAGTAATGTTCATGCTGACGCAATGCAGTGGAATCCGGTACAGTACAATTCAATAAAGTTTTCATAAAAAAAAGCAAATACGTCTATTCGCACGTGCGTGAGTTGAATATGAACAAACAATGAATATTGATTATTGAATACACGTGTTGAACAAACAAACAACTAACTAAATATTGTGCTTACATATATGTATATATGATATCTTGTACTTCCAGATACTTCCAGAACATAGTAAGCCGTTGAATCTGTTGAATTCTCGCTGCTTGCTCGACGGGTGAGAATCAGGGACACATTCCTCGGGGGGCACAATCGCTTTTTTCTCTTCCGAGCGCGGGGAAGGCAAGAGCCGACTGCCGATCGAGTCCTTCCACCCTATCTAGGGCCCCCCAAGAAAGCAAACAAGCATAAATTAGGATAGGGATATCCCATATAAACTCTCTTATACAGAGCCCCAATAAGGTAGTGATATCCCTATGAAATGCTTATGCCTTGGTGACTTATGTGCTTTTTGGATCCCTGACTATCACTGCCTGTCATTTTGGGCTGTCGGTTTGGGGCTGGATTGAGCAGATCGGCGGCTTGCCCTAGAAGGATCTTTGTCTCCTTGTTCAAACGGTGACACGGTGGTGAGGACGCCAGCCTGAGCGTCTGTTCTGACGATCTGACGGAAATCGAGATAGACCATGCAGAATGTAATTTAGGGGTCTTCATAATTACAATAGGGTTTCTGGTTCCGGGGTATATTAATCAGGCCATAGATACATTAGAAGGTGGAGGGCTGCTAGAAGGGATGCCGGGGCATAGGCTTTCGAGCAGATGCTGTCTCAGGCAGCCGCGGGCTCCTCTTGAGCCTGCAGATGTCGCCCTAAAGCCTGGCTCACGACTTCCGTAGGATCTGAAGCGGCCTTGGTTCAATAGATCGAAGCATTATTCGGCTGACTGGGCTAGCTTGCTAACATGTTTGAACTGGTTCGCACCGTTGATCACAAACGGCCATGTCCGTGCCTGAAACCCCAAACCTCAAAGCCACATCATACACTTCTCTCGGGTCTCGACACTGCACTTTCCGTCACACGCTCATTTAATTGTGTATGTCGTTTCTGGCCCGGTGGTATGCTCCGGCTACGAAACATTTTCCCGAGCGGGTCCTTTCAAGCAGTTGCTCTGAGTGCTCTGATATCTGCACGGCATGAATCTGTCACGTGCTGGCCCGCTTGGGACTTGTTTCTTGTTGTGTCTGAGAAGCTGAGGCCGCAATGGCCTTGAGCTTCATCAAATAGTCCTTAGTCTCATCGGGGAGGCTGGCGATGAAGGCGAAGGAACTTGTCCGAACCTTGGCAGCGATTCGTCTTCAGCCCTCTCTTTACTTTTTGTTGGCGCTGCTGCACCCTATAAGCCATAAGTTCATTCTACAACAAGTAGGGTTAGAAGATGTTAGAAGCAGGGTAACTGTACTTCTTACTTATAACCCTTTTTATCCAGGTGGCTGCTTCTTCCATCTGGACCAGAGCCGCCGTGACCCAGGGTTGGCTCTCGGGGAGGAGGCCGGCACCAATGGCTGCAGCACCTGGTCCGGGGCTCGGGCGCACTGTCTAGCATACTAAAGGTGCCTTAAGAATTGGAATAGGGTTTTGAGGTATGTTATACTATAGGAACCACCCAAAATAGTATTGGTAATATTTTAAGCTCCTGTAGCACGCAGACAAGGATGAGACTGTTTACACCCTCTGACGCCCTGCACGATGCTCGTCCAAGAATTCCGTGTGTCCCGGGCTGCCTCTCAAGATTGTCCGGCGCATCACATCGTCCATGAAGGTTAGCAGGTAAGGGCTGCCAACGGTGGCCAGCTCCTCCGAACGCTTGCAGCAAAACGGAGCACAAACGCGGGCAACTGCAGTGCTGCTGTTTTTCACCGCAATCAGCATGCGAAACGAAGGCTGGTTTCTTACTGCTACAGTTCAGCTCTCCTCCTCCACAAATTCAGCAGCGTGCCGCAGAATCAGCTCGTTGAGCGCATCTATGCCTTGGAAAACAATGTGGTAAAACTCAAACTCGACATGTGCCTGCTCAATCAATGTCAATGTTGCCAGCGCTGCCCACTGCCTTCAACGCGCCTGACCAGTTCACATCCCGGAAACCTGAGGTAACATATGCAGCAAGCGACAGCGGCGGTTGGCCGCACAACTTGCGCTGCTCGCTCCTCGCCTGCAAAGCTTCCAATCCCATCAGCTTGACTTTGGATCTATTTCTACAGGCTGGGCAAGAGAACAAAACCATTCTCGCGAAAACAATCAAGCCGTAGAAATGCAAGCAACAGGCTTCAGCAAAGACTTGCGCCCCACACCCAATACCCATGATAGCCATCTAAGTCTTCAACGTCCGTGAGAAAGCCCGAAACCACGAGACAGGTGCGGCCTCGCGCTGACCCCAGCCTCATGCAAGCTGCCGATAAAGCCTCCGCTTGAGAAGTAGTGTGGGCTGTAGGCTGTAGGGGGCGGCGTACACAGCGGATACAAAACGGGACCCCTCCAGGAGTAAGACTCAATACCTTACCTCTGTCGGGCCTTTCACCCGCTGGAACCCTGAAATTACACTCTTTTAGTTGCTGAGTTCATAAGCCCCCAAAAGTGTACACTGTTGGTTCTATAATGGGTAGCATTATCCAACAAGTGCAAAGTGTATCCACTCAGCTACTAAGTAAATGACATTGGGCCTGCCAAGGCAGCGAGGGCAGCAGGAGGGACGCTGCCGCTCTCTCGGCGGAAGAGAACCAGCAGCTGCGCCAACAGCATGTCCAGATATGTCTGCCTTACACTTCGGGACTCAGAAATTAGGGCTTCAAGTTTTTTGTGTTCCGGAAGTTCATACTGAAATGCTACTGTTAAACTTCGCGTCGCTCTTTTGCTCAAGTAATGCGTAGGTTGCTGTCCAAGGGATTTCTCGGCATGCGCAGGGCATAGCTACCACTGGACCTAGGGTTCGCCAGCTTTCAGGTTTGGCGCCGAGGTCTTGGAGGGGATGGATAGCGCAAGGCTACTGTCGAACTTTGTTTTGCATTGTTCACTGACATGACCATACCACGATCACCACCACCAACAACACCACGAGCACCAGCACAATCACCACGACTACTGCGGCGACGACACCGCTACCACTACCTCTGCCGCTGCTGCTGCTACTGCTACCTGCTACCTGCTACCTGCTTCTGCTGCTGCTACTGCTACCGTCTGCTGCTGCTATTACCACTACTACTACTACTACTACTACTACTACTGCTACTACTACTACTACTACGACGACGACTACTACTACGACGACTACGACTACCACTTCACCTGCTACTACTTGATGTTACAACGCGCGAAGCGCCCTCAGATTTGGCAAGCTGCTCTTTGACCTCCACTGTCGTCATTACCTTCAAGCAGTTCCTGCGACGAAGACTTAGCTGGGGGGGGATCCAGGCCCTCTGGAACCTAGGCTTCCAGCTGTTGTCAGATGGGCTCTGCGAGGAATCAGTACTTCGGTTTGTGGGCGATTCGCTAGATGCTACAACTCACCGCCCATGCGTACACAGGTGAATTGCAAGATGTGTTCGGGCTCGTCTCAAAGTTTCTGCCGGCCGAGTCGATGATCAGCTTTTGAGCTAATTAGATAACCGCAAAATACTCTAAACCCGCCATCTGCAGCGCTTTACCCAGGGCTCCTGAGCACTGGCAATCCCAAAGCCGTCATGTGCGGAGCCAGGGCTCCGATCACAGCATCTGCGCAGGCCAGCTGGTTCCTCACTCCGGGCGTTGTGGGGCTAGGGCTTGGGGCGCTCTGAGCATGTCAATTGATTGAAGGATGAGCCATGTTACAATGTTGTGGTGCAGCCTTCATCAGCCTGCAGGCAAGATGAGAGCATGAAGAAGCAGTGAGGGGACTCCCAAGTACGGCAGCGACAATCATGCAAACCATGCAGTATTGGCCGGGTCCGTACAAATTTCAGTAGCACGCAATGCTGGCAGTTGACCGATGTCAGGTTGCTGCTATGATCCTTCGATTTCTCTGGTGTTGGCACTCACCAGTAATCTAGTCACACCCGTACTAGTATAAGCTAAGGTGGGGCCAGGCCTCCCAAGGCTTCAGGAACCTATACATGGCCCGTCCCATAAAACTGGGGGCAAGCATCGTTTCTGGCGGCGCACGTTCGCCGGCAGCGAGTATCTGCAGATGAGCTGAATCAGGCTCAGTACTTTTTCGAACTTTGGATCACATGAAACACAACGTGTTCCTTGTTGGACGCGTCTCTTCCGGCAACAAAATAAGGTAATCACAGAAGCGAGTAGGAACGCACTGACACTCTGTTTACACCCCTCACAAGAACCTGGCACGGGAAAGTAGTGTCAATTACAATGACTGCCGTCTTTGACAGGTATGGGATGGTGACGGAGGAAGCTCCTTGTTCCGCCAGAGATGGCAAATACCCCAGTATTTGCATTAGAAACCCTGAAACCCCTCGCTTGAAGAAGCATTAGACCTGTGAGAAACCTGTGGCAAACTTTGGAGAACCAAGGTAATGAACCTGTCAGACACCGGCGTGAGACCCGTGAGGTATCCGAGAGATAAATGGGTCAGAAGCCCATGCCACACCTGAGAGAAACCTGAGAGATGAGACAAGAAACCGATGCGAAACCAGTGAAACCGCTGTGACAAACCCCTACGAAACATCTGAAAGGCAAGTCTTCCACGCCCCCCCCCACCCCTTCGAAGTGCGGAAGGAAGAGACCGCAGTGATTGCAAAGCCTCCCACACGGACTTGGGAGAGAGGTGCCTCCACCACACGCACGAGGCTACCAGTACTCAGCCGGTGAGCGTTGCGGGACCTGGTCTCAGATCTCACTGTCTTTTTCCGGCTTGTCCGGTGCGATCCTACATGCGAGTGCCTAACCCAGTTTCGAACAGCTTCAGGAAGCGCTGCCGATAGGAGAGGCCATCTGGCTGCTGCAGGAGTTGCATTTTGAAGGAGTATATACGGGTCAAAGAAGGAACTAAAGATTTGATTTGGGAAAACCTGATTCGTGGTGGCATAGGACGACTTCTGCACAGCCTCCCGGTGACCCCAGAAAGCCCTTTAGCCTCCTGCAGTTCTCTAGCAGAAATGGGAGAGCCGAGTGGCAGAGAATAGCAAGCCTTGGCATACCTGGGATGCAACGGCGAACTAAAGCTTGCAATTGTAAACTTTTTAGCAACATCACAAACCGTGCATTCCTTTGCTTTCGTGCATGTCTTCTGCTTACTGCTTCTATCTTTCGGACCTGGGGACAGAATTGCCAGAGAAAAAAACACCAACTCATGCGAACCGATGCGCCGCACCCTCACAGTCACGTAGACAGCTTGATGTACGCCGTCTGTATAGCCTACCTTCCTGCCCCCCGCATACCCACCCGCCCACATACATACGTAGCATCCTAGCAACCAGGCAACCAACCGTCTATCCATCTATCGGTTTATCACGCACGGAGTCATCTGTAAATGCAGGCTATGCTGCTGTACCATACCACGCCGTACCCTATACCGTATCATAGCAAAACCACCGTTCCGTAGCACACCCTCCGACGTACCACAATTTGCAGGCTTGCGCTCAGTGATTGGGTGATGCAAAAGTGTGGAATCGTGTCGGCTCCTCTGCCTTCTGATTTTCTTCTGCCAGGCCGCCTCAAGTCTTCGAAGCAATGCCTGCCCAGCTCCTCCACGGCCTGCGAACCAGTCGGGCGACTAGTCTCAAAGCGCTTCGCTGCAGGACTTCTGCGAGGTGTGCTGGCGCTGACACAAGCATGCGTTGAACCCAGGAGCTGAAGTCAAATGCTGATCTCTGTGCACCTGCACGTGCAGTACACATTGATACACCCCTGCGCATCCCCCGTGCATGTCGCATAAGCCCAAAAAGTTCTGATGTGCGAACTGCTGAGCCCAAGATCTCTGCGTCACTCGTACTGTCTTACTTGCCACCTTGCCTGTATCGAGTTTATGTAACATGCGTGGGTATGCATGCCCCTTCAATGAATGAAACGTCCTTTCACAGGGCCCAAAGGCCAGAGAAAAGCTGAGGTGCATTCATTGGGATTAAGTCAGAAGCCTGGACATTGTGCTGCTACTTCTCATGTGCATGCACATCAAAAGCAGCAGCACAATGTCTCATGGAGTCTCTGAATGCATGCGCCTGCTGCGCGGGGACCGTGACTGGCTCAGGACTTGGACCGCTTCTTTGAGCCGCCTCCTCCTGAAAGTTTCGGCCAAAACTGCTTCTTGGTACGGGGTCACTTGAGTTTCTGTAGTCGCATGATATCCCAAGCATAGCATTTATATTGACGGGCCATGCAAGTTCTATTATTCGACAGATACGCAGCAAGTACCATGTGTTTCAGGAACATGAACCCGAGGACAAAAACCCAAAGACTGCGGATATGTAGTGATGTCATATGGCAGCGAAACCTCCTATTTGTACCAACCGCTACAGTGGACCATACAGGGCAGCAGGGGGCTACAACCCTAAACCCTAAACCGGTAAGCAGCCTGCGCCGAAAGAAGCGGTTAAGCGTACCGGCACTTCAGTCTCGCGCAGGCGCAGGCTTCCGAGGCGGAAGGATCTTTACTTAGTTGCTGAGATCATAAGCAACCAGATGTGTACATTTTTGGTTTTTCAGTGGGTAATATTATCCAACACAGTGTAAAGTGTAAAGTGTATCCACTCAGCTACTAAGTTTAGGAAAGTGAGCAAACACACGATTCTCGCGTTGGGAGCGTGGTTCAGGTTGAATTGACAGGCAGCACTTCGCCTCGTGGACACTGCGAGGGACATACATGTTCCTTGAACAGGCTTAGTGCAGATGTTGTGCAACATGCCATCGTGGATGGATCTGAGATTTGAGCGAAAGAATGGCAGAATTTTCAGCAAAGGCCCAGGTCCTTCTGCTTCCACAGCTGCTGCATCTTTGCCTTTCGCTCGTGGCGCCGAGCCTGTGAGAAGATATCGATGCGACAAGCGGGACAAGACGTGACAGTGATGCCCTGTGCGAAAGGATCATGAACAAATTCGGGGGATGCTGCTGCGAAGTACTTTATGATTTTTTCCCGCCCCGGAGCCTCTGCTATGCGCAGCTCGCTGTTCTCGTCGTCAGCTGGGCCAGAAAACTTCTCACCAGCCAGCCCCCGCTCAAGGAGCGTGATTCGCTCGCGGCGCGTAAGTTCGCGGTGGTCCGCATCTGCGATGTCCACCGGTGACGACGGTGGCGGATTTACCGTGCTTAAATCGAACTGCTTTAGCCAGTCTTCCCGGGCGGCTTTCAACGCATCAGCAGCCTCAGCAGCCTGCACCGCCACCTTCCGAGCTTCAGCCACTTCCTGATCGGCTTCGGTTTCGGCGGTTTCGAGTTCTCCTGCCGCTGAGGGCGCCAAAGGCACAGCATCTGATTCTTGTGTCGCTGCCTCGACGGGGGCTGGTACATCCTCTTTCAAGTCTTCAGAGGGTGCAATCAGGGGCGGTGGCGAGGGCGAGGAGACAGGAAAGAAGGACTCCCACACCGCATCGAGCTCTGCGCTCAACTCTGGGTCGTGATCTTCCTGGCTTTCCCGGCCCTCCTGGCCCTCCTGGGGTACCTGAACTGTCTCGGGCTCGACGACGTCCTTGGCCGTCGATCCCTCCTTGACTTCTTTGACCTCGCTTGGCTCAAGGCTCTCGTTTGGATCCAGGAAGCTGTGCTGATACTCATACTCCACATCCACGGAAGCCTCTCTTTCATGACTTTCATGGTGTGCCTCGGCCTCGACCTCGCAGTGAGGTTCGAGGCCGGTCTCCATCTCTGGGCTGCCAAAGTCTGCCGGTGCCGCTTCCACAGGCCGGGCGTCGTCCGCACGCGTTTCTGCAGACGCTGGCCTGAACTTCGGGTGCAGCATGCGCTCCAAGGCGCTTGCAGCTTCATGCGCCTCCGCTTCGACGTGGGACCATCGGTCATCGACAGCTCGAGCAGTGTATACAGATACAGAGTTGCCATCGCTCCGTTCCTCGTGGGACTCTGGTGCGATTGCAGCCGTCACAGGAGTCTCCACCCGAAGTGTCTGGGGAATTTGCCGGTAGACATCAGCTGCTTTGCTTGGGTCTGCGCTCTTGACAGACCTTGGCCCAGCCAACGACACACTGAGCAGCACAAGCAGGTACGATGACGGAAAACCCGATGACCCCACATGTGCAAATGCTACAGCTGGCAGCACTCGAAGGATCACAAGATAGCCTGCAAACAAGATACCCTCGCAGTAGGTTTGTCTGCTCTCTCTCTCAAGTTGCGGTATAGGAGTGATGGCAACGGGTATAGTAGCGAAGTAAGCCAGGCTATGCCGAAATCCTCCGGGCGGCTGCAAGAGGAGGTCCAGCTTCTGATTCGCATCCTTCAGAGCCTCCACATCTGAAAGCGCCTCTTTCAACCGCTGATCCAGATCGGCGCTCATGCCATGGCTCTGGGCTCGGAAAGCGGCCTAACCCTTGAGCTGAAGCCATGGGCAGGGCATCTACGTCAATTGATTCATCGGGGCCCGGCCCTTGCCCCCACGAAAATGAAGTCGAGATGAACACATGACTTTGGATTTCGAATGCCCTGGATCCAGGACAAGGTCCACAATCCACAACTTGTCGCTTTACAACGCTTACTTCTCTGACAGTCTCAACTGCAGCCGTGCTGGCTGGTTCCAAGCAGCAGCCACGAGCATCAGTGCCGGACCATCCTCAAGGGAAGGGGTACGGCTCTAATGACAGCATAAACGTGAGCAGTGTGTTCAGAAGTTGCAGACAAAGCCAACGCCACAACGCTGATTCCTCCATGGAAAGCCCTGCAACTTCCTCAGCGCGAAAACACCGAGAGGCATAGGGAATTCGAGCCCTGTAACAACCTTGCCGCTGCAGGCTCCTCCGCCTTGGCCCGGCGTGAAGACATTGGCTGCAGGACCAAGAGTTGGCCATGCTGGCAAACCTGCCAGGCTTGCCGAGACCCCTTGTAATCGTAGACCTGAAAAGCGGTGCCTCACGCTTGACCCTCTTCACACTTTTGTAGGTGGGGAACAGCTCCTTAGCGTGATGGACATGACAAGATGATGCTTCATGCCCATGTTTTCGCTCTCACAACTCGGACTTTAGGAACTTGGGACTGAGGATGCTGATGGATGCCCATAGCCCTTTGAAGCGTGCTGAATTCTGTGGCGGTGGCTGAGAGGCTGTGCGTACGTTGACAGCCCTGCTCAGCACGATTTGTTGCGAAATTTGGTGATGACTGTTTGACGTCAGAAGATACAGTTAAAAAAGCAGCTCGCACTTGATGTGTCAAATGCAGGCGACATGGCCTGGCTGATCCTGGCCTGATCCTGGCTGAAAGTACAGCCGTTCCCACACCACCGAATCTGACAGATAGCATCCTAAACCCTCCGGAAGCAGCTTACCGGCACGACCAAGAAACCGCAAAACAACATCGAAGCATCTCATCCCACTGGGACATTTTTATCATGCGTGTGAAGGTGTGTATGATGTATATTGTATATACATATATACATACGAGTACCTGTCACTGTACTTGTATACATGTATCGGTGTGTGCGCGGCTGTGTGTGTGTCTGCTACGATGCATACATAGACACACCAGCTCTTAGTTAAGGTGTATGCATCTTGACATATCCTTTATACGGCTCATACAATAAAGGACTGAAGGTACTGTATAAATCGATCTTGGTTGTAGTAGAGGCCTGCCAATATGCGGCTCGCACGGCGAGGGGCGAAGCGTCGCCCTCTTGGGCTGCTCGTCCTTGGCTGATTCCCTTTCACAACTTCGGATGATAAAGGTATTATCGAGGGCAGAGGGATTCGGGCTTCGAGTTTCTGGCGCTGCTTTGGTCTGGCACAGCTCGCCTTTCGATGCCGAAATTCAGCTGAAGAAGAGCAGAATAGATCAACACTCACATCTGACGGTCAGCACAAAGGGTCCGATCTCCAAGCGCTGCTTTGGCCGACACGTCCAATGAAAGAGGGGAGGAAGCCATGGCACGACCTTGACATGCGAGTTTGGGAGCTGGCTACTGCTTCGGAGAATGATCTTCAGCAACTTCAGCTTGCCACGAGTTAGACTTTCTCATCCTTTCTCTCTCTACGTACCGTAGTCACCTGCACAGGTAGGCTTTACCTTGGCTTTTGACGGAAGTTTCAGCCTCGTTACACGACTTTCGAGTCGGGGAGTCGTGGAATAAACCTCACCTTCTCGAAGCATTTGCTTCAAAGATCTTCGAAGTGAGCCGCCTACAGGTGGTTACGACAAAAGTTGGCAAGAGGCAGGTCCAGGATTTCACGATGTCCAGTGCTGTCATACTTGCGTTTGCATCAGCTCGCGACAGAAGCCAGTAGGCCCACCAGATGATGCAAGTCCTGAGCCCAAGGTCCGCGCTGGCTGGCGCCCGAGCAGCGGTGCGTGCCCCAATCGCCGACCGGCCGTCAAAGCTGGCAAGCGCCTGCTGGTTTCAGGATCGATGCTTGAAGCAGCTTCCGGTAAACTTCTCGAAGCTCCCGCCTCTTCAAACAGGGTACATCGCCTTGGCAGGTTTCCAGAAGGCTTAGGTATGTAACAGCATAAGTCTATCGGAAACGACGATAGGAAAAGCTAACAACTAAATCTTAAGGCTTAGACCCGAAAAAACTGCTAAGGCATCATACCAAGTTGTCCTCCTCGTGACCACACATATGTATGCGGTTGGGGGTAGTCTGAGGCTGGGGAATGAGACAGTGTTCTTACCACAGGTTTGTATAGAAAAGCTCCCGACTCTATAGCAGAGGCAAAGATGCAGCATTCTGCATCCCTGAAGCTCAGCAGTCCTGGTTTTGTCCACATTTTCCGACTGTTTTGTCTGAAGGCTCCGGTCAATATCCGATCATGGTGGCAAGTTATCTCCGAATCTGCCAGGTGACAAAGTGCACGCGAAGGGTCCGCCAACAGCTCCACTGAGCTCCTCACATCGCTCTCTGTTCAGTCAGACACTACCCTTTTCCTCTTCGTGAATAATACGTAGTGATACTGTACTATACTTACTGCCATTCTCTGGGGCATATGGAAAGGAAGGAAACTACGAGCTACCGAGATGACGGGGTCTAAGCCAGCCGGCAAAAGAAAGCGCCTGAACTTGGCAGCAGGACGTGAACCCACGACCCTAGTCATTCCGCTTGGCACTCTTCACGCTTGGCAGGGCCTGATGGCAACGCCCACGGCCAAGCTGGCCAGACAAACCATGGCGAGAGGAATGAGAGTCAACACCGACCTCGGCTGTGGGCTTTTGGACTTGGGCCATCAGCCAGCCTCCCTGCGTCTAGCAATCCCCGTGCATCCTTTACATCAGTTTGTTTTATTGTATTCCGAGGCGCGTGTTGCACTCAGTTCCAGTCACCACGGTCCATTGGGAGGTGGTCACACTCTCGTTCGCACCTGGCCGCGGCTGATGACAACCGGCAGAAAGCATCAAACCGATGCAACTTGCAGCGCCACATCTGCCCACGTCGTACAGATCTGTGACGACATGACTTCCAAGCAAGAACGACGTTCAGCCGATGCCCTCGGACGCTGTTGTCGCCGCTTGCCTGTGTCGTTTGTCTCCATCGTCTGCGTTGTCGATACTGTTGTCGTTCTGCTCGCAGTAGTCTGCCCAAGGGGTCGCAGTTCGACACTGGACCCCGCCACACGGTTCAGAATGAGTAATTAGGCTTGAAACTGGATTCAAAATTCATGACAGGTTCCATCATGATTGCTACTATCTTCCATGGCCAGTTGAAGCAGTGCTACGACCTGACCGTGCTATGGGCCCGGCCGAAGACAGCGTCGTTGTGGCACCTTGCAGTATCTCATGGCTCCAAGAAATCCCACTGCCCCGCCGCCCAGGATCCTCTGGCTTGATAATACTAACAGTAATAATTAATGATAACAATAACAATACTCACCATCATCATCGTAATGAATGCCAGGGGACGCAGTGTCAGTGGTGCCAGGGTGACTTCACTGCCTTCAGGCGCAAGGACCACACGTGCGCTGGACACCTCGCGGCAAATGGCGAATCTGGGACAGGCCTGCAAGACCCAGGTGAAACCCCTGCTGCTGTAAAGTTGCGTCTCATGCTCTGACATGGCAATATAAGAGTTGAGAACCTGCAGCAGGTGTTGGGTGTTGGCGTGGTGGCTTATGTGAAATCAGGACTTGAAACCTGCAATTGTGCTCCACCTGGTGAATTAATGGCTTGTCAAGCCTCAAGTTTGCACGGCTGCAAGACAGACTCAGATCCAAGAAAATGCTTCAATTTGTACGAATATCAAGGCGCTGTAGTTTGGCTGATCTCAACTTCCTCCAGCGGCGTTTCGTCCTGAGCTCAAGCTTGGATTATGCAGAGGCTCTTCAACCGTTGGAGTTTTCCCACTGGGAAGTCTAATTCATCTTTAGATGAAGTCCAGATTCAAGTTCCTTCGTTAAGAACCACAGGCGTAGTGAATGGGAACGTTTGCTCAGATTCAACACATTTACTGTAGTCGGATAAAGACTTATGGGGACGGAAGCCCCAGACTCGACCATCTCCCAAGTCCCCAAGCTTCCTAGAGGAGCTAAGCATAGAGATCCCGACAGTCCTAAATCATCCTAAATCCTTAAACCAAAGCCCCATCCTTGGGCCCAGGATGGCTTAGGCATATCCGAGAACCCTAGGCCCTAGTCTCAATTTCCGCGGGGCTTCGAGAACGCCTTGCCAGGAATCCGCAGCAGCGAAGTAAGAGGCAATCTGCTGGGTTGCAGACCCTGAGATGGAAAGCGAGCTTCCGCTTGGAGATTACACTCAAAACTCCGTACCATTCAACACCTTCACCGGTTCATCGAGATGTCCGTTTAGTGTAGTTTTGGGGGTCTGGCTGGCTGGTAAGGACGAAGCAATGGAAAAAGGGTAAGGAGACTCGTAAAGAACTTCTCAGAGTCTCTCAAATCCCAATGTATGACGTACTCTGTATATATACACCTGAGGCCCTGTAGTCATCTCTAATCCCGAAGGCCTCTAGACTCCTAGATCCCATGAACCCAGCCTGGCCTTGCAAGAGCGTATCGGAGAGCATCTCTGCTTCGTCGATGCCTTTCCGACATGTGGATTTTTGGAGGGCCCCGCCTTAAATCCGTTCATGGCGGGCGGATGTTGGGGGTTCGGAGCTCGACGGTCTGGTCAAGGGGGGGGTGAAGCCCGACAGTGAGAGGGTGAGAGGGGCTTTCGCTTCGGTAGGACCACCCGGAACGGAACACTTCACCAAACATAAGACGTGAAGGTCACATAGATCTGACCATACTCCACAGCTGACGAAGTCGCTTGTCAGGGTCAATGTGTCTAGGGGGAAGGTGCTAACAAAGAACGACCGAACAACGAATAGGAGCGTCGCGCTCATGCGATCTATTCTCTGGGCATCACAGCTCACGATCACACTGTTTGTAGCAAAGGTTTTGGTCTTGGTATGTCTCGGTCTTTTGGAGATGCAACTCGCCGACACGGCCTGCATCCGAGTCGGGTCGAATCCGGAAGTCGGCGAGAAGGGCAAACCTGACGCGAACATCGAAGCCCATGTCGCGGAATGCCCCCCCCCCCTCTCAAAGCCTGGAAACCGGCCCTCTGCCAAAGTATGTCCCCCCGCAAACAGCGCCGGCACGAATTGCTCAAAGTCCACATCCGGCACAGGAGCTTTACGCTTATGAACCCTGTCTATCCCCGCACGGACCCGAAGAGACCTCTGTGCTGCGATTGCAAGCCGCCGCAGCTGCCCCGTCGGAACGAGGCCCTGGTATTCTTTGGGTGCATGCTCTTGAGTCGAAGCTTGCGGGAGTCACTTCGGATCTGCGAGGCGTGTACGCAGACTCTGCAGTGGTGTAAGATGTTTCGAGCGGAGTGCGTTTCGCCCAACACCAGACTATATATGCCAGATGAGAAAAGCCAAGGTTTGTGCAATTCTGCTCAAAGACCTGAAGCTTATGAGGACTCTACTGGCCACTGTCACTGTCAATCCGAGGCGAGCACATGGCGTTCCGAAATCCGGCTTTCGGGGATCTTCACAGCACACGTCCAGAAGCTGGCTGGTTTCAGAAGCCCTTCTGTTGGACAAGCCAAACCGCCGATGCTGAGCTAGCACCTTACAGTACCTTACAGCTGCCGAGGCTCGATGTTGAGGATCTCGACCTTGCGAGATCGGTCAATGCTCTACCGTCATTGAAGCCAGTCAAGAATAAACACTGCGAGTGTTATCAGTTGCGATAGGTCAAACTCGAACTTCAGATTATAGTTGGAACAAAACCTGTCGGGGCTTGAGCCATCTGATTTGTTTCGACTCGCACACTCGCATAGGGCATGCACGACTTCGAACGGTCGAAGCTTGCTGCCCTAACGTGTCTGGCTTCCAACTCTCTTGTGGTCATCGCCAGGCTGGGAGCGGGTGTAGGATGCAAGGTGAGGCATGAGCACCATCAAAGCAAAAGGTATTACTAAAGCTAGGGTTGACTTGGGCTCTGTACTCATTGCTCAAAAGAAACCTGGGACTTATAAGTGACAGACGATATGCCGTCCACAACGCCATGTTGCCGGCTCAGGCCGATGCCGAACACCGGAGACGTGACTGCAGTTGCCGAGCCGTGCATGTCTAGCAGCGCTGCATGTCGACAGAACCCATACTCAAAGATCAATTCCGAAAGTTAAATGCAACGGGCCATCAGCTGATTCAGCTAGACCCCTTACAGAACCCATACTCAAAGATCAATTCCGAAAGTTAAATGCAACGGGCCATCAGCTGAGACAGCTAGACCCCTTATTAGATGCACCCATCGGAAGGACCTTCTGAATGTTTCGAGCGCAATGTGCTACGATTTGTTGGTTCTTGGCCCTCGATTCGGAAGACACCAGGTGTGTTCTTTCTCAAGAGTGCTGCCAAGGAGCCTGGCTGGGCGCAATGCCTGGCTGGCGAGGCTTCGTTGGCTTCCTTCGTTTTCTCTTCTTGTGTATAGGCCTCAATAAATGGAATGGGGGGCCCGCTATACAAAATGAAGGCCCCAAAAGTATGAGGTCGGGTGCGAGGCTGAGTGACGTCGCGCTGTGACAAGGCAGCGTGTTTCATTTTTGTTCGGCCCTGCTGTCACCTCCACCTCGAAACGACAACTGGGTGACCACTGCCTGGTAGGCCCTGGCTGATACCCAGACGCAGGAGGTGGCGAAGCTCCTCGAGAATAATTAGAGCAGGTCTAAGTCACACAGCTGTGATCTGCTGTTCGGGGGACTTGAAGGCCCCCAAGAATGACGATGACGAGCTTTCGAAAACGCTGTAGCTTGAACTACCACTTATCTGTGTCTGTTTGTGGCCCAAGCGCGGCCAAACGTTGAACAGGCACACGATAGGCCTTGGGCTGACAGTCTTTGCCATTGCAGATGTACTCACGGACGGTCAGTTCAAACCCTTCTCCAAGCTGACGCTGCACCAGCTGCGACCCATCCAACCGTCCTACGACTAAAGATCCTGAAACCTTAGCTGCTGTCCTTGCTGGCCGTCAGCATGTCTCGAGAAGCACCGTCCATGCTGAGGCTCAGGTCAATCCGCAAGCGACCTGTCTATCGTTCTTCAGAGTTCCCGATTCCAGCAGTACAGGTCTTGTTGCCTCAGGGGTTGCTGTATGGAGTGGTTGAAGATTAGACTGTATGGACATTTGTTCCCGCACTGCCGGTCCGGGACAATGCCCAGGTGGTAGGGTTAGACGCTACTGGCACAGGCCCTTCCCTTGTTGCTCTTTTTTGCATGGCCTAGGATTCGGATGCTGAATTCTAGGTTCGAGGCCTTTTTTTGCATCAGGACTTGTGCAATCGCCTGCAAAGGTTCGAGGCCTTGAACCTCTGCGAAAACCTGGCCCGGGCGCCTGGTGAACCTCTGGCCTCCTACACTTCACCACATCGCACGTTGGGTTTGGCACCCAGGGGCTTTTGGGGCCAACAGGCTAGAGTACGAGTACGGCTTTCTTGCTGCAAAGGGGGGATCGTCCGGCCTACAAGCTGCAACAAAAACCGGGTCGGAGCGTGCAGTAGTGCTTCGCAAACTGTACTGGTCGATACTGTCGCATCTTGCTTCGAGCGGTTGAGCATTCAAGAAGGATTGCAAATCCGTGGGTTCTTCACCCTCATGTCATGTACACATGTGAGATCAGCTCTGGGTTGTCCTGCTTTTCTAATTAACTAACTACTTCCAGCTTCCCCCTTCTTGCGGACATGTTGCCGTACACCTGAGCTGCACCCGTTGAAGCGAAAGCAGCCGATGCAGTCTCTCATCAGCTGCGAGTACGATAATCAAACGAAATTCAACACGACAACAATTCTGCATAAGATAGCCGGAGGACGAGAGAGAAAGAGAGAGAGAGAGAGAGACAGACAGAGAGAGCGACAGCGAAAAACACAAGAAAAGCACATGCAAAATCACTGTCTGCGTGAGTGTGCACATGTGTATTGCGTGTGTGCGCACAACGGAGCCCGCGTCTGTGATCTCTCCGTCGGAAGGAAGAACCTACTGTGACAATTGCAGCTACAGGAATTTGCTGGTGGCATTCTCAGGCTTTACGGAACGCTGCCTAGCAGGGATACCGCGACTAGTCTCGCCTGATTCATACGGCCTAGGGGCCTAGGTCCTGGTCTTCTGTAGTATCCGGAGGCAGGGAGAGGCGCACAAGCATCGCGCCAAGCCGCCGCATTACTCGCTACAGTCCATCATGTGACGAGGCAGGAACTGTCAGCCTGGATGACGTGTACCCGCAATCGCAAGTTTCTGGACCTGTGAGCGTTCTGCCTGCTGCCTCTGCTCAGCTGCACCACTCCGTCTCAGTTCGCGCTAAGGCACGAAAGCAACCAGCGAGCCATTACCTTAAATGTGCAGTGCATAGTCAAAGACTCGCGAAGATTGGCCTCTTGAAGCTACAAACATATATCCAGACAGTATGTGCGTACATGCACATCAACTTAATTATAGACACACACACACACAAAGAGAAACAAATACTTATGCACATGTGTACTTTGCATCCACACATACGAGGGTTTGTGTAAAGCCGATTAACATCACCAGCATTAGAGGAGGATCACCACCACACTCAGCATCACGTGACGAGGACGACGACGATAACGATGTGGAGGTTGTGCCGAAGAACGCCGAGAGGAACCCAATGTCAAATGATGAATGACCGCGATGACGACGATGCAAAAGATCATGTAAGGCGATCTATGATGATAATGTTGATTGATGGTCGCGAAGATGCAACGTTAACAGTGTGACATCGTAATAGAAGGGGAGCAGAGGCGAAAAAAGCGTAATGACAACGATGGTTGTGATGGTTGCGATGATTCAGGCCGCCGTAGCAACGAACAGCGAGCAGGCGGAACAATCTGGTGTGGTAACATTTCGGGCTGGTGGTGATCGCTATCCTCATGATGCGAATCGGGGGAAAAGATTACTTTTACGTAAAGCGGTGCCATGAAGGCTGACCAGCATTCACATCATGATCATAAACCTGAAAATGTTGGTGATGGTAAGATGATGATGATGATGATGATGGTAATGTTGATCGCAACAGCGACGATCAGCATCGTCACCAGGTTCGTTGGAAGCAGATGCTGAAAGATTCCTACAAGCCGTGATCCGGAGAACTCGCCCTAGCGGAGGTGTTTCAGTACCAGCAAATGATGAGTTAACTACCCCAATCCCATAAGCTAGTAGCCGGTATAGACTGCACCATATATCATCAACCATGTATCATATACCACATATCATATGCCATATACCGGTTAACATTCTCATCACGAATGCTGGATGTTCAGAACTCCAGGGAAGCCCAAGCTGCTTGCATTCAACATCGCCGAAGTATTCTCGTCAGTCCTTCATGGGAGTTTCCGAAAATTAGGGGTACCTTATCTTGGGGTCCTTATAATAATGAGCCTACTATTGAGGGCACTATATTAGGGTCCCCTATTTTCGGAAGCTCCCTCATCGCCAAGTCTACATGTGCTGGTGGGTTGGATCCGTGGTGTGCGCCGTCTTAGTGCGTCGCTCCAATGTATAGTGCCGCGGGGGCTCTGTTCGTTCTACGCAGGCCAGAGTTCGGTTCTGCGACGTCTAGAACTTTCGACAGTGCCTTTATTGAATCCATCGCTCACAAGGAGAGAAAGGAATGCGGACACGCGGCACTTCGCCTCAGAGCGCGGAGCTAGGATGGCTAGGCCCTTGCGATGGCATACCTTTCTGCGTAATCGTCATTTCTTGGCCCAAGGAGAGCTGACGATTCAGGGAACTGAGCCGTCGTACTTCAGCAAACCTTGCGACGATTGCGTTGAGGGCTTCTCTAGGTTGTGGCTTCGACATTCCCAGGCTACCTTTTGGCAGAGCCTCGCGAAGTCCGAGACCACTGCCCAATGATCTCCCTAAACTTCCCCTAGCCGCCTATGGCTTTCGACGAGATTCCAATCGGAGAGGTTCTCATCAAAGCCAACCTTGGTCAGTCAGGCTTCCTAGTTCGTGGTAGTTCGAGTCAGGGGGACCTCATATTATTCAGACCTCCCGTGCTAGAGCCAAACTAGAGCCAATTGATGCCAACTGTCTTTTTATGTTTCGAGCATATGGCGGCTCCCATCACGGAAGCTGGGGCCTACATTTACATCCTTCCGGGTGCCAGAGGCTTTATCTGAAGTGAACAGTCCCGCAACCGACTCACTCTCATCTGTTGCATCTGGAGATAAATCCCGTGCCACTAAAAGGACTGAGGACCAGACATCGCTGTCGTTTGCAGATATGTTTCCCAAGAGCGCATCTTCCTGCGATCACATTTATTTGCGACGGGCAGGCATCCGAAGCAAGACAGGACGGGAATGGTAAGGCTCGTGCACATGCACACCGTGTCACCATCAAGAAAACACGCCTGCTCAGTGTTGGCATGAGTAAATAGACGGCACTTGCCCCGAAGAGTTCTTGTACTCATTACTCGGAAACTTCAGCTCGATTTCAACCTCTAGTTGCTGTACTTGCCTGCCGAGACACAGGAGAAACGAACGAGCCGTTGCCTTGATTGACTTGCTCGATAACATCCCACGTCAGAACTAAGAATCGAAACGCAGCCTGGGCAGAAGGTCGAAAAAGCTCCGCTCGAATTCGAATGGAATGAGTCAGAGGGCCTTGTTGGCCTCATGGCTGCTGCGCGGAAAGGTGCAACTGAAAGATGGAACAGCAAATGACCGCTTGTAAATCACCAGGATGCCGCCGCTCGGCACCTGGCTGACGTTCTCCTCTGTCCTTACATGGCGACAGCTCTTAGGTCCTTGTAGCATCCTTTCTAAACCTCTGCCTGTCCTCGTCCGTACCACCTCTATCAGGCGCAGATTTCCGATGCATACGAGATTCGCATCTGACAGGTTGCCATCCAGCTCGGTGGACTCATTGTCAGCTTCAAGTAAATCTTCTGAGGCATTGATGGCCTCCGTGACATTGGACACGTTCATGGGAAGTTCGGTCTCGTTCCAGCCCTGAGCCACAGACATTGGGTAAGCAAAGGCACAGACACAGACACACACACACACACACAGACACACACACACACACACACAAACAAACAAACAAGCAAACAAAGAGACACAAAGAACACATACACACACACACACTCCCACCCTCCAAGCAAACAATACACTCAATGCACAAACAAGCGCGCGCACACACCTACGTGCTGCTAGACCTACCACGAAATTGCATGCTTTACCGTTACCCGCACGTCGACCAAACTAAGGCAGGGACATCACTGTCATGAGCAGACTCGTTCTCCAACATGGGTACATCTGCCTCCAGTTGGTGTTGGATCAGAACTTCTCTCTTCTTTGAAATCTTGTTTTCGCCAGGGTTAGGGTGAAGCATGGTGAAGCTGTTACCCGCTCCACCGCGCGCTCGTGCAGTTGTCTCTCTCTCTCTCTCTCTCCCTCCCTCTCTTCCAGGGGGTAGGCAGGGGCAGCGTTCTCTCTCTCACTCTCTCCCTCTTTCTCTCTCTGCCGTTTCATCCCAGAACTTGGATCCGGTGATCATGCTCGGTCCTGCTCGGTCGGAGGAATTCCCTTTGAAGCTGCATCAAGCACTCGACAAGCGACACCGAGCTTCAAGACTGGAGCTACTGCACTGCTCAGCAAAATATGGCAGAGCTGGTGCGACTGTTCGGCTCATGCGTCCCTCACCGCATTGGAGGTCTGAGCAACTATGTGAACACACGTCTTCAACTGCGAACCAAGTCACCGGTGGAATCCAGGAGTCGTTGCCTTGAATGTAGTCACTGCTCATCTATTCCCGAAAGTCGGTTGCAACCCTGGTGTGACGCTACTGACCATCATTCCGCTCGGATGCAGTTACCAGGCCGCACCTGCAATCACGGCAAAAAATGCAGAGGCTACGCAAATGTATGCCACCCACTGCTATTTTGCTCGAGCAGGGAGCTCCAAACGTTTTCAGAAGCCTGCCAGTCCGTGCTCTTCGAAACAAAGTGTGCGCTGCTGCTGCGAAGAGTGACATACCCGACAAAAGATCTACATCCAAATTGCACCGTCCAAGCCACTGCTGTTCGACACTTCCGTCAAGTTCTCTTGGGTCCTCGGCTGACTGCTGGACGCATTCACCAGGCACATGTTCTCCACGACCACGCCGTCACAACAAGCTTCACCCAGCTTGGCAAACTGACTGAGGCGAGCTTCGCGTCTGACAGGTTGCCATCCATATCGGTGGACTCATTGTCATCTTCAAGCAGATCTTCCGAAGCATTGATGGCCTCCGTGACATTGGATATGTTGATGAGAAGTTCGGTCTCGTTCCAGCCCTTAGCCACCCGTTCAACATTGCATGCTGCTACCTTCCGCTACCCTTGCCTTGCGAGACCTTTGTACCTCCGTAGATCTGCAACTGCGAGAAGGACAAGATTGCACAGAGAACTGTGCCAAACTGAGAAAGTCGCATCGCTATCGATGGCAGACTCGTTGAGCACGGTGGGCACGCCTTCCTGCAGCATGGCTGGTATAGGGATTTCGGATACGCTTTCCTCTTATTTATCCCAATACTTTCATCGTAAAATCCATTGGGCAGCACCGCGCTGCAAGACGGGATCAATGCATTGCTCGGCGACATGTGGCGAAGATAGTGCCACATGGCAGCTCAGGCGTCTCAAACCGTGAGGAAGCACTTCGCAAAACCTCGTCAGCTGCAAACCAAGTCACCGCTAGAGTCCAGGAGTCATTGCCTTAATTGTAGGCTTGCGGAACCAAGCGTGCGTAAACTGGGATCTGAGGGCATACAGTATCATCATATCGTGATATTACTGCTGCATGGAATGGTGGCTGATATCCTCCCAGATGCATAGGAATGCAAACCTGCTGCTGCTGCTGCGAAGAGTGACATACCCGACAAAAGATCTACATCCAAATTGCACCGTCCAAGCCACTGCTGTTCGACACTTCCGTCAGGTTCTCTTGGGTCCTCGGCTGACTGCTGGACGCATTCACCAGGCACATGTTCTCCACGACCACGCCGTCACAACAAGCTTCACCCAGCTTGGCAAACTGACTGAGGCGAGCTTCGCGTCTGACAGGTTGCCATCCATATCGGTGGACTCATTGTCATCTTCAAGCAGATTTTCCGAAGCATTGATGGCCTCCGTAACATTGGACATGTTGATGAGAAGTTCGGTCTCGTTCCAGCCCTCAGCCGCGCTCAATGAACACACTGCCTGCTAGCAAACCGGTGTCGAAATTGCATGCCGGCCTCTACCGTTACGGAATCTTGCGGAATGTCGGTTTTAGTGTTCCGTTGCGGGCACCACCAACACCAGTCACACTCTCACCCCCCACCCCTCCCTCGCCCCCCAAAGTCAGCAAGGGGCATCACTGTCGTTGGCCGACTCGTTCCCAAAGATGAGCATGTCTGCCTCCAGCAGAGCCGAATAAGACTTTCGATCTGGCTTACTTGTTCATGGTCATCGGTCGGAGGGCTGCGCTTCAAGACTGGCCATAATGAAATGCTCAGCAATGCACCAGACGGCGGCTCATGCGTCCCCCACTGCATCGGAAGGGTCGCAACCATGTGAACAAATCTCGTCAACTGAAGACCAAGTCACCGGTAGAATAGAGGAATCGTTGCCTTAGCTGAAGACGTCTGGGGACATCGCATGAACAGGGATCTAGGATGATCTAGGCCTACAGCACACGCCCCGCTTCTCCCTGCAAGGACCGATAGCTTCCAACTGCAGGGGCGAAGGAGCTTCTGCGGCGGAAGTAACATACCAGAAAAAGCTCTATCCAAGCTCTCGGCTTGGGCTGGGGCGGTCCAAACTGCTCCAAGCCACTGCTGTTCGACACCTCCGACACGTTCTCTTCTGTCCTTGACTGTCGGATGAATTCACAAAGCAATTCGTGCTCGATCTTCAGGACAAGCCATCCCTTCAACAGCCGGTTCGCAAACTGACTCAGGCGAGCTTCGCATCTGACAGGTTGCCATCCAGCTCGGTGGACTCGTTGTCATCTTCAAGCAGATCTTCCGAGACATTGATGGCCTCCGTGACGACGGAGATGTTGACGGGAGGTTCGGTCTCGTTCCAGCCCTCAGCTGCGCTCATTCAAGACTTGTGGACCCCAACAGACCGCACTGCATATCGACTGAAGTAAGCAAGGCGCATCACTGTCGTTAGCAGACTCGTTCCCGATGATGAGCACGTCTTCCTCCAGCACTGCTAAATTGGATATGGTTTCTCTCTCATCCATTCCGGGCTCATAGCGTCCCGAGTGACTGCATCAACACGCGGCACATGATTTGGCGGCTCACGCGTCCCCCACCGCATAGAAAGGGCCGCAACCATGTCAACAAATCTCGTCAACTGAAAACCAAGTCACCGGTAGGATCCAGGAGTCGTTGCCTTGAGTGAAAGAGGCTTGGGAATGAACTGGGGTCTAGAAGACTTCTCCCTGCAAGGGGACGTGACCGATAGCTTCCAACTGCAGGGGCGAAGGAGCTTCTGCGGCGGAAGTAACATACCATAAAAGCTCTATCCAATGACCAAGCTCTCGGCTTGGGCTGGGGTGGTCCAAACTGCTCCAAGCCACTGCTGTTCGACACCTCCGACACGTTCTCTTCTGTCCTTGACTGTCGGATGAATTCACAAAGCAATTTGTGCTCGATCTTCAGGACGAGCCATCCCTTCAACAGCCGGGTTCGCAAACTGACTCAGGCGAGCTTCGCATCTGACAGGTTGCCATCCAGCTCGGTGGACTCGTTGTCATCTTCAAGCAGATCTTCCGAGACATTGATGGCCTTCGTGACGACTGAGATGTTGACGGGAGGTTCGGTCTCGTTCCAGCCCTCAGCTGCGCTCATTCAAGACTTGTGAACCCCAACAGACCGCACTGAAGTAAGCAAGGCGCATCACTGTCGTTAGCAGACTCATTCCCGATGATGAGCACGTCTTCCTCCAGCACTGCTAAATTGGATATGGTTTCTCTCTCATCCATTCCGGGCTCATGGCGTCCCGAGTGACTGCATCAACACGTGGCACACGATTTGGCCCCACCGCATAGGAAGGGCCGCAACCATGTCAACAAATCTCGTCAACTGAAAACCAAGTCACCGGTAGGATCCAGGAGTCGTTGCCTTGAGTGAAAGAGGCTTGGGAATGAACTGGGGTCTAGAAGACTTCTCCCTGCAAGGGGACGTGACCGATAGCTTCCAACTGCAGGGGCGAAGGAGCTTCTGCGGCGGAAGTAACATACCATAAAAGCTCTATCCAATGGCCAAGCTCTGGGCGAGTCTGGGGTCAAAAATGTCTTTTTTTTGTGTGTCAAAATGTCTTTTTTTTGTCTGTTGCTCTACATACACATGTTTCGGCTGTGGTTCTAAGCTTTACGGTTCAGGTTTAGGGATTAGGGTTAAGGGCTTAGGAGGGTTTAGGGTTTCAGACTTGAAGCTTTACGGTTTAGGGTTTAGGGTTTGGGTGTAAGGTTTAGGGTTTACGGTTGTGGTTTAGGGTTTGGGCTTTGGATCTAAGGTTTACAGTTTAGGGTTCTGGTTTAGGGTTAAGGACTTGGTTGTTAGGGTTAAGGGTTTAGGACATAGGGCTTAGGGTTCAGGATTTACGCTTGGCCGAGACTCCGCCGAGACCCGGCCGAGACCCTTTTTCGGGGTTCGCCAGGGTTTAGGGATTAGGGTTAACGGCTTAGGAGGGTTTAAGGTTTTAGAGTTGAAGCTTTACGGTTTAGGGTTTAGGGTTTGGGTGTGGTTTAGGGTTTGGGCTTTGGGTCTAAGGTTTAGGGTTTAGGGTTCTGGAGGGTTAAGGGTTTAGGACATAGGGCTTAGGGTTCAGGATTTACGCTTGGCCGAGACTCCGCCGAGACCCGGCCGAGACCCGGATTTAGGGTTCGCCAGGGTTTAGGGATTAGGGTTAAGGGCTTACGAGGGTTTAGGGTTTAGGGTTTTGGGTTGTGCTCTAGGGTTTAGGGTTAGGGTTTGGGAGTAAGGTTTAGGGTTTAAGGTTCTGGTTTAGGGTTTAGGGTTTAGGGTTTGGGTGTAGGGTTTAGGGTTTAGGGTTGTGGTTTAGGGTTAAGGACTTGGTTGTAACGTTTAGGGGTTTAGGGTTAAGGGTTTAGGATAGGGCTTAGGGTTCAGGATTTACGCTTGGCCGAGACTCCGCCGAGACCCTTCCGAGACCCTTTTTCGGGGTTCGCCAGGGTTTAGGGATTAGGGTTAACGGCTTAGGAGGGTTTAAGGTTTTAGAGTTGAAGCTTTACGGTTTAGGGTTTAGGGTTTGGGTGTAAGGTTTAGGGTTTAGGGTTGTGGTTTAGGGTTTGGGCTTTGGGTCTAAGGTTTAGGGTTTAGGGTTCTGGTTTAGGGTTAAGGACTTGGTTGTAAGGTTTAGGGGTTTAGGGTTAAGGGTTTAGGACATAGGGCTTAGGGTTCAGGATTTACGCTTGGCCGAGACTCCGCCGAGACCCGGCCGAGACCCGGATTTAGGGTTCGCCAGGGTTTAGGGATTAGGGTTAAGGGCTTACGAGGGTTTAGGGTTTAGGGTTTTGGGTTGTGCTCTAGGGTTTAGGGTTAGGGTTTGGGAGTAAGGTTTAGGGTTTAAGGTTCTGGTTTAGGGTTTAGGGTTTGGGTGTAGGGTTTAGGGTTTAGGGTTGTGGTTTAGGGTTAAGGACTTGGTTGTAACGTTTAGGGGTTTAGGGTTAAGGGTTTAGGATAGGGCTTAGGGTTCAGGATTTACGCTTGGCCGAGAATTCGCCGAGACCCGGCCGAGACCCTTTTTCGGGGTTCGCCAGGGTTTAGGGATTAGGGTTAACGGCTTAGGAGGGTTTAAGGTTTTAGAGTTGAAGCTTTACGGTTCAGGGTTTAGGGTTTGGGTGTAAGGTTTAGGGTTTAGGGTTGTGGTTTAGGGTTTGGGCTTTGGGTCGAAGGTTTAGGGTTTAGGGTTCTGGCTTAGGGTTAAGGACTTGGTTGTAAGGTTTAGGGGTTTAGGGTTAAGGGTTTAGGACATAGGGCTTAGGGTTCAGGATTTACGCTTGGCCGAGACTCCGCCGAGACCCGGCCGAGACCCTTTTTCGGGGTTCGCCAGGGTTTAGGGATTAGGGTTAACGGCTTAGGAGGGTTTAAGGTTTTAGAGTTGAAGCTGTACGGTTTAGGGTTTAGGGTTTGGGTGTAAGGTTTAAGGTTTAGGGTTGTGGTTTAGGGTTTGGGTGTAAGGTTTAGGGTTTAGGCTTTGGGCGTAAGGTTTAGGGTTTAAGGTTGTGGTTTAAGGTTAAGGACTTGGTTGTAAGGTTTAGGGGTTTTTGGTTAAGCGTTTAGGACATAGGGCTGAGGGTTCAGGATTTACGCTTGGCCGAGACTCGGCCGTGACCCGGCCGAGACCCGGATTTAGGGTTCGCCAGGGTTTAGGGATTAGGGTTAAGGGCTTACGAGGGTTTAGGGTTTAGGGTTTTGGGTTGTGCTCTAGGGTTTAGGGTTAGGGTTTGGGAGTAAGGTTCAGGGTTTAAGGTTCTGGTTTAGGGTTTAGGGTTTGGGTGTACGGTTTAGTTTAGGGTTTAGGTGTAGGGTTTAGGGTTTAGGGTTGTGGTTTAGGGTTAAGGACTTGGTTGTAACGTTTAGGGGTTTAGGGTTAAGGGTTTAGGATAGGGCTTAGGGTTCAGGATTTACGCTTGGCCGAGACTCCGCCGAGACCCGGCCGAGACCCTTTTTCGGGGTTCGCCAGGGTTTAGGGATTAGGGTTAACGGCTTAGGAGGGTTTAAGGTTTTAGAGTTGGAGCTTTAGGGTTTAGGGTTTGAGCGGGTTTCTAATTTGGCCTAGCCCTGAACAGATGTCCTGTGTCGTAGACGCCTCACCATGGCCGAGACATGGCCGAGACATTGGAATGTGTAAGCCGAGACGTCAACTGAGACATAAAAAAAGACATTTTGACACAAAAAAAAAGACAAAAAGGATACGCGACCCGCTCTGGGCTTGGGCTGGGGCGGTCCAAACTGCTCCAAGCCACTGCTGTTCGACACCTCCGACACGTTCTCTTCTGTCCTCGACTGCCGGATGAATTCACAAAGCAATTTGCGCTCGATGTTCAGGACGAGCCATCCCTTCAACAGCCGGGTTCGCAAACTGACTCAGGCGAGCTTCGCATCTGACAGGTTGCCATCCAGCTCGGTGGACTCGTTGTCATCTTCAAGCAGATCTTCCGAGACATTGATGGCCTCCGTGACGACGGAGATGTTGACGGGAGGTTCGGTCTCGTTCCAGCCCTCAGCTGCCCTCATTCAAGACTTGTGGACCCCAACAGACCGCACTGCATATCGACTGAAGTAAGCAAGGCGCATCACTGTCGTTAGCAGACTCGTTCCCGATGATGAGCACGTCTTCCTCCAGCACTGCTAAATTGGATATGGTTTCTCTCTCATCCATTCCGGGCTCATGGCGTCCCGAGTGACTGCATCAACACGTGGCACACGATTTGGCCCCACCGCATAGGAAGGGCCGCAACCATGTCAACAAATCTCGTCAACTGAAAACCAAGTCACCGGTAGAATCCAGGAGCCGTTGCCTTGAGTGAAAGAGTCTTGGGAATGAACTATGAACTGGGGTCTATTAGAATACTCCCTGCAAGTTGACGTGACCGATAGCTTCCAACTGCAGGGGCGAAGGAGCTTCTGCGGCGGATGTAACATACCAGAAAAAGCTCTATCCAATGGCCCAGCTCTCGGCTTGGGCTGGGGCAAACTGCACCAAGGTACTGCTGTTCGACACCTCCGACACGTTCTCTTCTGTCCTCGACTGCCGGATGAATTCACAAAGCAATTTGCGCTCGATGTTCAGGACGAGCCATCCCTTCAACAGCCGGGTTCGCAAACTGACTCAGGCGAGCTTCGCATCTGACAGGTTGCCATCCAGCTCGGTGGACTCATTGTCATCTTCAAGCAGATCTTCCGAGACATTGATGGCCTCCGTGACGACGGAGATGTTGAGCGGAGGTTCGGTCTCGTTCCAACCCTCAGACGCATACACTCAGCACACTGCCTGCTGCCAAACCGGTGTCGAAATTGCATGCCGGCCTCTACCGTTGGGGAATGTCGGTTTGATTGTTCCGTTGCGGGCACCACCAACAACGGTCACACCCTCACCCCCCCCCAAAGTCAACAAGGGGCATCACTGGCGTCACTGTCGTTGGCAGACTCGTTCCGGATGATGAGCACGTCAACGTCTTCCTCCAGCAAAAAACTGAATTAGACGTTCGACGAGGTTTCTTAAAGCTCGTCCGTTTTCGGCTGGAGCATCACGAGCGAAAGGCACCGCGCTCCAAGACTGGACAAAACGCAATGCTCACCATCGTGTGGCAGGGCTGCAGAATTTTACGACTCGTCCGTCCCACCCCGCAGTGGAAAGATAAGCAGCCATGTCATAAAACACCCCACATCTGCAAACCAAGGCACCGGTAGAATCCAGGAGTCGTTGCCTTGAGTGAAAGAGTCTTGTCTATTCGAATACTCCCTGCAAGTTGACGTGACCGATAGCTTCCAACTTCCAACTGCAGGGGCGCAGGAGCTTCTGCGGCGGATGTAACATACCAGAAAAAGCTCTATCCAATGGCCCAGCTCTCGGCTTGGGCTGGGGCAAACTGCTCCAAGGTACTGCTGTTCGACACCTCCGACACGTTCTCTTCTGTCCTCGACTGCCGGATGAATTCACAAAGCAATTTGCGCTCGATGTTCAGGACGAGTCATCCCTTCAACAGCCGGGTTCGCAAACTGACTCAGGCGAGCTTCGCATCTGACAGGTTGCCATCCAGCTCGGTGGACTCATTGTCATCTTCAAGCAGATCTTCCGAGACATTGATGGCCTCCGTGACGACGGAGATGTTGAGCGGAGGTTCGGTCTCGTTCCAGCCCTCAGGCGCATACACTCAGCACACTGCCTGCTGCCAAACCGGTGTCGAAATTGCATGCCGGCCTCTACCGTTGGGGAATGTCGGTTTGATTGTTCCGTTGCGGGCACCACCAACACCGGTCACACCCTCACCCCTCGCCAAAGTCAACAAGGCGCATCACTGGCGTCACTGTCGTTGGCAGACTCGTTCCGGATGATGAGCACGTCAACGTCTTCCTCCAGCAAAAAACTGAATTAGACGTTCGATGAGGTTTCTTAAAGCTCATCCGTTTTCGGCTGGAGCATCACGAGCGACAGGAACTGCGCTCCAAGACTGGACAAAATGCAATGCTCACCATCGTGTGGCAGGGCTGCAGAATTTTACGACTCGTGCGTCCCACTCCGCAGTGGAAAGATAAGCAGCCATGTCATAAAACACCCTTGCATCTGCAAACCAAGTCACCGGTAGAATCCAGGAGCCGTTGCCTTGAGTGAAAGAGTCTTGGGAATGAACTATGAACTGGGGTCTATTAGAATACTCCCTGCAAGTTGACGTGACCGATAGCTTCCAACTGCAGGGGCGAAGGAGCTTCTGCGGCGGATGTAACATACCAGAAAAAGCTCGATCCAATGGCCCAGCTCTCGGCTTGGGCTGGGGCAAACTGCACCAAGGTACTGCTGTTCGACACCTCCGACACGTTCTCTTCTGTCCTCGACTGCCGGATGAATTCACAAAGCAATTTGCGCTCGATGTTCAGGACGAGCCATCCCTTCAACAGCCGGGTTCGCAAACTGACTCAGGCGAGCTTCGCATCTGACAGGTTGCCATCCAGCTCGGTGGACTCATTGTCATCTTCAAGCAGATCTTCCGAGACATTGATGGCCTCCGTGACGACGGAGATGTTGAGCGGAGGTTCGGTCTCGTTCCAGCCCTCAGGCGCCTACACTCAGCACACTGCCTGCTGCCAAACCGGTGTCGAAACTGCATGCCGGCCTCTACCGTTGGGGAATGTCGGTTTGATTGTTCCGTTGCGGGCACCACCAACACCGGTCACACCCTCACCCCTCGCCAAAGTCAACAAGGGGCATCACTGGCGTCACTGTCGTTGGCAGACTCGTTCCGGATGATGAGCACGTCAACGTCTTCCTCCAGCAAAAAACTGAATTAGACGTTCGATGGGTTTCCTTAAGCTCATCCGTTTTCGGCTGGTGGCATGTCACATGACAGCTCAGGCGTACCAAACCCTCAGGAAGCATGTCATTACACCGCGTCAGCTGCAAACAAAGTCACCGCCGTAGTCGAAGAGTTGTTGCCTTGAATGCAGACGTGAGGAAACGTGTGAACTGGGATCTTCAGGCATGTAGTTGCATGGAAGCTGTCGCTGAGTGCAAAGGTACTGCTGCCGCGAAAGTCGACAAAGCCCCAAATCCAAGTCGAACGGTCCAAGATGGTCCAAGCCACCGTTCGATGCCTCTGTGGTGTTCTCTTCGCTCCTCGGCTGCCGGCCGGATGCACTCCCAGGCACATCCATGCCGTCCCAACAAGGTACACACAGTCCGGCCCGCCCCTGTGAGCAACGGCTGCTTGGCAAACTGACTGAGGCGAGCTTCGCATCTGACAGGTTGCCATCCAGCTCGGTGGACTCATTGTCATCTTGAAGCAGGTCTTCCGAGACATTGATGGCCTCCGTGGCGACGGAGATGTTGAGGGGAGGCTCGGTCTCGTTCCAGCCCTCAGCTGCGCACAGTCAGCACACACCCCCGACCCCCGGCTATCAAACCTACAGCAAAATTCCATGCCCTCCTCTACGATCGCACAACGTCACGTTGCGTTGGCAGTTGTGGACACACCCCGTCACACCCTGTCACACCCTCGCAGAAAAGACTGCACTGCATATCGCCCAAGCTAAGCAAGGGACATCACTGTCGTTGGCAGACTCGTTCCCGAAGATGAGCACGTCTTCCTCTTCCTCCAGTAGTGTCGAATTTGACTGCCGATCACGTTTCTTACTCATCCAGCTTCGGCCGTTGGCGTGCCGAGCGACAGGAAACGTGAGCAACCATGTCATAAAACATGTCCACTATAACTGCAAAACAGGTCGCCGGTAAAATCCAGGAGCCGTTGCCTTGAAGGTAGACGGCCGTTGGGGACATGGCATGAACAGGGATCTTGATCTAGGCATAAAGCTCGCCCCACTCCTCCCTGCAAGGCAACGTGACCGACATCTTCCAACTGAAATGCACAGGTGCTTCTGCGGCGGGATTAACATAACAGAAAGCGGGCCGCAACAAGACTCTCGGCTTGAGCGGTCTAAAAAATCGGTCCAGGCCGCTGCGGTTCGAGACCTCCGACACGTTGTCTTCGGTCCTTGAATGGCGGATGAATTCACCAAGCAATTTGTTCGCAATCTTCGGAAACCATCCCCTCACAGCAAGCTTCACGTCCCAGCCCGGCTGAACCAACCCCCTGTCTTCGTGGGTACCACTTGCTTCGCAAACTGACTGAGGCGAGCTTCGCATCTGACAGGTTGCCATCCAGCTCGGTGGACTCATTGTCATCTGCAAGCAGATCTTCCGAGACATTGACGTCCTCCGGGACGACGGAGATGTTGATGGGAACTTCAGTCACGTTCCCCTCAGCTATGCACATTCAACACACACCCCCGGCTACCAAACCTACAGCAAAATTCCATGCCGTCCTCTACGATCGCACAACGTCACGTTGTGTTGGCAGTTGTGGACACACCCCGTCACACCCTCGCAGAAAAGACTGCACTGCATATCGCCCAAGCTAAGCAAGGGACATCACTGTCGTTGGCAGACTCGTTCCCGAAGATGAGCACGTCTTCCTCCAGTGGTGAGTTACAGAATAAGGTCGACCGCTTTCTAGCTTGTTCTGTGGTTCCTTGGAAATAGCAACACACAGAAACTCAATCTCGCAGCCCGTCTCCCGAAATGGAATGAGGTCGGAATATGTAACACTCAGATAAAGTCATCAACAACCAGAAAACGGTCACAGCATGCATGTTGAGATTTCTTTAACTTTGCCTGACACTGTTGGATTTGCTTTCCTCTGGGAAAACCAGGAATTCCCAAACATCGCAGGTCCAGTCCAAAAACGTCGCAGACCAAGTCGAACACGATGTGGACAAAAACATCAGCGTAGAAGTCCAAAAGCCAGACGCCCCGATGTGTCACGGACTGGTTCAGGATTTGTTCCCATTTGGCTGCCAGGGCGTTGTTGCTCCATTAACTCCGATGGAGGGTTTTATTGTCTTTTTATTCGTTGGGTCCGCCGCCAGAACAAATTGACAAGATAATCAGGCCGACTTAAACTCAAATTTAGACTTGGACTTTCGAGCTGGTTTCTTATTCATCCACTTTCGGCAGGTGGCGAGACATGCGTGTTCGTGAGGCTTCAGCATGCATTCGTATGATGTAACTGGATCTAACGAAATGCTCACTATCGTGTGGCAGAGCTATACGACTTTGGCAGCTCGTGCATGCCACGCTACTACGGAAAGTTGAGCAACCATGTCATAAAACCTCGACTGCAAACCAAGTCGCTGGTAGAATCCAGGAGTCGTTGCCTGGCATGTAGACATCTGCCGACATCGCATGAACAAAACTCCCGTCTTGAGCGGTCCAGCCAAGCCGCTGCTGTTCGACACCTCCGACACATTCCCTTTGGTCCTCGTCTGCGGGATGCATTTTCCAAGCAATTTGTTCGCAATCTTCGGAAACCATCCCCTCACAGCAAGCTTCCCGTCCCAGCCCGGCTGAACCAACCCCATGTCTTCGTGGGTACCACTTGGTTCGCAAACTGACTGAGGCGAGCTTCGCATCTGACAGGTTGCCATCCAGCTCGGTGGACTCATTGTCATCTTCAAGCAGGTCTTCCGAGACATTGACGTCCTCCGGGACGACGGAGATGTTGACGGGAACTTCGGTCTCGTTCCAGCCCTCAGCCGCGCTCATTCAACAGACCGCCTGCTACAAAACCTGAAGCGAGATTGCACGGCCCTCCTCTGCCGTTGCAGACCGTCACGTTCTGTTGATCAGTTACGGACACTGCCAGTCGCACCCTCATCCGAAAAGACCGCACTGCGCAACGCCCAAATGAAGCAAAGAGGCATCACTGGCATCACTGTGGTTGACAGACTCGTTCCCAAAGATGGGCATGTCTTCCTCCAGTCATGCTGACTTAGACTTTCGATCTGCTTTCGTGTTCATCCGTTTAGGGCCGATGAAGTGTCATGCGTGTCCATGAAGCTTCAGCAAGCTATTCGAATGACGGCACCTGCTTCATAACTGGATCTAACACGATGCTCGGCATCGTGTGGCGGAGCTGCACGACTTTGGCGGCTCGTGCGTCCCACGCCGAAACGCAAAGGTGAGCAACCATGTGCTAAAACTTGTCAACTGCAAGCCAAGTCGCTCGTAGAATCCAGGAGTCGTTACCTTGAATGTAGACATCTGCGGAAATCGTATGAACTGGGATCCACGCGTCACCGCACACTACATTCAGCCCACTCCTCCCTGCAAGAAGACATGACCGACATCTTCCAACAAAGCCGGACACATGCTTCTGCTGCGAGATTAGCACACCAGAAAGCGGCCCATATCGAAACCCTCGGCTGGATCTTTCCGGAATGGTCCAAGCTGCTGCTGTTCGACACCTCCGACACGTTGTCTTCGGTCCTTAAATGGCGGATGAGTTCCCCAAGCAATTTGTTCGCAATCTTCGGAAACCATCCCTTCACAGCAAGCTTCACGTCTCAGCCCGGCTGAACCAACCCCGTGTCTTCGTGGGTAACACTTGCTTCGCAAACTGACTGAGGCGAGCTTCGCATCTGACAGGTTGCCATCCAGCTCGGTGGACTCATTGTCATCTTCAAGCAGGTCTTCCGAGACATTGACGTCCTCCGGGACGACGGAGATGTTGACGGGAACTTCGGTCTCGTTCCAGCCCTCAGCCGCGCTCATTCAACAGACCGCCTTCTACAAAACCTGAAGCGAGATTGCACGGCCCTCCTCTGCCGTTGCAGACCGTCACGTTCTGTTGATCAGTTACGGACACTGCCAGTCGCACCCTCATCCGAAAAGACCGCACTGCGCAACGCCCAAATGAAGCAAAGAGGCATCACTGGCATCACTGTGGTTGACAGACTCGTTCCCAAAGATGGGCATGTCTTCCTCCAGTCATGCTGACTTAGACTTTCGATCTGCTTTCGTGTTCATCCGTTTAGGGCCGATGAAGTGTCATGCGTGTCCATGAAGCTTCAGCAAGCTATTCGAATGACGGCACCCGCTTCATAACTGGATCTAACGCGATGCTCAGCATCGTGTGGCGAAGCTACACGACTTTGGCGGCTCGTGCGTTCCACGCCCGAAACGGAAAGGTGGGCCACCACGTCCTAAAACCTCGTCAACTGCAAGCCAAGTCGCTCGTAGAAGCCAGGAGTCGTTACCTTGAATGTAGACATCTGCGGAAATCGTATGAACTGGGATCCACGCGTCACCGCACACTACAGTCAGCCCACTCCTCCCTGCAAGAAGACATGACCGACATCTTCCAACAAAGCCGGACACATGCTTCTGCTGCGAGATTAGCACACCAGAAAGCGGCCCATATCGAAACCCTGGATCTTTCCGGAATGGTCCAAGCTGCTGCTGTTCGACACCTCCGACATGTTGTCTTCGGTCCTTAAATGGCGGATGAGTTCCCCAAGCAATTTGTTCGCAATCTTCGGAAACCATCCCTTCACAGCAAGCTTCACGTCTCAGCCGGCTGAACCAACCCTGTGTCTTTGTGGGTCCCACTTGAATCGCAAACTGACTGAGGCGAGCTTCGCATCTGACAGGTTGCCATCCAGCTCGGTGGACTCATTGTCATCTTCAAGCAGGTCTTCCGAGACATTGACGTCCTCCGGGACGACGGAGATGTTGACGGGAGCTTCGGTCTCGTTCCAGCCCTCAGCCGCGCTCATTCAACAGACCGCCTGCTACAAAACCTGAAGCGAGATTGCACGGCCCTCCTCTGCCGTTGCAGACCGTCACGTTCTGTTGATCAGTTACGGACACTGCCAGTCGCACCCTCATCCGAAAAGACCGCACTGCGCAACGCCCAAATGAAGCAAAGAGGCATCACTGGCATCACTGTGGTTGACAGACTCGTTCCCAAAGATGGGCATGTCTTCCTCCAGTCATGCTGACTTAGACTTTCGATCTGCTTTCGTGTTCATCCGTTTAGGGCCGATGAAGTGTCATGCGTGTCCATGAAGCTTCAGCAAGCTATTCGAATGACGGCACCTGCTTCATAACTGGATCTAACACGATGCTCGGCATCGTGTGGCGGAGCTGCACGACTTTGGCGGCTCGTGCGTCCCACGCCGAAACGCAAAGGTGAGCAACCATGTGCTAAAACTTGTCAACTGCAAGCCAAGTCGCTGGTAGAATCCAGGAGTCGTTACCTTGAATGTAGACGTCTGCGGACATCGTGTGAACAGGGGTAACTTCACACCACAGTCAGCCCACTCCTCCCTGCAAGACAGACATGACCGACATCTTCCAACAGAGCCCGACAGGTGCTTCGAGATTAACTGCTGATTAACTTACCAGAAAGCGGGCTGCATCAAAACCCCTCGGCTGGAGCTGTCCAGAATGGTCCAAGCCGCTGCTGTTCGACACCTCCGACACATTCCCTTTGGTCCTCGTCTGCGGGATGCATTTTCCAAGCAATTTGTTCGCAATCTTCGGAAACCATCCCTTCACAGCAAGCTTCCCGTCCCAGCCCGGCTGAACCAACCCCATGTCTTCGTGGGTACCACTTGCTTCGCAAACTGACTGAGGCGAGCTTCGCATCTGACAGGTTGCCATCCAGCTCGGTGGACTCATTGTCATCTTCAAGCAGGTCTTCCGAGACATTGACGTCCTCCGGGACGACGGAGATGTTGACGGGAACTTCGGTCTCGTTCCAGCCCTCAGCCGCGCTCATTCAACAGACCGCCTGCTACAAAACCTGAAGCGAGATTGCACGGCCCTCCTCTGCCGTTGCAGACCGTCACGTTCTGTTGATCAGTTACGGACACTGCCAGTCGCACCCTCATCCGAAAAGACCGCACTGCGCAACGCCCAAATGAAGCAAAGAGGCATCACTGGCATCACTGTGGTTGACAGACTCGTTCCCAAAGATGGGCATGTCTTCCTCCAGTCATGCTGACTTAGACTTTCGATCTGCTTTCGTGTTCGTCCGTTTAGGGCCGATGAAGTGTCATGCGTGTCCATGAAGCTTCAGCAAGCTATTCGAATGACGGCACCCGCTTCATAACTGGATCTAACGCGATGCTCGGCATCGTGTGGCGGAGCTGCACGACTTTGGCGGCTCGTGCGTCCCACGCCGAAACGCAAAGGTGAGCAACCATGTCCTAAAACTTGTCAATTGCAAGCCAAGTCGCTTGTAGAATCCAGGAGTCGTTACCTTGAATGTAGACGTCTGCGGACATCGTGTGAACAGGGGTAACTTCACACCACAGTCAGCCCACTCCTCTCTGGAAGACAGACATGAACGACATCTTCCAACAAAGCCCGACAGGTGCTTCTGCTTCGAGATTAACTGCTGATTAACTTACCAGAAAGCGGGCTGCATCAAAACCCCTCGGCTGGAGCTGTCCAGAATGGTCCAAGCCGCTGCTGTTCGACACCTCCGACACATTCCCTTTGGTCCTCGTCTGCGGGATGCATTTTCCAAGCAATTTGTTCGCAATCTTCGGAAACCATCCCTTCACAGCAAGCTTCCCGTCCCAGCCCGGCTGAACCAACCCCATGTCTTCGTGGGTACCACTTGCTTCGCAAACTGACTGAGGCGAGCTTCGCATCTGACAGGTTGCCATCCAGCTCGGTGGACTCATTGTCATCTTCAAGCAGGTCTTCCGAGACATTGACGTCCTCCGGGACGACGGAGATGTTGACGGGAACTTCGGTCTCGTTCCAGCCCTCAGCCGCGCTCATTCAACAGACCGCCTGCTACAAAACCTGAAGCGAGATTGCACGGCCCTCCTCTGCCGTTGCAGACCGTCACGTTCTGTTGATCAGTTGCGGACACATCGCCCTGGCCCCAAAAAAGCAAAGTGGCATCACTGGCTTCACTGTGGTTGACAGACTCGTTCTCGAAGATTGGCACGTCTTCCTTCAGTCATTCTGAATTTGGCTTTCGATGTTTATCAATTTGAGGCCGATGGCATGTCATCTTGAAGCGAATGACGGCAACGAGCTTCAGGACTGCATGGGCTGGATTTAAACAACGATCATCATCTTGTGTCTGAGCTGCACGATTTGGCAGCTCGTGTGTCCCATTCCGCAATGGAAAAGTGAGCCACTATGTCATAAAACCTTGTCAGCTGCAAACCAAGTCGCCGGTAGAATCCAGGAGTCGTTGCCTTGACTGTAAACGTCAAGGGCCATCGCATGAACAGGGATCCATGCGTAAACTCACCCCGCAGTCACCCCACTCCTTCCTGCAACGAGACGTGAGCGACATCTTCCAACAAAGCCGGACAGGTGCTTATGCTTCGAGATGAACGTACTAGAAAGCGGGCTGCATCTAAACCCTCGGATTGAGCGGTCCAAAAATAGGTCCAAGCCGCTGCGGTTGGACACCTCCGACACGTTGTCTTCGGTCCTTGAATGGCGGATGCATTCACCAAGCAATTCGTGCTCAATCTTCGGAAACCATCCCTTCACAGCAAGCTTCACGTCTCAGCCCGGCTGAACCAACACTGTGTCTTCGTGGGTAACACTTGCTTCGCAAACTGACTGAGGCGAGCTTCGCATCTGACAGGTTGCCATTCAGCTCGGTCGACTCATTGTCATCTTCAAGCAGATCTTCCGAGATATTGACGTCCTCCGGGACATTCGACTCTTCAATGGGAAGTTCGGTCTCGTTCCAGGCCTCAGCCGAACATAGTCAGCATAGCATACCCCTGCTGGCAAAGCTGCAACGAAATTGAAATAGTGTACCTGTAACTGAACAATCGAGGACGGGACATCACTGTCGTTGGCGGAGCTGTTCTCCATGATGAGCATGCCTTCCTGCAGCAGTGCTGCTTGAGACTCATACAGCTCTTGTTGCGTTTCCATGCTCAGGGGCAGTCCCACCGGCGCAGAAGACTCATCGCACTTCAAGACTGCATCCATGCAATTTTTGGCAACATCTGGGAACATAATAGCTTTGAGCTTCCAACTGCGCACCAAGTGACTGGCAGAATCCAGGAGCCATTGCCTTGCGTGCAAGTCAAAGGCATGCGAAGCTGTGCAGGAAGCACTTCATGCCAAGCCGCTGCTGTTCGAGACCTCCTCCAAGTTCTCTGCGGTCCTCTGATACTCTGACAACACACGTCTAGTGCAAGCTCTCGAGAATATCGATGCAGAACAAGCTGCACTGGTTCATTTCTATGAAAACTGGCGAAAATTGAGACGAGATTCCCATCGGACAGGTTGCCATCAAGCGCGGCAGAGTCATTATCATCTTCCAGTGCATCCGAGGCATTGCTGGCTTCTCCGTCGTCAGAAGGCTCTGTCTCGTTCCAGGCCTCAGCCGCCAGATTTGTCCAACACCAACTACAAGTAGAAGACCTGCTGCCAAATTACATGCCTGCACTGTGCATCATGTTGCTTTCGCGAAGCGCATGGTGGGATATAGCACCATGTCTCGCGCCGTCGGCTCAAATGCCTTCTTTGCATATCGTTCAAACTGGGGGAGGCACATCACTTTCGTTGGCAGACACGTTCCCAATGATGAGCACATCTTCCTGGAACGCCGATGATGCTGACTTGTCATTGCTTCCATTGCCTTTCTACTGTTTCTTTTTCGGCCAGTGGCCGCTTCGACTCTCGATCAAGCGGCAGGAGAGAGTTCGAACGACAGCACAGGAAGACTCGAAAAGACTGGATCAGTGCGATGTGCTCCATCATCTGGCAAACATTGGCAAGCTTTACACTCGTTGTCATAGGCCGCACTAAAAGATGAGAAACCATGGTAAACTTGTTTCTGAATGCGAATCACGTCGCTGGTGGAATCCAGCGGTCATGGCCTGACAGGCACCAACCGGGAGGATGGAACTCACAGAAACAAGTATATTCACTTTTTTCGGACGCGACATGTGAAGAAACAGCTGCTGCTGCTGCTGCTGCTGCTGCTCGCGACCATATTCCAAAATCTTGATGCTCATGTCTTGAAGAGCCAAGCCGCTGTTGTTCGACACCGCCGACACGTTCTCTGCGGTCCTCGACTGGATGCACTGATGCAGCACATCTTGATCAATTTCCCTCTTCACAACAAGCTTCACTTCACTGCTCGGCAGATGCCAGGCTGGACCATCTCTGTGGGTAACTGTTGGTTCGCACACTGACTCAGGCGAGAATCGCATCTGACAGGTTGCCATCCAGCTCGGTGGACTCATTGTCATCTTCAAGCAGGTCTTCCGAGGCATTGATGGCCTCCGTGACAACGGAGCTGTTGATGGGAAGTTCGGTCTCGTTCCAGACCTCAGCCGAACATAGTCAGAACACCCCTGCTGGCAACGCCGCAACGAAATTGAAATAGTGCACCGATACCTGAACAATCGGGGACGGGACGTCACTATCGTTGGCGGACTTGTTCTCCATGATGAGCATGCCTTCCTGCAGCAGTGCTGCTTGAGACTCATGCACCTCTTGTTGCGTTTCCATGCACAGGGGCAGTCCCACCGGCGCAGAAGACAGCATCGCACTTCAAGACTGCATCCATGCAATCATTGGCAACATCTTGGAACATAATAGCTTTGAGCTTCCAACTGCGCACCAAGTGACTGGCAGAATCCAGGAGCCATTGCCTTGCGTGCGAGTCAAAGGCATGCGAAGCTGTGCAGGAAGCACTTCATTCCAAGCCGCTGCTGTTCGAGACCTCCTCCAAGTTCTCTGCGGTCCTCTGATATGCTGACAACACACGTCTAGTGCAAGCTCTCGAGAACATCGATGCAGAACAAGCTGCACTGGTTCACTTTTATGAAAACTGGCGCAAATTGAGACGAGATTCCCATCAGACAGGTTGCCTTCAAGCGTGGAAGACTCATTATCATCTTCCAGTGCATCCGAGGCATTGCTGGCTTCTCCGTCGTCAGAAGGTTCTGTCTCGTTCCAGGCCTCAGCCGCCAGATTTGTCTAACACCAACTACAAGTAGCAAACCTGCTGCCAAATTACATGCCTGCACTGTGCATCATGTCACTTTCGCGAAGCGCATGGTGGGATATAGAACCATGTCTCGCACCGTCGGCTCAAATGCCTTCTTTGCATATCGTTCAAACTGGGGGAGGCGCATCACTTTCGTTGGCAGACACGTTCCCAACGATGAGCACATCTTCCTGGAACGCCGATGATGCTGACATGTCATTGCTTCCATTGCCTTTCTACTGTTTCTTTTTCGGCCAGTGGCCGCTTCGACTCCCGATCAAACGACAGGACAGGAAAACTCGAAAAGACTGGATCAGTGCGATGTGCTCCATCATCTGGCAAACATTGGCAAGCTTTACACTCGTTGTCATAGGCCGCCCTAAAAGATGAGAAACCATGGTAAACTTGTTTCTGAATGCGAATCACGTCGCTGGTGGAATCCAGCGGTCATGGCCTGACAGGCACCAACCGGGAGGATGGAACTCACAGAAACAAATATATTCACTTTTTCCGGAGGCGATAAGTGAAGAAACAGCTGCTGCTGCTGCTGCTGCTCGCGACCATATTCCAAAATCTTGATGCCCATGTTGTCTTGAAGAGCCAAGCCGCTGTTGTTCGACACCGCCGACACGTTCTCTGCGGTCCTCGACTGGATGCACTGATGCAGCACATCTTGATCAATTTCCCTCTTCACAACAAGCTTCACTTCACTGCTCGACAGATGCCAGGCTGGACCATCTCTGTGGGTAACTGTTGGTTCGCACACTGACTCAGGCGAGAATCGCATCTGACAGGTTGCCATCCAGCTCGGTGGACTCATTGTCATCTTCAAGCAGGTCTTCCGAGGCATTGATGGCCTCCGTGACAACGGAGCTGTTGATGGGAAGTTCGGTCTCGTTCCAGACCTCAGCCGAACATAGTCAGAACACCCCTGCTGGCAACGCCGCAACGAAATTGAAATAGTGCACCGATACCTGAACAATCGGGGACGGGACGTCACTATCGTTGGCGGACTTGTTCTCCATGATGAGCATGCCTTCCTGCAGCAGTGCTGCTTGAGACTCATACACCTCTTGTTGCGTTTCCACAGGGGCAGTTACACCGGCGCAGAAGACAGCAAGATTGAATCCATGCAATCATTGCAGACATCTGGGAACATAATAGCTTTGAGCTTCCAACTGCGCACCAAGTGACTGGCAGAATCCAGGAGCCATTGCCTTGCGTGCAAGTCAAAGGCATGCGAAGCTGTGCAGGAAGCACTTCATTCAAGCCGCTGCTGTTCAAGACCTCCGCCAAGTTCTCTGCGGTCCTGGGATATGCTGACAACACACATTTGGTGCAAGCTCTCGAGAACATCGATGCAGAATGGGCTGCACTGATTTTGTCTTCGCTGGAAAAACTGGCGCAAATTGAGACGAGATTCCCATTGGACAGGTTGCCTTCAAGCGTGGCAGACTCGTTGTCATCTTCCCGTGCATCCGAGGCATTGGTGGCTTCTCCGTTGTCAGGAGGTTCTGTCTGGTTCCAGGCCTCAGCCGCTACACTTTTTCTAGCAGACGTGCTGCGAAATTGCATGCCGGCACTGTGCATCATGTCGCTTGCGCAGAGCCAATGCAATCTTTGCATATCGTTCAAGCTGGGGGAAGCACATCACTTTCGTTGGCAGAAATGTTCCGAGCGATGAGCACATCTTCCTGGGTGTTGACTTTGTCATTGCTTCCATTGCCTTTCCACTATCTCTTGTCGGCCAATGGCCGCTTCGACTCTCGATCGAGCAACAGGAAAGACAGCACCGTAAGACGCTAATAGACTGGATCAGTGCAATGTCCATTATCTGGCAAACATTGACAAACTCTACATTCATGCCATAGGCCGCACTGCAAGATGAGCAACCATGGTAAACTTGCTCCTGAATGCAATCACGTCACTGGTGAAATCCAGCGGTCATGGCCTGACAGGCACCAACCGGGCGGATGGAACTCACAGAAACAAGTATATTAAACGCCTCGCGAACTGCTCAGATGTACATAAAACCTGCTCGAAAGATTGCCGCTTTGCAGCAGCCGACATGTGAAGGAACCGCTGCGGCTGCCCGCGACCAGAGTCAAACATCTCCAAATGCATGTCTTGAAGGAGCCAAGCCGCTGTTGTTCGACACCGCCGACACGTTCTCGTCGGTCCTCGACTGGATGCACTGATGCAGCACATCTTGATCAATTTCCCTCTTCACAACAAGCTTCACTTCACTGCTCGGCAGATGCCAGGCTGGACCATCTCTGTGGGTAACTGTTGGTTCGCACACTGACTCAGGCGAGAATCGCATCTGACAGCTTGCCATCCAGCTCGGTGGACTCATTGTCATCTTCAAGCAGGTCTTCCGAGGCATTGATGGCCTCCTTGACAACGGAGCTGTTGATGGGAAGTTCGGGCTCGTTCCACACCTCGGCCGAACATGTTCAGAACACCCCTGCTGGCAAAGCCGCAACGAAATTGAAGTAGTGCACCGATACCTGAACAACCGGGGACGGGACATCACTATCGTTGGCAGACTTGTTCTCCATGATGGGCATGCCTTCCTGCAGTAGTGCTGCTTGAGACTTATGAACCTCTTGTTCAGGGCCAGTCCCACCGGCGCAGAAGACAGCAAGACTGAATCCATGCAATCATTGCAGACATCTGGCGACAATGTAGCTTTGAGCTTCCAACTGCGCACCAAGTGACTGGCAGAATCCAGGAGCCATTGCCTTGCGTGCACGTGCAAGTTAAAGGCATGCGAAGCTGTGCCAGAAGCACTTCATTCAAGCCGCTGCTGTTCAAGACCTCCTCCAAGTTCTCTGCGGTCCTGGGATATGCTGACAACACACATCTGGTGCAAGCTCTCGAGAACATCGATGCAGAATGGGCTGCACTGATTTTGCCTTCGCTGGAAAAACTGGCGCAAATTGAGACGAGATTCCCATTGGACAGGTTGCCTTCAAGCGTGGCAGACTCGTTGTCATCTTCCCGCGCATCCGAGGCATTGGTGGCTTCTCCGTTGTCAGGAGGTTCTGTCTGGTTCCAGGCCTCAGCCGCTACACTTTTTCTAGCAGACGTGCTGCGAAATTGCATGCCGGCACTGTGCATCATGTCGCTTGCGCAGAGCCAATGCAATCTTTGCATATCGTTCAAGCTGGGGGAAGCACATCACTTTCGTTGGCAGAAACGTTCCGAGCGATGAGCACATCTTCCTGGGTGTTGACTTTGTCATTGCTTCCATTGCCTTTCCACTGTTTCTTGTTGGCCAATGGCCGCTTCGACTCTCGATCGAGCAACAGGAAAGACAGCACCGTAAGACGCTAATAGACTGGATCAGTGCAATGTCCATTATCTGGCAAACATTGACAAACTCTACATTCATTCCATAGGCCGCACCGCAAGATGAGCAACCATGGTAAACTTGCTCCTGAATGCAATCACGTCACTGGTGAAATCCAGCGGTCATGGCCTGACAGGCACCAACCGGGGGGATGGAACTCACAGAAACAAGTATATTAAACGCCTCGCGAACTGCTCAGATGTACATATTCCTGCTCGAAAGATAGCCACTTTGCAGCAGCCGACATGTGAAGGAACCGCTGCGGCTGCCCGCGACCAGAGTCAAACATCTCCAAATGCATGTCTTGAAGGAGCCAAGCCGCTGTTGTTCGACACCGCCGACACGTTCTCGTCGGTCCTCGACTGGATGCACTGATGCAGCACATCTTGATCAATTTCCCTCTTCACAACAAGCTTCACTTCACTGCTCGGCAGATGCCAGGCTGGACCATCTCTGTGGGTAACTGTTGGTTCGCACACTGACTCAGGCGAGAATCGCATCTGACAGGTTGCCATCCAGCTCGGTGGACTCATTGTCATCTTCAAGCAGGTCTTCCGAGGCATTGATGGCCTCCTTGACAACGGAGCTGTTGATGGGAAGTTCGGGCTCGTTCCACACCTCGGCCGAACATGTTCAGAACACCCCTGCTGGCAAAGCCGCAACGAAATTGAAATAGTGCACCGATACCTGAACAACCGGGGACGGGACATCACTATCGTTGGCAGACTTGTTCTCCATGATGGGCATGCCTTCCTGCAGCAGTGCTGCTTGAGACTTATGAACCTCTTGTTCAGGGCCAGTCCCACCGGCGCAGAAGACAGCAAGACTGAATCCATGCAATCATTGCAGACATCTGGCGACAATGTAGCTTTGAGCTTCCAACTGCGCACCAAGTGACTGGCAGAATCCAGGAGCCATTGCCTTGCGTGCACGTGCAAGTTAAAGGCATGCGAAGCTGTGCCAGAAGCACTTCATTCAAGCCGCTGCTGTTCAAGACCTCCTCCAAGTTCTCTGCGGTCCTGGGATATGCTGACAACACACATCTGGTGCAAGCTCTCGAGAACATCGATGCAGAATGGGCTGCACTGATTTTGCCTTCGCTGGAAAAACTGGCGCAAATTGAGACGAGATTCCCATTGGACAGGTTGCCTTCAAGCGTGGCAGACTCGTTGTCATCTTCCCGCGCATCCGAGGCATTGGTGGCTTCTCCGTTGTCAGGAGGTTCTGTCTGGCTCCAGGCCTCAGCCGCTACACTTTTTCTAGCAGACGTGCTGCGAAATTGCATGCCGGCACTGTGCATCATGTCGCTTGCGCAGAGCCAATGCAATCTTTGCATATCGTTCAAGCTGGGGGAAGCACATCACTTTCGTTGGCAGAAACGTTCCGAGCGATGAGCACATCTTCCTGGGTGTTGACTTTGTCATTGCTTCCATTGCCTTTCCAATATCTCTTGTCGGCCAATGGCCGCTTCGACTCTCGATCGAGCAACAGGAAAGACAGCACCGTAAGACGCTAATAGACTGGATCAGTGCAATGTCCATTATCTGGCAAACATTGACAAACTCTACATTCATGCCATAGGCCGCACTGCAAGATGAGCAACCATGGTAAACTTGCTCCTGAATGCAATCACGTCACTGGTGAAATCCAGCGGTCATGGCCTCACAGGCACCAACCGGGGGGATGGAACCCACAGAAACAAGTTTATAATGTACATATTCCTACTCGAAAGATCGCCACTTTGCAGCAGCCGACATAATGTGAAGGAATAGCTGCTGCTGCTGCTGCTGCTGCCCGCGACCACATTCTAAAATCTTGATGATCAAATGCATGTCTTGAAGGAGCCAGGCCGCTGTTGTTCGACACCGCCGACACGTTCTCGTCGGTCCTCGACTGGATGCACTGATGCAGCACATCTTGATCAATTTCCCTCTTCACAACAAGCTTCACTTCACTGCTCGGCAGATGCCAGGCTGGACCATCTCTGTGGGTAACTGTTGGTTCGCACACTGACTCAGGCGAGAATCGCATCTGACAGGTTGCCATCCAGCTCGGTGGACTCATTGTCATCTTCAAGCAGGTCTTCCGAGGCATTGATGGCCTCCCTGACAACGGAGCTGTTGACGGGAAGTTCGGTCTCGTTCCAGACCTCAGCCGAGCAAAACCATTCAAAACTTCAAACACACCCATCCGTTTTTCCGACTTTGGACTTCCGTGCCGCGCGCTTCCAAGTTGACTATCGGCCGAAGGCATGTTTGAGGCTTACTTCGGGCTGAGAAGCAACCCTAAACCCTAAACTGAGAAGACTGGATCATCCGATCTATCTGTCCAATGTGTGCGTTCAATCTACAAACTTCGCTAACATGCGGGCGTAATTCTGCTTTTCGCTCAGAACATGTGCCAAGGCACCGGTAGACTCCAGGAACCGTTGCCTTGCAATCCACACATGCTATATACCCGGAAGTCCGCAGCTTTTGTTGTCGCAGTGGAGTCACGGAGCTACGGGCTCAGAAAGAGACCTTGGCACCCATGTCATGAAGGGACCAAGCCACTGGTGTCCGACACCTTCGACATGTTGTCTTGGTTCCTGAGATGCGATTGAATTTCGATCAAGATGCAGGTTTGAAGCAGGCTGGACAGGTGCGTTGTGAGCTCAGACAAGCTTCGAGCCGGATAGATTTCCACTGAGCTCGACGGACTCGTTGTCTTCTTCCAGAAAATCTTCGGAGGAGGCAGTGGTGGCTTCCCCGGCGATGGCGGAGGTGTTGTCGGGAAGCTGGCCCTTGTTCAAATGGCACACGTTCTCCCGTTGCCCCCCCCGGTACAAAACAAACTTCAAAACGACGCGTTGGAAGTCGCGGCTGAGGGACGTGGCTACTGCTATCGTTGACGGACTCGTTCCAAGCGGAGAGCGCCTCCGACAAGTCCTTGAGAGTCCTTCCGATGTGTTATATTATAGGGTTGGTACTATTACTAGACTATACGGTAACAAGGAACCCTCAGGACTAGTAGTGGAATCATTACTCAGGCTTCTATATTACACCCAGACGGGTCGGAGGAAGCCTAAGGCAAGAGCACATAAACATGGTCACAACTGCCCAACTCCGAAAACTTTCTCCCCTTGCAGCTGCGGTGTGGTAACTGAAACCTATAAGAAGTTATGGCATTCAAGGTCTAGGCGAGGCTCCAGTTTGATAGGTTGGCATCAAGCTGCAGGTCATCGTCGTTCTCTTCCAGAAGGTCTTCCGATGCATTACTGGCGTTCGCAGTGGTGGAGCCGTCGTAGAGAAACTCGGAGTAAGCTGCTAGCACCCTCTTTTTCTATCTGGGCTTGTGCTCTCACCGGAACCCAGCGAAGGCTGAAGCGGTGCTAAGTCTATCGTAGGCAAAGACTGCCGGCACATGCCAGCACACTGGGATGCTGCATGCTCCTCACCCTCAGCAGATCTCTGGCCCTGGCATCTGACAGCAACTGAGCAAGGGACATCGCTGTCGTTCGAGGACTCGTCGGTGAAGAACGCATCGTCCTCCAAAGATGCCTTGGCATCTTCCTACATCAGTACTTTTTGAACCCAGGCTGGGATCCTGAACCAGCTGGGATTGGTTTTACGTAACATAGTACATACGCATGTTTTTGCACACCAGCATGCGTACAAGTAAATAAATACATAAATGCATATACATATACACATATATGTATACACGCATGTTATATACGTATATATGTAGATACAGATATTCGTTTTTGAATATGCACATTAGCCCCTGAAAGTCTGCCTGTTTCGAGCAGTCACGACAAGGCCAGGCTCGAATTATGTACTGTGCGACCTGGTGATGGATTGTCTTGGGGTGCGTATGCCACCAGAAGCCCTAAAAAACGCTCTGCGCTGACTGCTCGCCAAGCCGCAGGAACGCTCCAAGAGTCATTGCCTTGTTGCAACATCTGCATCAAGAAACCATCGGTTGCGACGACAGCGGGGTGGGAGGGAGAGGGGCAACAGGGGGCAGAGGGATAGAGATAGAGAGAGAGAGAGAGAGAGAGAGAGAGAGAGAGAGAAAAAGAGAGAGAGAGAGAGAGAGAGAGAGAGAGAGCGAACGGAGAGAGGACGGCAATCGCAGGAGGGCGGTGACAACAAACACATGAAAAAAAATACAGGAGGTCCGAATTCTCTCCAAGCACGTTATGCCACGAGGCCTGAACCTGACACCTACTCAAGAAATTCGAATTCAACCCTCCTGCGAGATGCAAAGTTCAAGCCCGTGGCAGCAGTGACCTGACCAAGTTGCTGCCATTCAGCATCTCTGAGGCCATCTCTTCCGTCCTCGCGCTGCCGGGAAGCGTACATCACTCGAGCACAAGCAGCTCCGTACAGCCTTGTGCCGTCTTGCCTATCACCCGGCAGATCTCATTGCTGACTGCGACGGTGATCCGCAGTCGCTCCACTCTAGTTGCTCTAGTTTCCAAGTGCTGCACATCCTTCTGGATTACCATCAAGATCTGCATCTGGGCGCTGCTGACTTGAGAAACAAGGTGCCTGTTGGACAGGTTGCCAGTCAAATTGGACTCTTCCAGAAATTCTTCGGAGGCAATGCTTGCTTCCACGATGTAGGAGTCGTTCTGCGGGAATTCGGTCTCGTTCCAGGCCTGGGTGCATCGGGGGGCGTTGTGCAGCCGGAAAGATATCCTCCTGGTCTTGCTCGAAATTTCTGCAAACTAGTAGCTAGCATGCGCTGGCAGTGGCAATGTAGAGCAGTCTAGCGCAGAGACACTAGCAACAAAACAGAACACAAATACATCTCCCAGCATGGGTTCCTTATTATAGTTATAGTATAATGGGCCCCAAACCCCTGTTAAAATCATTAAGGCCCCTACATTATTGCATGCGACTTGAACAACCAGGCTCAGACTGGAGGACCGAGGACCCAGGAAATGTTGTGCTCCACTCTGACTGCAAACCAAGACTCAGGTTCGCTGCCTTTCCAGACAATGCGAACATGTCAAGGAGAACAATGAAAGAAGAGCTCCGGCAAGCTTCTATGAGACAGGCGTTGTTGAATATCTCGTGCCGTTGACGGAAGCTGATGCTACTTCAACTCTGCGCACAAACAAATGTGTACACCAAGGTGCTTCCGCGCGAAGCCGTCGTCTTGTTCTCTTCCAGCCTCCGATTCGAGCCGCACTGTCTGATTCACCAAAGAACCTTTCATAATCAAAATAGGGGTTTGGCGTAGATTATCGAGTAACTATAATGAGGAACCTGGGTCTTAAGGTATAGTGTATTTTAGCAATTTATGAAATCATTCCGAGTCGAACATCCGTCGCATGGCTTGCAACTCACACGGAAGGGTGCGAAGAGATGAGGATCAGCAAAAAACATGTGAATGTGGGGCATCAATAACGCTTCTGCCACCACAATGGGGCAAAGATAAAGATCAAGGAAGACTAATCCCAGCTTTTTGGAAAACGTATTTATATCGCCTGCAGGGTCATAGACTTGACAGGAAGTTACCGGGAAGATATGGAACTTAGGAGGAAGATGCCGGGAATCCCAAAATGAATTGACCTTCACGTGCGTTGTCATACACAGCTTCGGAATCGCACATCGACTCTCCCCAATCTGTCCAGGACACACGTCGATACGCTTGATTTGCTGGGGCCGGTCGTTTTGGGTGCGTTTTCACATGTTTGTGTCAGTCACAAGAAACCAATCCCAAACTAGACGTTGCCTTGCCAGCAATCCAGGAACATGGACGGAATTCTGATCAGTCCGGACATGAACCAACGTCGATTTAATGTAGAAGGTAATACGTTTTTCGTTTACTCAGTCTTAAACCAATGTCTGCTAGCAAATCAAGGGGCAGTTTCACCTCCAACATTCGCCTGTACTACTGTATCCTTTCGCAGCATAGCTCGTGCCCGTGCCATGCAGCACGACCGCTAGGCCGCTAGGTCGTATCGCAGACAAGTGGCCACATTGATGTGGTTGAGGTCGATGACGCAGTGGAGTTGTACTCGCTAGAGTTCTGCTCACTCACGGCATCAAATGCCGAGTTCTCTGTGGGTGAGCTGTTCGTGTCAGCTCTTGTGGCCGACACACCCGAGGTCGAAGTTGTTGCCACAAAGCCCGACCTTGTTGCAGGATGCAGTCTGGTAAACTGTGGAAAACCGTCTACAATACGGGACTGTAGTAGTTTTGTGACGTGCGGAGCTGAAAGAAATGAATCAGAATCCTGAACCTGCCTTTTCCCTGGATCCGCAGCTTCGAGCCCGGTTTCGAGCACACGTCGCATGTTCTGAGCAGCCACGAACCAGCAGGAACTATCAAAATGCAAGGGACGGCGGCGTTGTCGTCGTCATAGTGGCATTTTGTGAAGCTGTCTCATTAACGGAAGTCACCTGCGACAAACGCTCACTGGCTGCTGCTGCACCAAACTCCTGCTTCAGCAAAACGTGGGCTGACCTCCGCCAATCGAGCGAAGGATCTTGTGGCCGCACTGCTGTGCATCCTGTCAGGTCTACTGAAATCACGCTGAATGCATGCTGCCATTGCTATGGGCCATTTTGAAGCGAGTCGCTCAGTCGGCCAGGTGGATGTTGTGGACGTTTTGGCACTATACAATGTGGATGTGGTATAAGTCTGCTCGCGCAGATTTGCCTCACAGCCACAACAGTCAAAATGCAACAAGGAATGCCTGCAACATCGCGGTACTTGTCCAACGAGTCCGGGTGGAGAGTCCAGACTATGGATATGAATCATATGAATCAAGTTTTGACTTCCGGGCAATCAATCCCGAATGGCGAGGATTGCGGAGATACACCTCGAACAGTACTTTTCACGAGCTGATGGAGCGGTACTTCAGAGACCAGACACAAAGATGTTGATAAGCAAACAGCAATCGATTGTGCCACGCCGTGTGGTCTCCCGAAGTTTGCTGCACTGTGAACAGGAACATGTACGTGATCATGAAGGACCTTCCAAGCAACTTAAGAGGCACAGGATTCAATGAACAGTTTTGCCGACGGCACTCGAGAAGCTTGAATCAATCCCAGCAGTCTACCATGGGTTGCATGCAAGTTTCTGAATCATTGGTTTGGCGCAGATTCCGCCAAATGTCAACATAAGAAGCCTCAGCTCAAAGGTACCATGGTTGCGGCTTGCAGCTGTAAGGCCCAGTCTTGGATGCTGATTTCTGCAGTGCTTGCCTAGTGCCGCGAGCAGCCAACACGCCTAAGCCTTTGCACGTACTATTGAATTCGACACAAAACGAACACAAGCCTCCACTCTCTTCGGCTCTCCACCAAGATCCGACAATGCAAACCTTTCAAGTTGAAGCAAGAGCATGTGCACCAGAATCGCACGGGAAAGATGATGGTAATGGGGCCCCTACACTGGGTCCTTACCCTTTGCCATTTGCTGACCATACATCCCCATCATGAAGCCTCAAAACCGAACTCGCGCATCTCAAAAATCTATCGAGATGGAGCTGAGGTTCGATACCGTGGGACTCGGCAAGTCCGGCGCGCCTGAGTCTTCAAGAATCCGCTTAGGATGTTCAAGGGTGCGAGTAGGGTCTTGCAGCGGCCCAAGGCTAAGAGTTACAAGGTTTGGAGGTCTGCGACCTCTTCTCGAATTCAAGCTGTGGGCGGTCTTTAAGGCTCCCCCAGCTGGCCAATCCTGCGACCATGGTCAGCTGGTGAAGTTGCACGACCCCTCGTCCTTGCTAAAGTTGAAGGTGCTAGCGCTGCAGCTCTGAACCATGGATTTACCTTCCCAAGCAGGAGGAGCAAAGGACTCACCGAGGATGTGCTCGACCCCAAAACCGGCCGAGCTCACGAAGCCCAAAACACACCTGAAAAAGACTGGACTCGTCCAGGGCTTCCCGGAGTCGAAGGATGCTTGGCAACGATTGAGCAGGTACCATCAAAGCATTCACAAAGAGCCGGTGTATCAGTCGAGTCAGACCAAGTTCTAGCCCTGGCTTCACCCAAGTTTAACCCCCAGAAGCTCTCAACAGGAAATCCGAAACCCCGGAATGCTGCAGTTCCACGAGTCATGCAGCGACGAGAAACTAGGCCACTCGCCGCAATCGCCTAAACCGTATAAACCCGAAGTCATTGCAGACGAGGGAACCTTTCGAAGGCCTCCCCCGATGTGCGTGCACGGACTGCGGAGTCTCGTTGCAAAAGAAATGCCTGTACCCTGGGCCGCAACAACTTCGATACGGGACTAGGCCTGCGCCCAGACCGAATAATCCAACTCTGACAGCCGACCCTAAGGAATACATCTGCAGCTCATTTTGCGAGCCATATGTTCGGGCCTTCCTGGAGGATTGTAAATGCTTCTGCTGGGCTTATGCCTACAGTACAATTCGTCTTTTGTCGCATTTAGAAGCACCGGTCTTCGATCAACGAAAGAGATCACGGAACGGAACTTGGCTCTTTTGGGTCTCGACCTTTCCGGAGGAAGAGCAGTGTCTTTCAGAATCGTGCTAATATAGCGGCCTGAATAATTAGAATAGGATTTTGGGGCGTATCAAACTGAAATCAGATTAAGAACTACCAAAAAAGAATTGGTAATTTATTTAAGCCCCTATATGAATATCCTTGTTGCTTCCAGTCGAACGGTGGATGCCGGACTGAAGGCCAAAACACTGAATCCGGCTCAAGTCCAACCACAAGCCCGCAGTTGAATTCATTGCCTGTGGCGACAGTGTAGAGCAGCATGGTGGTGGAATAGCAATTAGCGGCAATAGCATCAGCAGTCGCAGCAGGAGGCGGAGCTGTTCAATTCCCAATCGCGGATTGCGGTGGCTTACAAGCACAACTGAGGTTTGCAAGCTACAGCATTCCTAGTCAACCCGCTCTCTGAGGCCACCACTTCCCTACAGGTGGCTCGGTTCCTTCAGAGCCTCAAGGCATGGGTTTTTGCGCTCATCAAAGTTCTTTATGAGGTGAATTAATTACATGAACTGAAGTTAATTACAGTAGGGGCAAAAAGTTGGCAATTTGAGTGCTCGAACTCTGGGGAGCAATTGTGCATACATCTGCGACAGCTGCCGTCTACATGTCTCAAACGACAAAGTCTTGCAGCTTTTACCAGCTACACCCAGAGCATCTACGGTTTTGAGGCTTGTCAAGCTGATGCTCAAATCCAAGCGTGATGAACCCAACACAAACACGGTCACAACTTGACCCCAGTCCCAACAGCAAGGCAAGGCAAGCAGGCTTGGATTTCAAGAGGGCAGTGCATGCTACTGCTCGAAACGAAGTAAGAGCCGAATCCAAACATTCCAGTCTTGAGTGAGTCTTGACAGTCATTTCAGACTTTGATCCTGGGGCTGGTGCCGAGACCGGGTGATGAATTCGAAAAAAGCTTCCACGCAACCTGCGAGGTGGGGTGACTCAATGGTCTGAAATAGTGACGGCCATCACTACGTCACTACGAGGTGTTTGATGACCTATCTCTCTATTGCTGCTCTTGGCTACGCTTGACTCAGGCCCCAAACCCGACAAGCCCAACCTCCGGCTGCGTTACCTCTGAAAACCGAACAGCTAATCCGTCATGCCCCAGGTTGCAAGCAACGTCTCAGCCTACCGGCCTCAAAATCAGTGGTGCTTGGGGCTGTCAGAACAAATTTATGCGGCTTACAAGCTTGTTGTGCTTATAATGCAAACCGTCACGGAACTTGTTCTTATTCGTTGTTAAAGCTGACTGGAGATTGCTTTAACCGGACAAGTCTTGTAGTTGCCACGGCCGCAATTGCGACCAGGACTGCTCTGGATATCACCTCCTTGATTGTGTACATAGTTGTCGGTCAACATCGCCGTCAAAATTCAGAAAGGCCTAGCCTAACGGAGCACAAAGATCAACAAATCAGGCCACCGAGCCCCGCCGAAAACCTGACACCCCGCACCATGCTTGACTCTGAAGGTTAATGAAGTAAAGAATCATGGCCTTCAGCAATCGCCTGATGGCATCGGAGGCATCGGAGGCCTGGTGCCTCGCATGCCGAAAGAGGGACTTTGTGGATTCGAGGAGTGTGCTTGTGGTTTTGCCTATCGTGAAGCAAGGTATCAGGTGCAGGACGGTTTTACAACAGGAAGTCTACCACTTTGCCCCGGGCATAGACTATCGTGACGCTTTATGGAGTTGCTCCTGCTTTCTTCTGCAAGACCAGGAAGACGATCCCTGTATTACAAAGTTGCAGGACTTTGAAGTCGTGGGAAGAAGAAAACATACTGAACGGCATAGGCATAGCCAGAATGACCGAAACGAGCTTCGTGTTTGTTCATGCCTCACCGTTCAACTGACCTGCGGGTGGACACCTGCGGCTCCTCTGCTCACCCAGCGCTGACGGCATTCCCTCGGTGCAGCCAGTGCATGCAGCAGCTCTAGATTTTGGAAGAGTGTTCGTTGCGGGGGTCCTCCTGTTCTGGAGCCGGCGGTTCTCACCAAACACATCTGTATTGTCGATGGTGCACTCGGACGGCATCAAAGACAAATGCTGCAGCCTGGGGCAGGTGCAACTCCAAACGAATCATGTCGGGTCCCGGATCCAGGTTTCCTCGTTCTTAGAGCCCGTCGGACTGCCCGGCATGCTCCAAGGACGATGCCCTGCAAAGCTTCCCCCCCACAGATCTGACAGCCCGTTGCCTGCTATACAGCTCAGAGCCGCACGTCTGGCTGCGGCCCCAAGTCACCTTAGCGGTTGGTTTGTCTGGCATCGCTGAACCACGAGTGATCCCCGTCCCCCTGAACACCTCCATGTGTCAATCCTCCAGGCACTTTCCCTGTCCGGCCCTCCGGAGCCGATCTTTAGCCTCTGGCCTGGAGCTGCCAGAAGTGGCCAAGTGCCGTCTTCGTCGGCCTGGGAGCATGAGATGTCTTCTTGCACATGCAACCTTGCAAATTGCCATAGCTACGCCGATCCGAAGGCCTAGGAAAAGACCTGTGCGCGGCTGTGCGAGGTGGAAGCAAGCAAGCAAGCAACATCACAAGAAAACCATGCGCCGTCATTGCTGGAATGTGCCATCAAGCAAGCCATGTCCGCAAAGAGGCCTCTCCAGGTGAAGGGTTGAAGGACCTTCGACACCATGCAAGCAAGGATGAGACGGAAAACCGCCAACCACGAAGTCTTGACTCTAAACACAACCTCGAAAGAAAGTGCAATCAGATTAGCTATAACAGCTGACATATCAGGGAGAGCCTGGCTTCACAGTTGTGCACGCAGTGGACACAAACTTCGACCCGGCTATGTTCAAGCCATAGTGTCCTACACTCCTACACCGGCCTTCAGCGATCGTGATTCCCGATTTCAGGAGCTCCTCCCGTACCACAAAGCACGCATCTGTTCAGCCCCGAGGCCCCAGGGCATCGATCCGTGCCATCCAGTAAAGCCACGGCAGCCATGGCCAGGCGCACCGGGCGAGCCGCATCCATCCGGCCCACAGGGGAGCTGCGAATCTCTGGTAACAGCACTGTAGAGTCTATCTAGAGTAATGAAAATCGATCTGGACTGAGGAGTGCTATATGGTTTCTCAGCTGATCATGCTCGTGCCCGAAATCAAACAATTCACACACCTCTATGACTGGACTGCGCAAGCATGTTAGCTTGCTCATGGGCTGGTTTGCGCAGGAGGAATGCTGAAATGGCCGCTGCGGGTTGCTGTCAACAGCAGCAGGAACACTGTCATCCTGGCTGCTTATGCTGCTTCTAACGATTCTAGAGCTTCTCATGGCTTGAACCTCGGCTGGTTATCATGATCAAGAGCCGCCATGGCAACACAGATTTCATGTCAGGGCTCATCGGGCGTTTCGGGTTCGAAACGAAGGGCACCAACATCCAAATTATGACAGAAGCCCTGACTTCCACCGTCCTCGACGACTTCACAGGCATCCTTGAATCGAGTGACTTCGAATCTGCCATGCTCGCAGAGTCAGGGTCTTATGTATCAACTCTTGGAATGTTTGAAAAGGCTGCCAACGTGTCAGAAGTACAGAAGGGCTTAATGCAGAATGAGTTACATGATGCTACAACACAGCTTAACAACATGCGGCATACGACTGAAGGAAAAATCGTGACCTGCCTTGGAAGGCAAGTGCCTTCACCTCCTCGCGCAAGGATGTCAACCTCCGGTGCGCCAAAGTGGATGACAGTTCATGATGTTGCGATTAGGGTCCCTCCTGCAGGTTGGTCTCTTGAGGTTGTGCACTGGTGTGCATCAGCTACACTCTTGCTCCGGCAATCTGGTGCTTTCCAGAGCTTGATGTGTTTTCATGCAGCCGAGCCGCTTCAGTCTCGGCTCGGGCACAACGGCTGGGAGGCTGAGGATCTATCTTAGTGCTGTGGTAGGATTTGCGTTCCCTCAAGCCAACTAAGTAGCCCTCCCGAAGCCGAGGTAGGTTGCCATTTTGGGTCGGAAGATCGGCACCGACTATGTCAAACATACATGGAGGCTAAAGTGAAATTCCGAAGAAGTCGACTAGGCCCGTGTACCCGCACTACTGGATGAAATTACTTGTCCAACTTCATGCAAAGCACGCGTTCATAAGGAAACTAGTAACGTATAGTAGTGGGAAAGCCAGGGGCACTTTGATCTCCCTTTTTTCCAGCTGTTCAACTGGTAGTGCGCGGGTCACAGGGAAATGAGACAGGCTTGACTGCAGCAGTTGCAGAAAGCATACTAAATACCAGTAGCCGGGACTGCTAGTGTCCACCACGTGGTGTATATAAATGGAAGCATTTCATGCTGCCATGGCTGTGCCACGCGATGTCTGTTGCAAGGTGTGCTTCGAGCCGCTTGGAAGGCATTTTGGGTTTCGGCGCTCACAAGGCATTTTGGGTTTCGGGTCTTGGGTTTAGCGGTCAGGACTTGCTGTAGCAGTTGGATTGTAAAGGAACATGCGCAGTAAACTCCAGCGCTTTGAAATGGAATGGTTGGCGATTCAGCAGGCCGTTCAAGCGGATGCTGGATGGGAGCTTTCTTCACACCAACAGTCGAGGACTTCGCAAGAGTCCTCGCCCCCCTCCACTGGACAAAGGCTCTAATCTGAAACAAATCCTTTACAAGGAAGGACACTTTCGGAGCATTCCAGATCTCTGCTTAGCAGGGTGCCTTCGGCTTAAGTTGCGGGGGCGCTATTTTTCGGGCATGCGGCTTGTCGGAAATACGAGGCATACGATCTGTCACAACAGGAACAATAGCTGCCAGAGTTGTCCGTGTAACCCGGCGACAGGTCGCACAATCCGATGCGGAAGCGAAATTCTTGTAAAGCCTGCAAGCATGAAGTGCCAAGGCATGACCTGTTGCTCAACAAATGCCTGCAGGCCACAACGACACCCTGTAGCTAGCATTGTCACTCGCACATATGTAGTCAAATAGTGAGGTACAGACCTCTTTGCCGTCGATATGCTGGGTTGCTGCGTCATCTGAGCAAGGCGTGGGCCACTTGCTTCTGAGAGTCTAGGAATGCTCTGATTCTTCTGCTGGAAATGGAAAACGGTATCACGTTAAATGTCGTGCACACGGACTCCGGAACTCAATTCTGGGTGCACAGGCTGTACAGGGGTCTGTGCGAACTGGCTGCAGGCCCGACTGTTGCGGGGAGCAGCAGCAGGAAGTAAACCATTCTCAGGAGGACCCTTGAAAAAAGGCTGCCTCGTGGCATTACCAAGCTCGTACATTCGCTCGAACTGCATGCGGAGACTCTTCCGACGACGCCAGTTGCGGATCGCAGTTCTCAGCAGGACCTCTGGGAGCATCGGCTTACAGATTCGGTCCCGAGATCTGAAAGCGGCACAACAGCCTAGCATGGCTTGATGCTTTATCAGATTTTCTTTTGGATCCGGCCTTCATCCGAGCCAACCTGCGCTGAACACGCAGCTCGATGAGCATGTGCCGCACGTCTGCTCCGCTCACCGGCGAGGCGGTCGTGGCAACGCGCATGATCGACTGGGTTCGGTCGATCCGGTAGCCCATATAGCCGAAGCTCACGAAAGACCAAAAGTCAGCAATTGCTGCAGCCATCTCATGGAAGATCACAAAGAAGGCCACCGCACGCTGAAGGGACGCAATCCGGCTTTCGTAGAGTTGCATCGAGATGTTCTGCGTCTTTGCCAGCTCCAGACTCTCGGCCACGGACGCTGTGTGATCAAGGAGCCTCTTGCCATACACGGATTCCAGGGACTCGTAGACTTTTGTGCATTCGGAGTCGAACTCTGTGTCCTCCCCAGGTCCAGCAGTGGCCTGCAGGCAGACACGTCTGGAGGATGTGAGAGGAATCCCTCTTCAGAAATCATTCAAAGCTCGAGGCCCACAGAGCGTTGCGGGCATAGGCGGAGTTGCAAAGGAACGCTACAGTCACATGAAGACACAGCTACGCTTCCCAAGACTGAAAGATTCTGAGCAAGAGTAATCCCTGCAGGCCCGCAATTGCATCTGCTCGAAGTCCACCAACGACCGCAAGCTGGACTTCTGCATGTTGAAGATGAGCTTGCAGTCGGCACGCGAGACGCCGCCGCAACCAGATTCCAGACGTTGGAAGATCGTCCGGACCGCTTTTTGGCAGACGTCCTGGCTTGCATGCTGGCCGGGATCTAGACTCTAGGAAAGTTCGAGTGGTCAGCGTTGACGGTGCGCAAGACCGACATGCCAAAGACGTTCGAAGCAAAATTCAAAAGAGCGCAACATAAAAAGAGCCAATACCCTACTAGCCCTACACCCCTATCTGCCCCTGTAGAAGATGCATTTCGATGACTTTCGAGCTGTTCCCGGCAACCCGGGGACCGTCCTGGCGAAGGAGCTGAAAGCCTCTCCAGCATTCCTCAAACTTCACGTAGCCGTCCTGGCTCAATATAGTACAGCATAGTATGATATAACATCACATGATAATATATATATATATATATATATATATATATATATTATACACACACATATATATATATATATATATATTATACACACACACACACATATATATATATATATATATATATATATATATTCGTCTCATGTCATACAACATCCGTGGCAAGGTTTGTCTCGAAGAATTTCGGCCTGCGGGCTGTAAGGTGGAAAGACGGCTTTGGTACTCGCGCTTTAGACCCAATGAATGAAACCGTTCCCATCGTGGCCTCTGTCAAGCGCACCGGAAGCTTCGCGTCCCAGATTCCCCAGATTCCCCAGTCCTCGTCGACCTCCAGACTGTCCACCACCGCCTGGGCCTGCTCCTTCAGGGCTTTAGTTTCAGTGCTCAGCTAATGAACCTGCAAGCCAACCGATCGACAGTTGCTCTGACGGCCCGCAAAAACGTGAGACCTACCGACCAAGACGTCAGTCAACTACAAGCTGGGGTTCCGTTGAATTCTCTAAATGCACAGAACGACGGGCCCACGACAGCCACGAAATCGGTTCCGGCTCCCTCGAACTCAGGACGACACAATGAGGTTGGAGAGACGCAGCCATGACAAACACCATCTTTTTGAAGTATCCCTTGTCTAGAGGGGGATTTAAAAATTTAGGCTAGTACCAGGGGCAGCCTCATATAACCCAAGGGCTGCAGAGCCAGATGCCCCTACCCACCATGTTCAGAGTGCGATGGAGAAAGGAAACACCCACTGCTCCATGAAGTCTGATACATTTATATCTGACGGTTCTGAAACAACTTTATGACGATGGCAAGGCTCCTTCTCCTCCACCTGGGTCTGCCTGTCCAAGGCCTGACCCCAGGGCTTGGATTATATCTGGAACATAGTGCATAAATCTTGTTGGACTGAGAAACAGGCGATTCATTCTATTGCGGACTCTCCATTTCTCTGTTCCTGCTGCAAGCTGACGGGATAAGCGACGCAGTCGCACAAGGGCAGGCACGGCTTCAACGGTCTGGAGCTTGGGGCGTTAAGGGCTGATGCTTCGATCGGTTTCAGCAACGACAATGATCTTGAGATCTCTCGCGCAACGGAACCACGGGGCGAGCATCATCAGCATCAGCTGGAAGTCGTTGTTGGACTCATAACTCAAGCCCCGGTCTTTCGACGCACGGGGCGCGCATTATCAGCATCAGCTGGAAATCGCCGTTGGACTCAAAACTCAAGCCCCGGGTCTTTCGACGCACGGGGCGCGCATCATCAGCATCAGCTGGAAATCTTTTTGGATTCGCAGCTCAATGTCCGGTGTGTTTCGACCGGCAGGACGAGCATCATCAGCATCAGCTGGAAATCTTTTGTGGACTCAAAACTCAAGCCCCGCGTCTTTCGTTGCATGGGGCGCGCATCATCAGCATCAGCTGGAAATTGTTTTTGGACTCAAAACTCAAGCCCCCGGGTCTTTCGACGCACGGCACGGGAGCATCATCAGCATCAGCTGGAAATCTTTTTGGACTCAATACTCAAGCCCCGCGTCTTTCGACGCACGGCACCGGAGCATCATCAGCATCAGCTGGAAATCTTTTTGGACTCACAACTCAAGCCCCGGGTCTTTCGACGCACTGGGCGAGTATCATTAGCATCAGCTGGAAATCTTTTTGGAGTCACAGCTGCCCCGGGTCTTTCGACGCACGTGGCGAGCATCATCAGCATCGGCTGGCAATCATTTTGGACTCACAGCTCAATCTCCGGTGTGTTTCAAACGGCAAGCCAGCCACGGGTCTTTCGACGCACGGGGCGAGCATCATCAGCATCAGCTAGAAATCTTTTTGGTCTCGCAACTTCATCTCCGGGTCTTTCAACTCAGAGCAGGGTAGAGACAGCAGTATCTTTTTGGACTCGCAACATCTCCGTGTCTTTCAACTCACAATTGGGTAGAGCAGTTCGAATTTATCATTGGGTTCATCGAACGCCGGGGCGAGCATCATCAGCATCAGCTGGAAATCTTTTTGGATTCGCAGCTCAATGTCCGGTGTGTCTCAACCGGCAGGACGAGCATCATCAGCATCAGCTGGAAAACGTTTTTAGACTCACAACTCAAGCCCCGGGTCTTTCGAGGCACGGGGCGAGCATCATCAGCATCGGCTGCAAAATCTCTGTGCACTCACACCTCAATCTCCGGGTCTTGCAACTCACAGCAGGGCATAGCAGTTCGACCCTATCATTGGACGGATTCAGCGAATCACGGGGCGAGCATCATCAGCATCAGCTGGCAATCATGTTGGACTCACAACTCAATCTCCGGGTCTTACAACCCACAGCAGGGTAGCAGCAGTTCGACCCTTTGATTGGACGGATTCAGCGTACCTTGTAGTGAGCATTATCAGCATCAGCTGGAAATCGTTTTGGACTCGCAGTCAATCTCCGGGTCTCTCAACCCGCAGCAGGATGGCAGTTTGACCCTATCATTGCAAGGATTCAGCGAACCCTGGGGTGAGCATCATCAGCATCAGCTGGAAAAGATTTTGGACTCGCAACTCAATCTCCGGTGTGTTTCAACCCACAGCAGGGCAGCAGTATCATTGGACGGATTCGGCGAACCGCGGGGCGAGCATCATCAGCATCAGCTGAACAATCTTTTTCGGACTCACAACTCATTCTCCGGGTCTTTCCACCCACAGCAGGGCAGCAGTTCCACCATGTCATTGCACGTAGCTGGACTTGGACCTACCCCTTTTTGGTGAGGCATTTCAGCTTCGGCACTTCGCTGCTGCAAGGCCCAGCCATCACTCGGCAGCCGCAGGTGACCAAATCTCTCCCAACGCAGCTAAACTCTCTATCTCTCGCTCCCTCTTCCTCCCTATTGTTATCTTTTTGCTTTCGTTGGTATGCATGGAGATCAGGGGAAGCAAACCAGGTGGACAGGTAAGCAAGCAGCTGCAGCCAAACCAGGCACGCAGGCGAGTAGGTATGTTGTGGTCGACGAAGGGAACATCAAATCAAGTATGCATGACGGCCGATGTTCCAATCAGCAAACATCAAGGAGGGAAGTTTTTCCCACTATGCCACCCAGCGCACGAGCATCCGGAGCATTCCATGCGACGGAAGGAAAGACCAATCAGGAATGATTGAAGAAGTAGCTTTCTTTCGAGAGGACCTGGGAGCAACTGTCACTGAGACGTATCACAAACACCGAATGGCATGACGACGACTGATTCGGTGCAGGCATGGTAAACATCAAGGAGGGAAGTGAACGTGCATGTGTTGAGTTCACGTGGGCACCTGCAAGCCTCCATGTCGGCATGAGTCAACAAATGAATGAAGAAATACACATCTGCCCGTATGTACGGAAATATGATATGCATCTTGAAGATTTCGCCACGTGTGAATTTGCAAATGTATGCGAATGTCAACGCATTACACCAAAACAATACATCTGCATTCTGCATGGATCGATGTCCTCGCGCAGGTTAAGCTCCGAACGTTCATTTAGCCGCGCTAGGACACTTAGACTTAGACTGCAAACGGTGCAGAGCCTTCCAAGTGGAGTGGAATCAAGTGTTTCGTAAGTAGCGCAGCTATGCCACCTTTCAGAATTCACAGAACAAAAAGTTCGACAGAGGGGTGTGCTTTGCTGCTTTGCCGTCTCTGGGCCTGCTGAATGATCCTGGTTCGGCGATGGTCCAGGGTATGCTGCACCTCCGCCGGCTCCTCTCACACGGTTTGATACTTAAACTTTTTGAAACAGTGTAATCGAGTGTAGGTGGTGCCTTTGAGGCTTCTGAGACAGCGGGGTTTGCGATTCGAGTCGAGCTCTCGGCTGACATGTCCTGTGCATCTTCTGCTGCCAGGTTTTGGAAGGCTCCCAGGATGGAGACGGCAGAGCCACCTGTGCGTTGTACTTTTGTATATCTTGGGGTGTGTCAAAAGTACAAGGCTCGGTCAGCGAATATGCTTCTGTCAGCCATAGTAACATAGTATTACCAAACCCAAGATGTACAGGCAAGTGCTCGGCGTAAGCATCGGCCGCTAACGTATGGCTGCCGACGCTGATGCCAGAAGCAACACACCCAGCACACCCACTGGCAAGTCGGAGGAGCATCCTTCAAGTCGAAGCCTCAAGCCCGAAACCTCTTGCTGGCATGGCCGGAGGCCGCCTTGCAATTTAGTTTGGTGGTGGGAGAGCAGGTGCTCGCAAAGGTAGCGCGGGCGGGCATCCTCCAGGAATACCTCGACCAAAGCTTCAGCTAATGCTCTTGAGATTTCGAGCATTTTTACGTTGGGCTAGCTTCAGGGCTCTATTAGGCTTCCTGATGTTGTAAAGCGGGCTTGTGCAGATTCGACCTGGCACATCCTCTAAGGCAAAGTTGGCTAGTGAAACAGAAAGAGCTATTCTCTTTAGGATCTGAGCTCGGGCCTGTCGCAGCATTGACATATTGAATGCAGTGCATGCAGGCAGTCAGCATTCGTTCTCCTGAAATATCGAACATCGCCTGCATGCTCGACGGCCTGAATCTTGGAAAAGTTCAGGTTCGCAAGTACAGCATGCTTTTGAACTCTACTACGGATCGCCTCTCCTCACACCGGATTGGGCCAAAAGACATGGTGCAATACGTCATCGCCGAAGTCTGAAGTTCAGCTTTAGATGGCCGCTGAATGCAAGTAAACGTTCTGCTTTGTACATTTCCCCCCTCCAGCTTTGAATGCCATTCCCGAATCTTCAATATACGACAATCAGGGATCATCTCGAAGACTGCTAGCCTCAGAAATACAAGAAGCCAGGTCCTACGGCGAGTTGCTGCGCGAGCAGTGAGAGGCAAAGAATGCGGATTGTGGCCGATGGTGACGCCTCAGCTGTCTATTGCATCCAGGGTCGATGGCAGACTTGCACAAGACAAAGCCTGCATGGCACAAGTGCGGTTCTGGCTTTTGCTGCGAGGGCTACGGGCAGAAGAGGGCTGACTTTAGATACTTTTAGCTCTTCGTGACCCTGGGATACGCATGCAAATCAGATGGCCATCACAAACCGCACGACATAAAAGCCACAACAAAATCGAAAACCACAAACGCAAATGTATATGTGCGTCTGTATAACTGTATACATGCGCTTAAGCTGCGGGAGTGGCAGAAAAGCAAGATAGGAGAAAAGCAAGAGAAAGACAAAGAGAGACAGAGAAGGAGAGAGGGACAGACAACACACGAAAACACATCAACGACAAAAGACAGAGTGAGGAAAAACGGAAACGGAAAGAGACTCACCCATGGAACGCGAAGTCTGCAAGTTCTGCACCAAAACGATATATAACTGCTACTACGGTTTATTCTTGTTATCGGTTTTTTGAAGCAGGACTCCACATCCATGCCTGCCCCTCCAACCCTGAGCTCATATAATGGCGCCTTTCTTCATCATCTTTGACCCCAGTCACTCTCGCAAGTAGCTCCCAAGGACTGGATTGAGCTCGCCTGTTGGCATCTGAACGTTTCATGGTTTACGAGAACAGGATTGGTCTGGCAGGGATTTAGAGAAGTGATAAAGACTCTTTCTTTTGCAGCAATGGACTTCTTAGATGCCAGCACGCATGATACAGACTCTTGTCCACAGCATTGTGCTTCTGTTTGGTGCCCAGGGCAACCTCCTGGCATTGTTTAGTGGGGCCTCGCAACTTGAGAAAGCAACTGAATGCACGAGTGAGTGAAGGTCGCTCACCAAGTCTGTCTTCCCCCGATAGCATGTAACTCAATGATCGCACTCCGTCGATACCACGTAGAAAACTGTGCGCCCGGGAGCCCGCAACCTTACATCAAGCGGTTTCGTTTTGCCAATGCCTGACGACAGGCATACACAACCCGAGCATGCAAAGAGCCACAGTAGGATTCCCGGTTGCAAATATCCGCCTGGCTCACAGCCATGCAAACGGACCTTGGCAAGTTGCTACAAGGTCAAGGAACCTGCAGTGCTCTGGTAACTCCAATACTTGCGGCTATTGTCGTGATGACCAGCAAGCTTGAAGTGTCGCCGTGCCTACCCTCCGTGGTTTCACTACTCACCCATCAGCTGTCGTTGCGGTTCTGGTTTGCTTGCACAAGCATGGTGTCTGTCTTTCTTGGGAGCCCTCCTGCTGGCAATCGACACATCATGAGCATGATTAACTCAGCAAAACCCTCCCTGCACAATCTGCCCTCGTAAGGATTCCGGGTAGCCTGAAGGGATGATTTTTGGGATTGTAGCGCTCGGCTTCGGATACCGTAGGGTGCAATCTCAACCTAAACGGTCGCAAGAAGAACCCGAAGTCCAGTCCGACGGCAGAAACCGCACTAGGAATCGGACTGCTCCGCTGTGCTAAGAGCGGTGAGCCGCCCATCAGGGCGCCCAACAGCAAGCAGGGTCCCTCGGACCACTCGATGGGTCATGCCTGATTGGAGTACGCAACCCTTGGGACGGTCGCGCTTCTCGCTGTTGGTTGTTGGTGCTGCTGTTGCAGAAGTTGCGATGTTCTTGAGTGCCGCGGATGACGACGGCTATTGTAGGGTGACTGTACTTGGGAATTCGTTGCCGTTGTACATGCCATCAGTGCAGCCGTAAGACCGTAGCACGAACCGCTAACCCCAGCCTCAATAACGACCGACCAGGAGAAAGCGCCAAACATCCTACTCATCCTACCTCCTATAACTTAGCCTGCAGGTTCAGTGCCCGGTTGCGGTGCACCAAGTGGTCTGCAGGATTGGCTGAGAAAACAGTGAGGCCGGTGGCGCTGTAGGTGCAAGCCATCAGCTTGGAGAGGAAAGATTCCGCTGCTTGAGCCACCCACGGAACATCACCTTAGACACGTCGGAACATGAGCTTCCGGCTAGAACATAGAATTACAGCAGAACCGAACGGCGTGTAATTTGATTGGATGTTACTAATATCTAGAAAATCTAGGTCCCGAATCTAGGTCCAAACGGTGAACAAGATTGTTCCACGGAAGTTCCCCGGAACATGATTAGCTCTGTCTGCCGTTTGAACAGAATGGCACCTCGAAAAACACTACACCGAACCGGCCATGAAGGACTGGGTGACCGATGACCACCGTCCGTGTCGTCATGCGATGCAGCAAAGGCCGCTGCTGCATGAGGCGGATGAGAAAGATCATGATTTGAGGCAGGAACACCTGGGACGGAAAGACTTCATTGGCCTCGAGACTCCTAGGCATGGCTGGCTTAAGGCCGGTTTCTGGCCGCCGTGACTACTACAGTATCACGAGGCAAATCTGATGTGCGCCACAGATGCGTAGATCGCAGCATCGAGAAGCTTCGCCAAATAGATGAGCTCCTGGTAAAAAGGCTGTGGTGCTCGGTTTGCCGCGGGGACATCAGTTCAGGAAATCGCCAATTCGACCCCCATCTCCACCACCGACCGCACCCCTTCAACGGTAATAGTAGCAGCAGTCGTCGACGTCGTCATGGCGGTATTGGTACTAGTATTAGTATTAGCACTTATTAGCAGTAGTCGTAGCAGCAACAGAAGTAGTAGCAGCAGTTGTAGTAGCAGCAGTAGATGATGATCGCAGGATTAGTAGTTGTAGTGCTAGCAGGTGTCTGTAGTGAGTAGCTGATAGGTGCAGACTGGGCAGAGCCCAGGAAACGATCAGTCTTGAGCAGTCCTCTTCAAAGAACCTACCCTGCATGCCAGCTTTCGTTGCCGAGGTCATCGGGGCACTGCCATATACGACAGTGATGAAGATGTACAGGGCAGACAGCATCCAGGCTCGTGGAATCTCCAGAACATGTTGTGCCCAATGTCTGCCAAGAACACGTAGCTCGTTTGCGATGTTGTGATGTTCTGCGCTGCCTGCAATCGCTCGAAGCGCTTGAACGTTCAGGCGGTTGTTCTTCTCTAGCTCGGCAAGGTCAATGCGCTTGATCTTGCTTCCTGCTGCGATGCTCAGTTCGCGGTTCGCCACAACCTTGCTGGCAACGTAGATCCTGACGGCAACGATTCGGGGTTGACTGCAAATTGGGGCCCAGCGAAGCACGCGATCTTGCAGCTCCAACATTAGTGTAAGAACTCCGAACCTGGCTTTGCAGAAAAGTCATGCTGCATGCTAGCACGAGGCAAGATCTGCGTCAGCATCTGGTGAGTTGCAGCCACAGACAAGGAGCAAGGCTCGGCTGGTCGCAGGCCAATCTCCGTGCTGAAAACACGCCCGCGAAGGTCATTCAGCTGGCGCAGCTGCTTCCCGATCTGCGTGTCCTTCCACACAAGATGAAAGAAACAAACAAGGCTCGCCTCTCCCAGTTTCAGGGTGCAAATAGGTAACTAAGCCTACACCGTCAGAATGCCCCGGTCCCACTCCGAGGTGACGGCAAAAATATTGGAGGTCATGGACTGCATCAGGTTGGAGATCGCAAGTGGGGCAAAGGTGCCACCACTGTGGCTCACGATCAAGACGATGGAATCCTGACACATCGCTCACACGTTGCTAAGCTGGTGTCCATCACTGTCCGGTCCAACGCTGATGTCATAGTCTTATCAGAGTAAACTCGTATGTCCCAAACCCAAGGAAGCGAACAGCGACTGCAACTGATTAGGAGCTGCAATCTGGCCTTCAAGTCCCAGCCCTCGCCGATTTCGTGGCCCGTTTGCGGCATGGGAAACTGCTGCCCAAACCTGGGTTGCTGGTGTCAAGTGAATTCAGCTTCATGTTCCCAAGGCAGAAGCAATGACGACTGAAAGAGAACTAAACTTATTAGGCCGTACACCAAAATCAAGGACTGGAGCAGGGAGCCCACAACGCAAAACCGAATCATTATAGCAAAAATCTTCAGCCCAGCGTCAGGCCCAGGATCTTGTTCGCGGAAGCCGATTTGACGACAAGCTTGTGGAAACAAGTCCTGTGAGCACGGAGGGATCAATGTCAGAGCGGTTTGAGATACAACAGCTGGCGAATTTTGATTTCCTTGGCTTTGTGCAGCGGTGATGTAGAGTCTAAACCTAGCCTGCTCAAGCTTGCAGATCCGACTTTTGCCAAAGTCAAGCTGGCCCGGCGCTTAGGCGGCAGGCTTCCCCTGCATCAAGCCGCCACTTTGAATATGCAACCCTGCTCCTCAGGTCTGCCGCAAACTGCTCACCGACCCAAAGGCTCACCTCTCACAGCTCTCAAAGCAGCCGGGACCATGCGGCCAGGTTGGGAGATTGGGCTCAGGGAGTGGCAGAAGTTTGAGGCTTGGAGGGTTTAGTACGGGTGCTGAGGCTTGAAGACTGATAGGTTTTGTCACTCCGTCCTGGGGGACATTTTCGCCTTGTGGCCTGGAAGGTTGGCTATGGGGCCTTTCAGCGGAGAGGGTCGGCGGAATTTCCGTCGTCCAGGATTGAATCAGGCCAGGGCCCCCTTTCAGTGAGCCAGAAACACAAACTCTGATGCCAAACAGGCTGCAAGCGTCCTTTCCTGAGCTGAAGGTTGCAACTATTGAGGACCCCATGCAATAACCCCGAATCAAAACGCTCAATCCCTGAAAACGCTCTGACGCTGCGAGATTCCACCTCGCAGCCGGTCACGAGAATGTCCACGGATGTAGCCGGAAGCTGACCGCAGCTTTTTCTCTGTAGCCGGCTCAGGAGCACCTGTCGCAGCGAAGGCCAGGTTGTTATCGAAGGTTCTGTTCCTCCTGTTGACTTTAGGGCACAGCCATCATCAGCCATCTGCAAGATGAATTTAATAGTTTGGTGGTTGCCACAGCGAAGGACGCCGTAAAACCCAAGTACATCCACTTCGTAAGGAGCCCTATATATATATATATATATATATATATGTGTATATATATAAGTGTATATATATATATATATATATATATATATATATAATATACATACAATACACAGAGTCGCTCAAAACTGTAAGACGGGCCCGACTTCAAAGGACAAGGCCCTACAAACCTCTGCGAGAACGGCGCCTCGCCAAGAGCCCGGGCCGTGGCACGGGTAGGGCGGCCCTCGCCCCAGAAGTCCACCTGCGAAAAGGTCGGGGGTTGGGTGGGTGGGCGAGTGGGGTCGAGCAGTTAGATGTTGAGAGGCTTTCAGCTAGGGTTTCAGCCCTCGACGTGCCTGGATGTTTGCCACAGCATCTGGGATGTCCGTTATATCCGCACCAACGGGATCCTCACCATTCAAGTCCACAGATCAAAACACATGAACGCAGGCTGTGCTTGGTTTCTGAGCCTTCGCTCTTATTATCCCAACGACAGCAAGGTCCAGGAACGAATATTTAGTTGACCCAACCCTGAAGCTGGAGGATCCAAATGTGAATCTGCCATCTTGGCAGCTTAGTCTGAGAGCGTCACCGGCATCAAGTCCTGCACGGCTTTTGGCAGCTGCTGCACCAAGGGGTTCTCCTCAATCGGCACGAGGCGGCAAGCCAGGCTCTTCTGCGAGAAGCAGTCCTGTACAAACATTCATGGCTGGTCGTCAGCGATTCGAGTTGGAAGGCCGCCCACAGCACATTTCAGGGCTTTGGACTGTTGCGGTAATTAGTGCCCGCACGGCAGTGTCGCAGGCAGTCCTGCACCAGGGTGATTGTCATGCTGTGGTTCATCACCTCAGTGCCCGCGCCCACAAGCATGCGATCTGTCGGCTCACCGCGCAATAAGCAACATGCGATAAGGGAGTGTCATCATGCTACCAGAGGCAGGCATCCCTAACTCTAAGACTCTAAGCTAAAAGTGGATCCTCCAACCAAGTGACAGGTTGGGGGGCAAAGGACCCGCTTGCAGACGAGGGTAGGCCCCGCCCCCAATCCTGCGGTGGCAGGGAGTTAAGCTCGTAGCCTGTCGATTTTGTGTCGCGGCCACCTCTCTGAACGCTGAAACATCTAGATTCTAGATCTCAGATCAATCTCCTCACTAAATCTCTCGGGGTCCAGAAGGCAGATCTCCCCTCCAAGGTCATCCAAGTCCAAACGTACTGCCGGACCGTCGTTCAAGCGTGACCTCGTGGGCGACAGAGGCATGAAATGGGAAGAACTGCTACTATTGCTACTCCTGCTGCTACTACTACTGCTACTACTATACGACTACTACGACTACTACCCCTGAATGCTAGCTACTACCTACTACCTACAACCGCTACCACTAGTCCTCCTCCTCCTCCTGCTCCTGCTGCAGCTGCTGCGACGACTACGACTACAACTACGACGACAGCGACTACTTGCGAATGCTCATTCGATGACGCAGATTACCACGACGATTGCGATTACGGCTACGCGAGAATGCGACCGTGTGATGGTAGGGCAATGCGACGACTACTACTACAGTTACAGCTGCTGCTGCCACTGCTACCTGTGCCAAACCCGAAACCAAGGAATCCGGCCTCGTTCGACTTACCCTCGCCGCCTCCAGGTCCCTGCTATCGTCATTCGCATCGGCTGCAGGGGCTGCCGGCCGTGGCGCGCAAACCTTGGATTAGGGGTTCTAAGGATATCCGTGGGACCGGCCCTTTGCTTTTGCAATGGGGGGGTGTTTTGATTTACGTCTTTCGGGAGGACGGGTGTAGGACTGTAGGAGATGGGATGTTCGGCTTGGTGTTTTTGGGGACCTCCCTTCGGAGCTGTCAAACACCACCGAGACGAAACGGCTAAGCCAAAGGCGCAAGGAATACCCCTATGATTGCCGTGGAAGATGTAGTCCAACTGCGCTTGGCAGGGGGGCTCGGGTCACCTCTGATCTCTTTGTTGAGTCGTCCTGCGTACTTCCAACCGAAAGACTTCTTTTCTATATGAGCCAACGATGAAGTCCCGACACTCTGATGAGCCCTTCATGCGGCTTTGGGACTCCGCTCGGGTCTTGCCGTGCCAAGACCCCGACAAAGAACACACACACACACACAGTGATTGAGAAACATACCTGCCGCTGACCACTGACTGCATTTGCTCTAGACAATTCTGACACGTGGGTTGCAAACTTTACTTACACGGAAATCGTACTAGTAGATCCTCCTCGCCTCGCACATTAGTTCAGCAGTTTCTTCCAAGTCGGTTTCGAATCCCATTCTTTGGCCACATCAGCAAGTGCAAACGAAACCTGATGGGGGTCGGGGCGAAGGGGCAGAACTATCGATCAGAGCTACTGCCGAGCCCACATTGGGCAGGCGTAGTCCAGGGTCATTCGAAACCACAAAACTGACTGACAACGTCAGAGGTGCACCCACTGCCGCTTTGACGGCGGCCTGCTCGGAGGCGTAGAGCACTACCCCCGTTCGCGGGTAGAAGGCCACTGACATGGACTGGCCACCTTCATCGGCTGAGGGCTGACAAAGAGTACTTGTAGCACAACTAAGCTCGCAAGACTCAACGACGAGGCCCATCAGGGAATCTCTGTCCCAGCTCCCTCAATGCACTCTAACTTGGATTGGTTCTGCACACGCCGGACACTCCGCATTCGATCAGGGTGTGTTCTTGCATGTGTTGCTTCAACCCCAATCCATCCCACCCCCGCACCTCACAATTCAACCTGCATGGTCGTTCTAGAGAATGGGGAGAGAACGGTAAACAACACCAGTGCACGACAGAAGGATACAGTGCCGGAAACCGAGGACACTGCAGTTGCAATTTTCGCGGTTCTATTGAACTTGCCACGGCTTCTGAACACCTGACTGGGTGTTTAGGATGCCTCTTACAGGCATCGAACTTGGAGACATGGGCCCACACAACCGATTGCAGTACCTGCTCGGCGTCCGAAGCCTCCCACCGGAATCCTAAACAGCCTGAATGCCTTAAGGTCGGGATCAGAGGTTCGATGAGAATGCAAACACGCCTGCTGCCAGAATCATCTGGCGGTGTGCGTCGACGGAACAGGTGATGCACCTTGACCACAGAAAGAATTTAACTTGCTCCACTCCTACCCATGCATCGTTGTACATTGCGGAGTGTCGGCTTAACCGCCTAAATGGCTTCGGCTCTTGCTTGCAACTGGGCTCTCACGGGGTTCGCACAAAATACCTCCTAGCAGGTCCGACTACATCCTATTGGAAGTGCGGTCCCAAATCACCACGCGAAGGCCCCGACTACAACGCCCTGCCTGAAGCCTTAGAGCAGAATGAAATCTCTGCTGCCGGATGGTGGTGTGTGGCTTGTTCCAGTTCATCACCTTGCCGATATTAATTCACCTTCAAGCCAAAGATGCAAGCAGGGCAAACATGTTAGGAATGCAGCTCGAAATATGTCACAGATCCTGGCCCTCAAACAAGGTGGTAAGCTTGAGGCGCATGTCCAACGGCGAAGTCCTCAACCGGACCCAAAAACAAAACGTCACTAGGCCACCAAGCCAAACCTTGCAACAATGAAACACCTTACAATCCACCCCCACAGTGCCAACTGCGGAAAACCAGCCCCAAACCCAAAGCATGGAAGTCAGCCAAAGCTCCTGAGCGCACGAGCCCTACCAAACGAAAAATGTCCTGAACATATCCTAAAAACTACATGTACTTGTTGTGGAGATTCCCTTCCCCTGAACCCTCAACGAAAATCCCCAGCCTTTTTGGGCATTGGCGGCGGTGCACATTGCCCAAGCCCGAAACCCTGACCCTAAAGCCCAAGTCCTATGCCCAGCTAAAGCCCTAATTGGGTTTTGGTGCCCATTATACTATATATATATATATATATATATATACACACATATATATATAATAAGGAACCCCACAATACTATAGTATATGTAATTATGCAGTCCCCTTTTCATAATGAATAACTCCACCGCTCAGCCAGGCACAGACCAAAGGATCCTCGAGCTCTGGCCATGAAAAGTCGCGTGGCCTCGCTTAGGGGTTTGACGAGAGTCTGATGAAATGTAGGAACCTGATAAGAAACCCTGGGCCCTGATTTTAGGGTTCCTTCAAAGGGTCTAGAAGAGTTACTATAAGGGATCTATACGGGTACCATAATAATAATGTAGGAACCCATAGACCCCTTTAAGGAGCCCTTCAAGGAAGCCTGAGGGTTATGTTCCTAATAAGGCACCCTGAGGAAACTCCCACAATGTAGGAACTTGATTAAGAAACCCTGGGCCTATAAAAGGAACCCTAACCAAGACCCAGGCTTGCCAATCGGGTTTCTACATTACTCTATCAGAGCGTAAATCTTGTCATAATATGCAGTGTGGTATTCTATTTAATATGCTATAACATCACAGTACACAACTTCTCATAAAATATGTGGCATAATACAACATGAAAGCATGGCATAGCATGCCATAATATGGTACAGCATAATGTAAAACAACATAACAACTTATGATGTAACGTATTTTTAATGTAATATAATAACCTGATGCTACAACACGAGTATGACACGGCACCATATGGTACAACAGAATGTAATGGACTAGATTATGCCATGATATGTCACTCTGTACTATATACTAAGCTTTCTGGGTGCTTTCGGCGTCTACGGATAGGGGCCTTTGTTTGGACTCGAGGCCTTCTAGCTGAAGATCTTAAGCTTTCGGGAGTTGAGGTTTGGGATGTGCGATATTTTGCCACCCACGCTGCACAGTCGGGCGGGCTAGCAGGGACGCCATGAAAATTCTAGCCTCTTCGATCCAGGGTACATGAAAAAAGAATGAGGCCAAGTTCCTAGCACCTTGACCGCACTGCAATGGAAGTGGAAGTTTAAGTGTCAGACCATGTGCTGCGACCTGAAAGACCACAGCTTCGAAAGGCAAGCACCCCGAGACTTTCGGAGAGAATGGCGGCTCGGGGTTCGGAGTCTGAACACAAAGACTCTTCACAGCAAAAGCCCAAAGGCTTGACCTATAGACTCTCAACATCACTTGCGGCCTGGAGTAGGTCGTTGTCGAAGAAACCATCTATGGCACATCGGACCATCTGCTGCAAATCCCGGCCTGGACACGTCACGTCACTCCGAGGAAGGTCGTCCTACGACCCCTACGAAGCCTTTTGGGGCTCCGGGGTCCGGTCCGGTATCAAACGAATCTCTGGGGTTGAGATGACGATGATGGCGATGATAGTGATGATCATGATCATGATGGCTTCCGGAGTTCACTTCCATCGCCCTGTGAAAGCTCGGCCTAGAAGCCTTGCAGCTCAAAGTCAACCCCCGAAGTCAACTGCAGGCCTTTCAAGGGGAGCTTGAGGCCGGAAGTCTCCAAGCTTGTCCTGGTGTGCTGACAAAGTCTTCTGCTTCTCTGCTTCAGGCTCCGATGTCTCAAGACCTTGACAGCTTAGGAGTTGCCAGCTGAACAACTAAAGCCGTGTGCCGGGATTCTGGTTCCTTTAGTTCCACTTCAGTGTGTGGAGCCTTCCGGGATGTCAGCAGTACGAGAACCCAGGCTTCTACGCGAGTCCTGCAGTTGCAAGGAGCCTTGACTGTCTCAAGGCTTGGAGCTTTCCTCCAGGCCTCTGCGATGCATTGGCAAGGGACGGAAACCCGTCCGTGTCAATGCAGATCAGTTAAGAACAACTTGCTCAGAAAGTCACGGGACTTCATCAAGTCCGTGTATCCAGGAGGCAGTTATCGAGTGTTCGGGTCCTGCAGTCTTCATAAAGACATCGTCGCTTGATGTTCAGCTGGTCCAACTCCAGGCCTTTCTTCCTTAATGATGCAACATACGTGGAGTGGGCTGCATGGGCTGCCGCAAGTCTAGGGGTCGCAAGCTCTTCGTCGCTCAGTCTCCTTTAGGTAAAGCTTCACGTCAGGAGCCCCTGAATGTGATGCAGTAGTCCATACTCTTCCAAAGCTCCACCGTACCTTTATCTTCAATATAGCAGCCACAATATCATAATAATAAATGCTGAAACCCTGGCCGAGTTGAAGCCTTTCGGGTGGAGGGCGAAAGCATGTGACAGACAGAGTCCGTGCTTTGAGGCTTCATCGTGTTGCTGTTCTGCAACTACAAGTTGGACCCCATCCTGAGCCAAGATGCAAATATTTCTGCAACACGGCATCCATGATCGCTCCGACTTGTTCACAGCACTTGCGCGTCGGCACCTGCAGCTGATCGGTAGAGCTCGTGGTTCAGATCTTGATTGTGGGAGGGCTGCTGAACCTCGTGGGATTTGGGGCTTAAGGACGAGACTATCCTCGATTGACGCCACCAGCCAGAACACATTAGTCCAATCAGCAAACAGCAAGCTTTGAAGTCCTCCTGCGCTTTAAAGACTTTAGAGGGCCTCGCAGTCTAGGTCCATCCAGCACGGCCCGAAGAGGAAGCCGTAGCGTGCGCTCAGCGCGAAGCATCCCTGCACGCGTAGTAGCTCTAGAACCTGCAAGGGGCGGTGAAGTAAGGCTGCTAGAAACTGCACTGAGCTTTCAGTCTCGTTAACTTGACTTGCGGCGGGGTTACGCGGAAGGCCTGGGACTTTGCAAGGGTTTGCGGCTCACGGCACCTTCCATTTTGCGGAGGCCTTCGAGGCTATAGCAAACAAGATCTTCTGGGACTGTGATGTCTACGTAAAGATAAACCTGAGTCGCTTAAGCAGTCAAGCCGGTGATCGTGGATACATTGGTGGACGCCATCTATGGCTTAAGCTTCGGACTGCTGTAGGGTCAAAGTATAGTTCATGTGAACAGAAAGGACGAGAAGCCCCTGCGATGGCAGCGGAGTCCACCTCGGACGGCTTCGCATGCCAAGTCACTCGCTCCAGCCAAGCCTGCCACTCTGCTTGCAGGTGCTGTTGCTTTCTCTGTTGCTAATGCTGCAGCTGTTGTTGTTGCTGTTGCTGTTGCGGCTGCTGCTGTTGATGCTGTTGCTACTTCTGGTGCTGTTGCTGCTGTTGCTGTTGGCGGTGCTGATGCTGTCGTTGCTGTTGTTGGCATTTTGTGTTTTTATCGCTGCTGCTGATGCCCCTTTGGTTTGCCGTTGTTGTTAGCAGGGTTGAATGCGTCGTACCAACCAGTCCGGAATCCCAAGCGGGCCTGTACTGCAGCCAGCTCGTGCATCTGACCTCACGGAGCATAGAACTCAGGCTTGTACTCTGTAAGACTGAGGGGACATGCAGGGTTCAAGGGTTCAGGTTGGGGGTACAACATCAGGAGCCACAAGCTAACCTGTCTGGAGGACTCGTCGTTCTGAAGCTTCTATTGATGTTGCAGCCCATGCTCCTGGGCTTAGGGGCTGGGAACCGTGGCTCTGTGTCAGCTCTGGCTCCCCGAATAAGCTTGCTTTTGAGACCGGCGGGCCTGCGAACTCGAAGAAGTCGAAGTCCCCGTTGTGTGTCACGAAAATCTCCATGTGTTTCTTACTCTTCTGAATCCTGTTTTCCGAAAAGCCGGTGTAAACATCATATATCTGTGGAGTCGACCACTGGTGTGGATGAGCTCCGTCCAATGTGGACTTCGAGCTAGTGGCGAAGCGCGTGTGGCCGACATAAAGACGTCCAGATCCAACAAATTTCCGACGGCACAACCAAGCCCACCTTTCCGCACGATCGAGCTTCGTTCGCAAGAGTTCCGAAAGGCAGGTGCGCTTTTGGTTTACCACCCGCGCACGGAGACCCACGAGATCCCAATGGTCGGACCCAGTTGATCTGAAGATGTTGTTGTTGATGACATAGCTCAGCACACCGCCACTTTGGGCACCTCGTACCATTGTGACCTCTGCCATCTTCTGCAAGATGTCCTTCATTGGCTCTGGTGTAGCTGCCCAGGCTCCATTGAGGAGGATCAATCCGAAATTGCCACACCAAAACCAGCCATCCCGCGGACCTAGCTCCGTGCTAGGCTCCCGGCGCCTCTCCAAACGACATAGATCCGACAAGCAAGCCTCAGCTGCTGTCAGGATAGCCGCGCAGCGTACCGTGCTGTCACAGACGGTACACATTGCGACCGCGATGAACACGGACGCCAGCCAGCCAGCGTGTCGTATGGCGACCTCCTGCCAGGCCCTGGAAGTCTTGACTTGCACCTGCCGAAACCTCGAACTGCAGTCCAGGCAAGAAAGATTTCAGAAAGCTGTTGGGTCCCATGAGATGGTCGCCACCTCCCGACCGTATCAAATGAAACAGACCGTGCGCATAAACGATCCAAAGCTGAGCCGAGAGGCAGAAGTATGGAAAGGAGATTGGACCAGCTCATCTTGGGCCAGCAGCCCAGCATCAGCCCAGCAAACGCGTGACTCAGCTCATGAGCCGCACCGAAAACCAGGTACCTCCAAGGTTCCGGGCTCTAAGCTTTCAGACGTTGGTGCGGTCACATCAGCAACAATACCGGACACGAGGAGTGCTCAGGACTGCCTTTGTCACTAAGGCTGCTGTGCAAGAAGTTGTTCACCATCGAAGAGTATAGCATTAAGGAGCCACGACTCAGGGTGGGTAGGCTCTTCACATCTCTTCACTAGTAACCAAAAAAATTTAGTCAGTTCCGGTGAAGGTCGAACACTGTGGGCTTTCTTAGTCCGAGCAGGTGATTCCGGTGGGCATGCGGTTGCATTAGAATCAACGGCCTTCATTGGGGAACCACGAGCAGCAGCGATCCGGGTCTGTAAGCTACGGTTTGAACTCTCGCAACTCGGGCAAAGCCAGACTGTAAGCTACGGTTTAGGGTTTAGGGTATTTGTTGCCTCCTACTTGGTTTTGGACTCTCGCGACTCTGACAGACTTAGTATTTTGGTCCCTCCTACTTGGTCTCAGGTCTAGGGTTCGTCCCCGCCCCTTTTCCCCAAGCACCATGCTGCCAATCGCATGCACCAGCTGATCTCAACCTTGGCTGTGCGCACAGCCACATTTTGAAGGTGTTGTGCCGGTCTGCAGTTTGTTGCGACTTCGATTGTGTGGGCAGGCTTCTTATCCGGCATGTAGCACGGATTCGCAACAGCTTCTGGCCAGAGTGTTCACATCAGTAAGATAAAGCAACAAAGAACTCAGGGCCCTTGAAAAAACTAGTTCGAAAAACTCGTCCCACAAGGGCTCTCTGTCATTCTCCGTCAACTCAGCGTCGCACCAAGTGTTTTGCCTAGCATTACACTGAACTCAACATCATGCGAGGCCCCTTTCGGTTCTGCCACGTGGCAAGCATCAACAACCGGCTCCTTGTCCTGTCCCTGAGCAGCCCTCGCCGCAAAGGTCTGTGCAAGGGATTTGGGTTGAACTTCCTATACCTGCGGTGCAGGGGCGACTTGCCTGCAACGGCTGCGAGCAGACTGTGTCGATGGGACAGGAGCACAGAACTGAAGTCCCCACAACCGTCTTAGTTCCTTGGGCCACTGCAGCCCATGCCTTGACAGATATGCAGAGCCTTAGTCAGCTAAATACACGTTTGCTTGTCAGTCTCTGCGAACGCGAATCTGATCCCCGCAGGAGGTTCCCTAGACTTTGCCCTCAATTCAAGTGCATCGGCTTCAGCCCAGGGAGCGCTCAGGGAGGTATTGTGAACCAGGCGGCACTTTGGGGTTGAGGGCCTTGTTTACGGCAGAGCCTATGCAGCCTTTCCGCCAAAAGCAATCGATGTCGGCTTCGTCCATCGCAGGCAGGCACGCTTTGGTGTCGGCTGCCTCGCCCGATCGCTGAAGAATGCCTCTCGTCTGCTTCGACCTCCATGTTACTACCATCACCTGATCACCTTCGCTTTGCTTTGCTACTGTTACCGTAACTGTGAATTCGGATGCCGTGCAGCCCCATCTCCACATCAACCTGTAAGCCCAATTCACGACCCAGTAAGTCCATGCTGAAACAATACATTTCTGCCACGAGAGAGCAAAGAGTAAGTAGCTACTGTCGCCTCAGAAGCTAAAGCTTCTCAAAAACCGGACTACTTCAAGCGACCCTCGATTCAGGGATCAGGTCTGGACGGGAAAAAATCGGTTGCACACGGACTTTTGCTTTTGGGGTGCGCTTGACCCATGCAGGAATAACAGCGGCGGAGCGAGTTTTGCTACCAGAACATTTCGATCACAACCATCAAAAAAGCAGTCTCCGGTCTCCAGCCTCCAAAGAGCATCCCCGCATGGACAACTGTGCATGAACCGCGGTGAGGGCTGCTTGCATCACAGCATGCGGAAGCCTCGCTGCCAGAATCACATGCGAGCTTTTTGGTCGGTGGCAACCTGCATCGGAACTAATTAGTGATGTCTCGGCGTACTCACCCGCGGTTCGCTGCAAGGATTCCTTGCTGCAAAGGCTGAGGTCCATCAGCCCAACATAAGGCTAAGCTCAGGAGAGTACAATATTTTTTGGGCAGAGCTTACACGATTTCAACGGTGCTCCGCGGTTCAAGGATACCATGCTTCGTGGCATCTCTGCCCACGGGCCCGGCGGGACAATCAAACGCCCAGCCGAAGTTTGCACGAAGTGGCTTGTGTCAGCTGGCAATTCCTAAACCCTAAACCCTAAACCCTAAGGTTTTAGGGCCGTCCTGGGCTTGCAGATCGGACAGTCGCTCCTCGAAGATATAATGGTCTGTAAAGCTCAAGACAGGTTCCAGTCCAGCTGTTTTCTTGTGCAGAGACTGCATAATGCCATTGGAGTAAGGTTTCTATATGATCAACTTAGATATAAGAAGCATCGTTGCCAACTGACCTCATGGTCATCGAGCATATTTGTGCCCAGCTGTGGCATGTGACAAGCTGGGTCTGCAAATTGAAGGTGTGGAATGTCCCAGGGACGTAGAGGCAATGTATCGAACTATAGGGAAAACACATCGGAAGGTTCATGAATACGTGTTGGCTCTCACAAGAATCATTACAGTACCAAAAACGAATGAGCCGCTGCGCTTTTTTGCAGTTGGGGCTACTGTCTCTGAGCGGTGCGCCTATCTGGTTCGTTTATGCTTAGACTCGCACCCTCGCACGTTCGTTAATGCTTAATGCTTAAATGTAGTAAATGTGGCACTGGCGGAAGTTATCGATAGAAGGAGCTCTATCCAAGTAGTACGAGTACGACCGCGAATCATGACGAATGGGCCAGGGCCTCATGTGGCGGACTCCCTCGATGTTGTGGATCTCGTCGACCCGACGATAGCACATCCCAAACTAGCATGCCGTTGTAAAAGCTGCGGTTCATCTGACTGTGTCAGTTTTCAGATAGGACTGCATCGAGTCATACGTACACTTGATCTCGTTTGAAGCGGTGCCTTTATCTCGTTCGGGTGATCTCGGTTTAGACCACAGACTGTAGTATAACACAAATCAAAGCCGTCGTTGATATTCGAGTCTTGGTCATCCGAACCGTCACCAGGTGACGGTTCGATTCATGAGCCACGACTCACGACCTCGAGCAGACTTGCCGCCCTTATTTGCTCAGCTTTTGAAGACCCAGCTCGTGACTATGTGACTATGCGCCATGTGCAGATTTTGCCCGATGCCTGCCGTCCTCGTCTATAGAGGACCTAAATCGCATTGCACTACACGCACAGGCCCTGCAGCCTCGGCAACCCGACATGAAAGCAAACATCGCACCTCCCCGTGAATGCAAAACAAGAGCTACTAAGTACTGTCCAACCCGACTTGGAATGCTGTCGTCAGGTTGCCGGTTATCGTAAGAGACCAGAAGCCCACTTGTCGGGTGCGGGTGCGGGGTAGCCTTGACACTGGCCCCAAGGCAGCGACGCGCTAGAAAGCTTTCTATCCAGGCCTATAGAGGGACACGTGTAGCTGTTTGTGAGAGAGGGAGAAGCTCATCACCATCAGTACGGGCCTCAGGGGTCTAACCCTCGCCGCCCGCAGTGCCCTGGAGAACGTGGGCCTCTGGTATAACTCAGGGCCTGCAGCGTGAGTTCACAAGAACGATGATCGAGAAAGATTGGGAACTGGACGCGGGATGTTAAACACTAGTCCCCTCCGTCCTGTCGTCGAAGGATGGATGAAGCCTTGACCACTTACACCGTAAGGCGCTGGTGACATCGCACTTACGTCACTCCAGGCTGGTGCCGGGAGAGTGATGTTTGGGTTTACGAAATTGGGAACCCGTCTATGAGGGCTAGACATTATGAGACGCCTTCTATGTGCGTGAAACAGGCGAGTTCTTAACTTTGCGGAAGTGAGTAATTAAAAAACTTGTCTATGTATGCAAGCAAGCAAGGAAGGATGGATGGATGGTAGGCATGTGTGCGAGTCTGCAAGCATGTATGTACGGGTATGCAGGTATGAAGGTGAGTATGTGTGCAAATGTGTCTGTATGTATGTGGGCATGAGTAGATTTGTGCCCGTCTGCCTATCTGTCTGTACGTATGTATGTGTGCTTGCTATTAACAAGAGTTAAAGCACATTCGGTCTTAAGTACTTTTTTGGCAGCACAATCAAGCTGACTGGGGTCCTTGATTGTCTGGAGTGACTGAGGACCTTGTGCTCTGCTGAGGACAATCCGGCCACCTATTCTGGCAAGTGCTAGTACATCGTAGAATAGTTACTGTCTGCTCGCCAGAACCCGTAAATGACCTGCACTCCGTGAACCCTTGATTCCAACCTGAAGGCAGTCCACCCTTGTTGTGTCTCGTCGTAGCTTTCGTTGAGGAGTCTCTGCAAACCAGGGCCAATTTTGGAGGGCACGGCTTTTAAAGTGCGACAAGTTGAATTGATTCGGGATTGTCTGGAACAGGTTTCACGCAAGCGTCACATCACAAAATTTGTGCATACTACTGCACCTGGAAAGCCGAGAAACTCAGATGCCTTCCCTGAACCCATGTTTCGAACGCAGGTTGTCGAGGCGATTCGATGGACACGACGGTAAGATAAACTTTCACATTTGCAGGCCGAACTCTTGGACCCAGGTTTGCGGACACTCGTCGGCATAGCCATCGGTTTATTAGAGCTGGAGCTGTTCGGCAGTGCCAATCCGGGCTCTCGGGGAGGGCGTCGGCGTCTGTGAGAGTTTCGGCCTTCGCGCAAAGGAGCTTCTTGTTTGGGTCTTGCAAAATGGCTTCGCTCCCTAGGAATACCAATCCATTCTGACGGCTTGAGGTTCGGGTTCGAGCGTGGGATGCCGGATTTATGAGCTGGCTGGGTGGCCAGAGTAGGAGGAACTGTAGCCTGTTCACGTCTCGTCATGCTTCCTACGGACGACAACAAGGGGCATGCTCCTGACTCTACAGACACCCTGCAGAAGCCAGCGGTGAACGCACGTCATTCGGCGAGCTCTCGACGTTTAAGACATTTTCGGATCGTTCACCAAAACCAACATCGTGTAGATCAGATCAGCACGGTCATCTTGCATCATACTAAATACACGTACCGTGCACCCTCTAGCGCGACAGGGACACAAACCTGGAAACTACTCAAAAACCTCATCCAGATAAGAAGCATGACGAAGCTCTAAACTACTATTCAATACAATCCTTTGAAAATCGAGCGCTCGAAGACAGGTCCGGTTGCAAAGTTTCTCCGACACTCACACTGGAGCGCCACTTCCACCGACATTGGCACCAGAACACTCGAACGTCTTAATACTGTACTAGAAGGACATATGCTTACTATGTGCCTTGAAAATACTACAAAATCCAACCAGAAATCCTAAACCCTGTGGCCGTCCTGCTGATCGTGCGCTGCGAAGGGCGAGCACCCTCGGTGCGAGACACCATGGCGGCAGAGTGCCCCTGCGAGCTGACAGAGAACCTGATCTTTGGCAGAGGGGCTAACGGCTAAAGCCTCAATCTAGCAGATTCAGAAGCACCACCACTTGCGCACCGCAGAGATATCAACAAAAGCACCTTCTATCACAGCGAGCATAGCAAGACAGGTATCACGCAAAACACAGGCAACAAGTGGCACAAAACAAGCAGTGACATTGGGTACTGCAGTCGCTAAAAGAACCAATGCCGACAGCCATGTCAAGAACACACTGCCACTGAACCAGCAGAATGAACAACACAAGCAATGAACACCGCAGAGCTCCTGTCATCTGAAATCGACACACAACATAGACAGCAACACAAACAAAAACACGAACAAGAAAACAAAGCAGCAACCGCCACCACCACCACCACCACCACCACCACCACCACCACCACCGCCACAAAGAAGAAGACGAACCAGATGGCTCACTACCAAAACAACAACAGCAGCAGCAACCGCAACAACCAACAAC